GAGACAGAGAAAATCCGAAGGGGTCGTTGCTGTCGTCGTCGTCGTGAACGGCGTCGTTTAACGTTGAGTCGGAATAAGTTCTAGGAATGCCTCCCTTGCGACGACCGTACGTTCTCACGATCATCTTCGTTTATACGGCGGCGTTTCGGCTGCTTCTGCTGTATCAGTTAGGGATGGGCATGTTTGGACGAAAAAAGAAAAGGGCTTTCGGGGAATCAAAAAGATTTGAAATTGAAGGACGGAATTGGAAAACGAAAGAGTTGAGCTGGAGCTAGAGCTATGGCCAGGTCTCTGAAACTCTCAGCTCAAGAAGAAGGAGAAGGAGGTCTTAAGACAAATTGATGAGAGAGATAGAGAAAACTTTGGGGTTTTTTGGGTTTGAGACTGAAAGGTTTTGGTGGCTTCGATTTGATTTGGTTTTGAAAGGCTTTGGGCTGCCGTAGTTTGTGAAATTCTGTGCCCTTTTCTTCTTTTGCCCAATCACCCTTTCTTGATTGTATCTATTCGAGGGTATTTGTGTCTTTTTACGAAGTTTGGATCATTTCAAATTCGGATCCTGCTGCCCGTGGGTAGATCGCCTCGAGGGGTACTAACTATAAACTGGCGAAAGCACCAACCACAGGTCGTTTACTTGAGTCTTTTTAAGGTTTAAACATAAACGACAATTGTTTCTATTCCTTTATAATTTATTAAACAAGTAATACGACATCATCAATTTACTAAACAGGTCATTCTACTTAAGGGTGGTTGCAGTTTGGTAACCGCAAATTTTTACTCAAACCGCAAACCGACCGACTATTTGCGGTATGGTAATTTTTGAAATCACAAACCGACCTTTTTTGCGGTAAACCGTAAAAAGCGATCGGTTACCGTGAATTAGTGATTTAAAACCGCAAGTTCTTTTTGTGTCATAAAAATCCAATCTTCCACATTTTATGCTTAATTTTGATGCTTCTTTTGAAACCTTTTGAGTTCAAGCATACTTTAACCCAAAAAAATAAATTCACAATATCAACTTCTCAAGCATATATAAATTCACAACCTCCTCAACTTCTCAAGCATTCACAACCTAAAGAAAATTAAAGTTACAATTTCAAGCATTTCAATTCAAGTTAAACTTCTAAAGCATTCACAACCTCAACTTCTCAAGCATTCCAATTCCAAATCCTTTAAAGTTACAAACCAAAAGGAAAATGCAATGCAAAATGAATTGATATTACAACCCAAAGGAAAAATCCAATTCAAAGTTAATTAAAGTTACAAACTAAAAGGAAATTGCAATGCACCAATGTTACAAACTCAAGTGTTGGTGGTGGTGAGTGGATTTGAAGGACCCCGTTGTGTTGTTTGAGCACCATGTTTTTAGTAATTGATAGGGATTTGGTTACCATGTTTTTGTTGTTGGTGGTGATGCTACTTACTGTAGTCAATCACAATACAATTGTCTAGCTAGGGGAGATATGGCTCCATCCTAGCATTTGACAATATGGATTCGCATTATCTTACATACAAAACAGGACCGGCCCTGAGGGTGTGCAAGTGGTGCCACTATACAGGGCCCTAAATTTTTTTTACATGTATATTATGTATATTAATATTATAGGTATTACATATGTACATGAGCGTGCAGGAACATAACACAAATTAGTATTTGGTAGAGTTGGAATTCGTCCCCTTGATTTTAGTAGGTAAGTTGGATTCAAGTCCATATTGTGTCATTTAGTAGTTGTATTTTTACATTTGCACTCCTTTTTCTTTTTTTATTGTTAACAACAGAAAAAAGACAACAAGAAGGAAATACGTTAAAGAAGAGGAAAGCAACATATACAAGCTTTCTCCAATCAAACAAAAAAAAATTGGAGTGTATGTTTTCACCCACTAAAAGCGAAACCAAAAAAATGTCTTCTTCCTCTTCTATTTTCTCAAATTCAAACATTAAAACTTTTATGAATGTTATTTATGATTGCTATTGCATGATGATAGATGATGAATTTTAGTTATTACAAAAATTGTTTTATGGTGTTAAGTCATGGCAAATTTTTTTATAAATATTTTCATATTAGATTGAGGGCTTTCATTTAAGCTTCGTACAGGGCCCTCAAAATCTCAGGATCGGCCCTGATACAAAATGTCATTTCTTCTTATAAATCAGCACATATATATATATATATATGTATGTATGTATGTTCGCCTTTTTTTTATCAAATGGCAAGTAAATTTGGGGGAAGGAGTTGTGGTGTTTGGGAAGAAAAAATGCAGTAAGAGAATCAATAATTTTAAGGGAGTTTCACTAAAACACCCAAAATGAGGGCTGAAATTATAAAAAAACTCAACACCCAAAACACTTTATAAACACACCCAAAACCCATCATTACACACACTCAAAACCCATTTATAAACACACCCAAAAAATATACAATTGTTGATTTTGGGTGTGTTTCTATGTTTAAATAGTGTTTGGGTTTTTTTTATAAATACATGTCTAGGATTGAGTTTATTTATAAATTTGTATAATTTTAATTTTTTTCTTTAATTTTTTGTTGTGAATTAGAACAACTATTGGGCTCAAAATTACAAAGCTTAAGACTCAAAACTTGATTAATCCCTTAAATCCAAGTTTTTTTTAATTGAGTTGATAAAAACTTTTGTAAGAATTTTATTTTTTGAGTTTTCACTATTATGCCCAATATAGGGATCCAAATTATTATTAAAAAAAAATTCCATGAAATGAACTTTAGAAACATACCAAAAGTCTATTTACAACACAACAAAGAGACTTTAAACTTCCTATAAATTACAAAACTGTCATTAATTTTTTTTAAACAAGCCAAACCCCAAAACCTCATTAAAAAAAATCCCCAAACACCCAACATGACATCAAAGTAATTTAATAATAAAAATTAAATTCAATGGGCTAGCTGTCTTTTTTTGAGTTTATTTATAAAAATTAAATAGTGTAGGATTTATTTATATAATTAGTGCTAAAAATTAAATATCTGTTTTATTTGTTTTTCTTAAATGGACTAAACATAAACTCATAGAGGCTCCTAGTCCTAGCTTTCCATGATCCAATCCATTTGTTGCTTCGGTTACCAATTGAAGCCCTTTTCGATTGGCCTAGCTGCAGAAAGATATATGGCCCAGTCCATATCGTTTAATTTTGTTTTTCTTCATTTTTTACGAAATAAAAATAAGTTCAACAGGTTGATAATTGCTAGGGTGGGTAAGGTTGACCAGCTTATTTAACCAATAAGTTCAAAGTCATATTTATTATTTTTATAAATAAATAACAATTTAGTGGTTGGCTGGTACATGTAGAACCAATTGCATTGAGGGAAATCCCAGGATAATTTAAAAATATACGTTTTGCATTTGCAGTTTAATTATCTATAAAATAATTTAACATAGCATCAACAAAATGAACTAACAAGTTTTTTTTTTTTTTTTTTTTTTTTTTTTTGTTTTTGTTGTAGAAGGTGGGGTTGGGTTGAAGGTTAGGTGGACCATGATAAGTTCGTGATCGCATTGATTTCAAAGACTATTATGCATACTTGTTTTCCTCGGTACAAACTCAATTCTGCATACATTTCCTTCGCTGCACTGCAATTCATTCGTCTTTAGAGTCAATTAGATACACATAGGTACTTATGAGGAGAAACTGATCATTCGAGATAATAATAAAGAAAGAAACAACTACTCTTACCACGTTTGTATACCACATTCTCATACCACCTTATGTGACAGATGAGATGGACAACCACATTAATTAAATTATTCAATATTTTATTTCTTTTATGATTTATTAATGCTTCAAAAAAAATTGTTAATTAAACTTTATTATTAAAATACACTTCATTGATTTAATTGATGTGACATATGATATGGACATGCCACATCATGTGGTATAGAAATATAAGATAAAAATGTAGTAAGTGTAATATTACTCTTCTTTTTATGTTGAGATGTGCAAACTCTTAAAAAGTATAATTTAATAATAATAATAGAAAAAACATTCAATGCACGATTTAAAAAGTAAGTGTAGCATTATTCTTCTTTGAACCGTAATAAATTGATACATTCAATATCGCAATTTATTTTGGTGGACGGGGTTTCGTCAGAAATAGTTTTTACCAAATTTGCAACGCTTCCACACAACGCGTACACTACAATTGTATATAGTAAAAATGGCAAAAGTGTAAATCTCCATGCGGGCGGGGGCAGTCAAAGATTGAGAATCTAAAACCACAGCCATCTATCGCCATAAAAAATCACAGCCATATATACTGTCAGCCAACCACCCTCTGCCACGTACTACAACCACAAAATCTAACCCGTCAACCCCATCACCCAAAACTTTCCAAATTCACTAATTTTCCCAGATTTATGAACTTACAATTCACCTAAGCCCCTGCTTTTTAATACACGTCACATTAACTTAATATTTGTGTAATAATAGAAGATCTAGAAAGTTAAGATATTTTTGAAATTTCTATTAATAGCATGAGAAAAATATAAATTAGGAAATTGGCCCAAGAGTCGGGTGTCGTTTATTTTATATTTAAGTTTTTATAAATACAATTATATGTCTTACGAATTGCAGTGCTATTTTGACCTTTCGCTATCTGGATCTAGGGTTTCTCTTCTTGACGACTCCTTGTTTTTCATCATCATCATCAATATCACCAAACCCTAGCTTTACCGCCACAATTCAGATAAAAACACCGATTTCTATTTGTAAAAGCTGGATCACCAATCACGGATCTAAGATCTTCTACCTGAAAATAACCCCTAATTTTTTTTATTTGATTTTTTTCTCCGAGGATCAGTGATTTAAAAGCAAAAATGGGATTATATTAAGTTTGTTTTTGACGACGACGTTGATTTTGAAAGAAAATCAAAGAAATCGATGATGTGTTTATTGAATGGAACTTTGATGAGAAATCAAAGGAGGGGATAAAACTTTCAGGGTTTTTTGGATGGTTTTCGGCCGGTGAGGGAAAATGTATAAGTCGGAGGTGTATAAAGGTGAAGAGTTACTTGGGGAGGTAGAAATATACCCAGAAGAGAACGAGAACAAGAACAAGAACAAGAATTTGGTTGATGAGTTGAAGGAAATCAGAATAAGCTATTTTTCGCAATCAAGTGAGAGATGTCCACCAGTGGCAGTGCTTCATACCATAAGCTCTCATGGTGTTTGCTTCAAAATGGAGTCAAAGACCTCGCAGTCTCAAGACACGCCGCTCTTTCTTTTGCACTCCTCGTGTGTCATGGAGAACAAGGTATAGCACAACAACATTGAATTAAACTGCTCCCAGAAGAAAATGAAAACTCAAGAATGAAAAAAAGAAGAAGAAGATATAAGCAAAAGTAATGGAAACCCAGATTCAAATTGAACCCTCTTTCTAAGAAAATATTCAGATTAGAATGAACCCTATCTCCCTTCCTTCATAATGTTATTACGGAACTCTGAACAATTTCACAGGGGACCCATTTGTGTAATTTACTGTAAATTTTGAAACTTTCTTTGAACCCAGTCAATTTTGCCCCAAATTACATGAGCTGTCTGAAGTTTAACTGGTTCTGCATGTTGTTGAAACTGTTTTGAACTGAAGTTGTGGACTTATTTCATAGAACTGAAGTTGAACTTTATTCCTCAACCTACTGAGTTATGTACTATGACAGAACTCTTTGATGCTAAGAATATACCATAGGTTTTTTTTTGGGTGACAATTTCTTATTGATCTTACTGTACGTGTGGTTGCTGCGTTCTCTTCCATGGAGAGATGATGTTTGCATGAATTATCTTTTACAAGAATGGATAATGTTGATTTGCTGCAGGTGGATGTTTTGAGAAAGAACTCCAGAATTCTGCAGGACAAGTTTTCAGTTCTGTTATCTGTTGGAATGCAGTTTAGAGCGTTTATGAAATGGAAGCATGCAATTGCTCTCTTGTTCTGTTGATCATTTAAACTTTTTTGCGTTGATGTTAATTGGTTTGTAATCGTTTTGGTGTTTTAGAATGTCAATTTTGTTTTGTGCCAATGATATTTGTCATATTGCTCTGCACATCAGTAAAATTTATCCTTTCCTCCTCAAGTTTCATTCTTGTGAATGGTAGTTTGTGCAAACCTTGAGAATGATTTTCATCATGCTTATCCACAGACTGCAGTAATGCCGCTAGGAGGGGAGGAGCTCCATTTGGTTGCCATGCACTCCAGGAATAGTGATAAAAGGTATCCATGTTTCTGGGGATTCAGTGTTGCACCAGGACTCTACAATTCTTGCCTTGTCATGCTGAACCTTAGATGTCTTGGCATTGTGTTTGATCTTGATGAAACACTCATTGTTGCAAATACAATGCGCTCGTTTGAGGATCGAATTGAGGCCCTACAGAGGAAGATAAGCAGTGAGGTAGACTCACAACGCATTTCTGGCATGCTTGCAGAGATCAAGCGATATCAAGATGACAAGTTTATATTGAAGCAATATGCTGAAAATGATCAAGTTGTTGAAAACGGGAGGGTGATCAAAACTCAGTCTGAGGCTGTTCCAGCCTTGTCTGATAATCATCAACCTATTATTCGGCCACTTATACGGTTACTCGAGAAGAACATTATACTGACTCGCATTAATCCACAGGTATGTAACTTAAGCCCATTGAGCTGCCTTTTTTCCTCTTGCCTCATCTCTTAAATTATGAAAGGAGTGTAGCAGTTTATTATCTTCGTCATTTATTTATCCTCATCTGGTCATTTTGTCATTATAACATCATCTTGATCGGTTTGTCTGTATGATGTGGGAATACCTTTTGTTGTTTTGTCGAAGTATCTATTCTTTTGCCGTACTTTGTTTCTGCTTCATCATTATAAGGTGTCATAAGTAACGTAGAGTTTCTGTCTTAGATTCGTGATACAAGTGTTCTCGTGAGGTTGAGACCTGCATGGGAGGATCTTCGGAGTTACTTGACTGCAAGAGGGCGCAAGCGCTTTGAGGTTTATGTTTGCACAATGGCTGAAAGGGATTATGCTTTAGAAATGTGGAGGCTTCTGGATCCTGATTCAAATCTGATAAACTCGAACAAATTATTGGATCGCATTGTGTGTGTCAAGTCTGGTAAGTGTAATAATTCATTTATAAATTTGTCTTGCAATTGGAGAGAAAAGTATGTACGTTTCTCTGTTTAATTAACTTATTTAATTTATTATAATAGGTTCAAGGAAGTCGTTGTTCAATGTCTTCCAAGAAAGCTTATGCCATCCTAAGATGGCATTGGTAATTGATGATCGCTTGAAAGTATGGGATGACAGAGATCAACCTCGGGTGCATGTTGTTCCTGCATTTGCGCCATACTATGCTCCTCAAGCTGAGGTAAAGGTCTTTGCATTATTGCATATGGCTATTAACTTTGTTAAAACTGCTCTATTGTTAATGATACACATTTGCTTAAACTTTTTTTTTCTTTATCTTTAACTGATTGGAAATCCTTATGCTATAGGCAAATAATGCCGTTCCTGTCCTGTGTGTTGCAAGAAACGTTGCCTGCAATGTCAGAGGTGGGTTTTTTAGGTAAGAAAATAAAACCCCTAGACTGTTTTTATATGAAGCCATTCATTGTTTTATGAGTGAAATAATGTTTTTCTGTTAGCATGACACCACCTTTGGATGTGATGACAGAGAATTTGATGACAGTCTTCTACAAAAGATTCCTGAAGTTTTCTATGAAGACGATATTAAAGATGTCCCTTCTCCTGATGTGAGCAATTATCTAGTTTCAGAGGTCAGTTGCGATATTTTTAAAACTGGAATTCTTCCGGAAAACTCAACCATCACACCATGCTTACCTTTTTTTTTAATGATGATTACACTAATAGTTTTTGGCTCTTCAGGATGATTCTTCTGCTTTAAATGGAAACAGGGACCCTCTTCCTTTTGATGGCATAACAGATGTTGAGGTTGAAAGAAGAATGAAGGTAGTTACATATTCAATATTGATACATGTACACATATATTGTTTTATCTGGAATCTGGAAACATTAAGAGATGTACCCTTTGGCTTGACATGGGAATTTTCCACTTTGGCTAAATGTATTTGCATCTGTATAACCTGTTTCTTGTTTGTAGGAAGCAACCTCAGCTGCTTCAATGGTATCTTCAGTAGTCACTAGCATAGATCCAAGACTTGCTTCTCTTCAGTACACAGTGGCTCCTTCTTCTAGCACACTTTCACTGCCAACAACTCAGCCATCAGTGATGTCTTTTCCTAGTATACAGTTCCCTCAGGCAGCTTCACTGGTTAAACCTTTGGGTCATGTTGGCTCTACAGAACCAAGCTTGCAAAGTTCTCCCGCTAGAGAGGAGGGTGAGGTACCTGAATCGGAATTAGACCCTGATACAAGGCGGAGGCTGCTGATTTTGCAGCATGGCCAAGATACAAGAGATCAACCACCAAGTGAGCCTCCATTTCCTGTAAGACCTCCAATGCAAGCCTCTGTTCCACGAGCGCAATCGCGTCCAGGCTGGTTTCCAGTGGAGGAAGAGATGAGCCCACGGCAACTGAGCCGGATGGTACCCAAAGATCTTCCTTTAGATCCAGAACCAGTGCAGATTGAGAAGCATCGACCTCATCACTCGTCTTTTTTCCCTAAGGTTGAGAATTCGATTCCATCTGATAGAATTCTTCAAGAAAACCAGAGATTGCCAAAAGAGGTAATTGTTACTTTGTTTATCTGACTTTAATCCTAAACTTTTATGTTGAGTGGTTGATGTTGCTAGTAATTGGTGAATATTATCAGTGCTAAAAGATTATTGTTTTCCAGGCATTTCATAGAGATGATCGGTTGAGATTCAACCATGCATTGTCTGGTTATCATTCATTGTCAGGTGAGCTAATGACATGCACAATTGAATATTAAGATGACTCCCATGGTTTTTTTATATTATTATAGTACAAATTCATTGATGATGCTGTTTTCAATGCATACATTTTAAAAAACTACTTTTACCATCAGCAGTGTAATATGAAACCATACCATGGAGGTGATTGGTTTTGTTTTTTTTTGGAAGTTGATTAATCGAGTATTAATATCCAATTGTGTCATCATCTCTTCAATTTGAATTTTTATCTAAATGGAGATTTATTGGTTCTTGTCTTTCTTAACTTGTGTAAATTTCGTTTGCAGTCTTTTTGTTTATATGCAATTATTGTATTTTATCATGCGAGTGGTGTTATATAAAGGGGATGTGAATTTTTGAAGGTGAGGAGATTCCCTTAAGTCGATCCTCTTCCAGCAACAGAGATGTTGACTTTGAATCTGGACGAGCTATATCAAATGCAGAAACTCCTGCTGGAGTTTTACAGGAAATTGCAATGAAGTGTGGAGCCAAGGTATTTTGCGCTGTTTGTCTTGCAAAAGAAAAGTTAGTCTAGCATATTTGCATATATCAAACCTTCGTGCTCCATCTTATTTCTTTTTCCCCTTCCTCCCATTTCTAAATGGGAACTTACAGGTGGAGTTTAGGCCAGCTTTGGTTGCTAGTACGGAACTGCAGTTTTATGTTGAGGTACTTTCAATTCTTTGACTTGCTACCTCGTAATTCCACTTTAGTCTGAGGGATATCATGTTTTGAACTTATCTAACCACAATTTAATGTTCTGTTGAGGAGAGCTCATGTGTAAGCGGCTAGTTAAATAATTTAACATGTCTTTTGATATATGAAACAATTCCTGTGAGTTTTAGACAATCTATGTACATTTCAACATTTATTTTTCTGAAGACCTATAAGAAAATTGTAGAGATGAGGAAAATTTCTAGTGTCTTTGGGACTTCGTCCACAAATTGATAACTTGGTCTCGAAATGAAGAGGGAGGCTCATTCTTTTCTTATTAAAATAATCATACTGGAGAGATGATATAAAATGGAACTCGCAATAAAATATTGTTCTCATAGTTAATGCTTTTGCTTTTATAGTACATGTTACTCACTAAGCTTTGGTGATTTATTAATTTTATAAACCAGAAATAGTAAATATATAAGATCCTTATTTCACAGAAATACATTACAATTGAAATGTTGCCTATTTCTTTGTGGAGAGAGATGTCAAATGTGAATGAGCTTAGCCCATTTTTCCTTCTGTAGGCTTGGTTTGCTGGAGAGAAAATTGGTGAAGGAAGTGGTAAAACGAGAAGGGAAGCTCATTACCAGGCTGCTGAGGGTTCTCTGAAAAATTTAGCCAGTAAGATTTCTTATTGTTGTATTTATTGCCACTAGCTAGGGTGATCTGCCATTCTCGGTAGTTCTTATCGTGCCTGTTTGGGGTTATAGTTGCTGCAGCTTATGATTAGAAAAGCTCCTATCTTTAATCTCTTCTTAGTGGACAATGTGTATGACCATCGTTGACAATGTTTTTGCAGATATATACCTTTCCCGTGTCAAGCCTGATTCTGTGTCCGTTCATGGGGATATGAACAAGTTTCCTAATGTTAACAGCAATGGTTTTGCGGGTAATTTGAATTCTTTTGGTATCCAGCCATTTCCCAAAGAGGAGTCCCTGTCATCTTCAACTTCATCGGAGCCTTCTAGGCCACTAGATCCTAGGCTGGAAGGCTCTAAAAAGTCAATGAGTTCAGTGTCTACACTCAAAGAACTTGTAAGACTCAAAACTTGATAGTCGGCTCTCGTCTCTCTCTTCTCTCTCTCTCTCTCTCTCTCTCTCTCTCTCTCTTCCCCCAAACAATTAGTTGCTATTTGCAGTGGCTGAATGATGTTAAGATTATTGACGGTTCATGATTTTGTACTACTTCAGTGTATGATGGAGGGCCTTGGTGTAGTTTTCCAACCACGACCTCCACCTTCCACTAATTCAGTCGAGAAAGATGAAGTTCATGTACAGGTTTGTATTTGAGCTCACTTGTGTCTTCAAGTTTCTATATTTCATTGTCTGGAAGTGCAGAATATTATGACCCTTCTCGGAATTCCTGGTTAAACTTTGTTAAATGTTGAAAGAAACTACGGAAATGAAACTAATTTAAGAACTTCAGAATACAATTTTTATATATAATGTGAATTGCAAAGCAGATTCCATTGGTATTGGAATTGCTTTTTTTCTTTTTTCCTTTTCTTTCTCATGTACTGGATCAAGAATAATACTTCCCTCTTCACTTGGTTGATCAGTAACAGAAATTAAAAGGTGGTTTAGTTGAGTTTGGTATGAATGAATCATCATCATGAATACTGATCAGGTCTTTGGGTTTTGGTGCAAAGCGAGAAAATGAGAACTGAGGGTTTGAAAGTTGTTTTAGAGTTCAAGCAAAAAAAACTCGTGAGCTCTGAGAATTGTTTTTGGGCCCTCAACTTCCAAGGGATGTCTGCACTGAGAAAGTATTAATCGTGTTGGTTGTGCTTTTTAGAAGTGTCGATGCTGGCAGTTGTTTGGGAATTCAAAGCTGCATGATTTTAAGCATAATCTTTTAGTATCCTTGAGGCATGCTTCTTTTTTCTTTCTATAAAATTCTCATTTGGTCTCATGTTTCAGGTTGAAATAGATGGGGAGGTTTTGGGGAAGGGAATTGGATTGACGTGGGATGAGGCTAAGATGCAGGTAATATATATTGTGCTCCAATTGATTACCCTTCTTGGGGCCTTAATTATTTTCAAAATATTTATCTGAGCACCTAAATATTCTTTTCCTTAGGCTGCTGAAAAGGCGCTCGGAAGTCTAACATCAACGCTATATGCTCAGAAACGTCAGGGTTCTCCAAGGTGTGTGAATTCATTAGCTGCAAGTATTTAGTTATTTTCGTCAAATTCATAATGAACTTTGAACTATGGTTGGGTCAACCAGCCATAGAACCTTTCCATCACTGTGTTTGTGGAACCTGATGGTTCAGTTCCAGTTTACTTTACTCCCTCTACAAGTGGTCCTTTGAGCACCAAGAGACCTCATTTTGGAAGAGCATATTAGTTCATTCTTTTGTGACGCAGCTCATGCTGTGTGTCCAGTCCTGGGGTATTTTACAAGCCCAGCAACAAGGTGAAGGAATTATTCTCATTTCTTTCCCTTTTTGGTTGGATTCTTGGAAACATATCCAATTATTGGTGGGATTTTGGTTATTTTTATCTCTTGACTCCTCTTTTTTTTTTTTTTTTTTTTTTTTTTTTTTTTTGGTTTTTGATTCTGTTGCTTCTTGTTCACATGGCATGAGAGCTCTTGCAACTTAGATAAACGCTTTTATAGCTCCCGCCAACAACTTAAATCTAGGGTTTGAGGATGATTTGAAAATGAATCGTCTGTTTAGTTTATTCCAAACTCTCTTGCTTTCCTTGTCTTCTTGTAAATTTTGTTAGCTGCTAGTCAATATCTTCTTTATATGTATATTGTGTATTCTCCCTCCCCTTCTAATTTTTGGTGTTTCTGGTAATGAAAAAAAAGGTCTTTGCAAGGGATGTCCAGTAAACGTATGAAGCAGGAGTTTCCACAAGTTTTGCAACGAATGCCCTCTTCTGCTAGATATCCAAAAAATGCTCCACCAGTTCCCTGAAAGTCATACCACCATTTCATCCCAATTTGGTATAACTACTGATGTGACATGCCTGCAGTACATATTATAGAGAATGGTTAGGACCATGGAGATTCAGAAGTGCCAAATGGCCCTAAACTCTTACAACATGTGGGCTGAAGAAGCCATGTGGACGAGATTGAGCTTGCAGCTTCATTTAAGATTCTTGTGAAAGAATGGGGAGGTGCTTCCGGGCAATAAAGTCCTAACATTCTTGGGGTTTTCTGCCATTGTTGTAACTTGTAACAGTTCCCCCTCCCCAACACCAAATGCTTATAAGCCATCCTCACAAGTTTTTGGAAGGCGATGCCGCCTTGTAACTCCACTTTTTTGTGTGGTTGATGACAGATTCCTTCCAATACCATTGAAAGAGCTTATTTGGGTCTGGAGATTTGTGACACTCTATTGATGTTTATATAGCGGAAGTAGAAAGAAATATGGCTTCGACAGCAGCTTTAGGCTATGCTCAGAGTCACGGCTACGCATGATAGTCACGGCACACACTAACCATTGACGGTAGTTACTGTAGTCCAATTGCCAGTTTTCTTTCAGTGCCCATCTCTGTGGGAATTGGCAATATTATAATGTGTCAATTCTGGATTGTTACCTGAGGTGGAACTGTTTAGTGATGTAAATTGAGACAATGTAATACCCTTTTCACTACTTATATTTGATGGAGTGGAAATTTTTCAACACATTTAGCTAATGTTTTAAGTTTGATTGATAACAATGAATTCTAAGCAGTTTAGCACAACACACCTGCTGTATCTATGCCGTGCAATGAGCTTATGCTGGCACAGACACAACACAGCTAGGTTTTTTTTTCCTTTAATTAATGGGACGGAGAATTTCGAACTTGGGATTTCTTTCAACTCGGAGAAGAAGGTACATTTAGCATCGGTACGAGGGTAAAAACCTCTATGATTGATGGATCAAATTCAATTAATTATTGATTAAATCAACAGCTCCTAAAATAACTAGCTTATTATTGTTATTTCATTTGAAAAATACTAAAAGTAAATAAAAGATCAATAATATTGAAAAAAAAAGTGTAAATCAGTTTGTTGCCAGTTGGTGCTTTATACAATTTGAAGTGGTTGCCCAATATCCATCATCCATGGATCAACCCATGTGTAAAATTTACAGCGAAACTCGCTATTGACCCCAAGACTAATTTTCAAATAATATAATCCGTGGTAAAAATATTTCTCTTTCTTTTTGTCGTCCTCCTTCTCCGTTAACTATATAAAAAGGGAAAAAGACTCAAAATATCAGCTTGCATTAGTTCCCAAGCAAAGCTCTTCTCTCTCTCTTTCTCTGCTCTCTCACTTTTAAATACCTTTTATACTGAATCGTCTTTAGACAGAGAAACACAGCGAAGAATGGCTTCGTTCGACGCGTTCAGCATTGACGGCGACGATCTCAACGCTTCCAACAGTCATTTTGACCAAGACGACGTCGTCGTCGAAAACTACACCGACTACGCCGAGTACTCCAGCTTCTCCGGCGGAGCTCCGACTGACGCCGAAGTAACCGCTGACCACGCCGCCGGTGCCTCAACGGATGTTTTCGGATTCGACGATCCGAGCTCCAACTACTCCCACTCGACCCCGTTCGATTCGGTTCCCGTTGAGAACGGTAATGGAAATGGATATGGTGTGGGCGAGCACGCAATCGACGATGACGTTTTCACATCGGACGGTCCCGTGCTACCTCCACCTAGCGAGATGGTGCCTGAGGAAGGTTTTGCTCTTCGTGAATGGCGGCGGTAAGATTCGGATCTGATTCCTTTTGGTTACTTAGTTACTTGTTTTGTGAGTTGCTTTAGATCTGTGAAATTCAGCATCCTTAGGAAAATTTTATGTGTTTGTTTTTGGATGTTGGGCTAGTTATAGGTGTTCTCTATTGGAATATGATTAGATCTGTGATTTCCTTTAGTTGTGATCTCGGGAAGAGGTAAATGTTTGTTTTTTAATTGAACTTTTTGGAAAGGGATTGATCAACTTAAGCTTCGGAGGTTAACCATTATATCTTGAAAAAGATCTACTTCCTTACAATACAATCCATGAGGGATTGTTAAGTTCTTACTGTATGTAAACATATAGATCAGTGGTTCATTGTGTGTTTGCATAGTTTAGAGCAGGCTCTTCAATCCTATGCAGCCGGAGCTGTTAGTAAACTGCAGAGTGCTTTTGGAGCCTGTTGGAATGAGGATTGCTATTGAGTTTCTTGCAAAATTAATTTTCAGATAGTCATTGTTTGGTTAATCAAAATTCATCTGAGTTTTCATCAAGTCAAGGGAAAAAAAGGGGTGGTTCATTAAAGGCTGCCCTTACGCAGTTTGTTCCAACCATCCTGTCATTAGGAGAAGACTTAGGTATAACAGTTTAACTGCAACAAACCAATAATGAAGTTACACGTAATCATTGTTGTTGGGACTCGTATCATTTATTAGGGAAATCCGTATCATTTATGTCATGTAACAACATGTTAAATTTAAATACTATGGTTCCGATCATTTCACTATTGTTTTGTGAAAACGCTGTAGCATGATGATGTGGTAGAATTGTTGTACTTAAGAATTTCTTAGGTTGGTTCAACTTCAAAATGACAACGGTAAGATGATCATAGTTATTTGATCATGCTTTTTGTTTACTAAGTTTAACACACTTTGGCTTGAGCTGTACCAGCAAACTGCAAGTGAAGTGGTGTTAGATTTCCCACTGGAAAATTAATGACTTAATTTGACTTTGCTGGTACAGTCTAAATGCCCTCCAGCTTGAGGAGAAGGAGAAGAGGGAGAAAGAACTGAGGAACCAGATTATTGAAGAAGCTGAGGAGTACAAACGTGCATTCTATGAGAAAAGGAAGCTTAATGTTGAGACCAACAAGGTTGAGAACAGAGAAAAGGAGAAGGTAAATTTTGGAATGCAATTATCAATTACTCCTTTTTCAACACCAGCTCTTGTGTTCTTAATGCTAAGAAATTGGTTCGTATGTGGAGCAGTTATTCTTGGCTAATCAAGAGAATTTCCATAAAAACGCTGACAAGCAAAGTTGGAAAGCAATAGCAGAGCTCATTCCTCATGAGGTTCCCAACATTGAGAAGAAGAGAGGCAAGAAGGATCAGGACAAGAAACCATCGATCACAGTCGTTCAGGGCCCGAAGCCTGGAAAACCCACTGATCTTTCAAGGCTGCGGCAAATACTTTTGAAGCTGAAGCATAAAACTCCACCTCATATGATTCCACCCCCACCTGCTCCTGCTAAAGATGCCAAAGGTGCCAAAGATGGAAAGGCTCCAGCCAAAGATCCCAAAGATGGGAAGGATGCCAAAAATGCCCAGAATGTAAAGGATGCAGCATCTAAATCTAATGGGTCCTCAGAAGCCGAGGTGCCTGCTTCACAAGCCAAGGATGCCACCTCTAACGGTTCTTCAGATGCCCCTGAACAAAGCACTCCTCCTTCTGTCGAGGACCTCTCTGCTTAACTCAAACCCTTCCATATTTTATTCATCCATTTTATTATTTTGAGATTCAAATTGATCATCGGCTGCCTTATCACTGGCTTCTGTTGCTACTGATTATCGGAATATTGTAATATTTGGTCTCCATTAGCCCTAGCTTTCAGTGTGGAGGTCTTCATATATTTTGATGTTGGGTGTGTTGTGTTTGGGATTTGAGACTGTCATTGTTTACACACATTTTATGAATATTACTTTTCTTTTTATCAGCAAGTCTTTTTTTGGGTAATCATTAGAAAGAAGTCTCATGTTTTTATGATGGCTTTTGGGCGTGTCAATAACAACGTTTTTGTATAATAAATCCTGGATTGATGTACAATGAAAAACAATGACATGGCACTCTTTAACATTATTAATAAGGCTGACGGTCAATTGAATCCATGGTATTTTTTTCGTGTAAGTACTACAAATTGTGACCTTAAATATTGTAGATTGCATCAACCGATCACATCTTATCAACTTTTATAAACATTCGAATATGAATTATTGTATGTTGACCAAGAATGTAGATCAAAATTTGGAATTTAGACATTGAAGAATCCATCAAGGTCAACTTGTTTGGGTCTGTTCTTGTTCGCATATAGGAGAGAAGAGTCAAGAGTGTTTATTGATTAATTTCTGTTTCACTATACAGCATTCTTCTCTTCCATTCTCTTCTTGAGAAGTACATAAGATAACGATTGAATCAAAAAGAAAAAAGAAAACAACATCAGACTAACATAACATTACAAATTCGCAACCTCAAATTAATTCTGCTCAAATCACCCTCTCCATTCTCAAATTGGCTAACAAAAGACGAAGAAGCGAAAACGTGTAAAAGGTTAAACAAGATAACTGTATGAACTACTGGAATAACTACTTGTGGACTTTTAAATTTCATCTGTCTTCCTCTAAATTGCAATGAGTGCATTATTCTTATTCTTCTTCAGCGAGGTGCTACTTGAGTTATAGTGTCAGGGACAGAACTCATCTGATAGCTAGTTGTGTCGGCAGATGATTTTTTACTTGAAGAAGGTCCGCTGAGGCTCCCTGAATTGTTGAAGAAACCTGGGGCTGTAAGTTGCTTCTCATTGATTCTGATGTTTCTTGAGAGCATCTCAACAACCACACTCATCGTTGGCCTTCGGCTTGCTGCTGCTTGGGTGCAGAAAAATGCAACCTTCATGTACCTAAGGAGTTCTTCCTCAGGAAATTCCCCCATCTCTGGGTCGACAAGCTCCAATAGTCGCCCTTCTTCATGGAGCTGCCATGCCTAAAGAAGAACAGAGAGAGTTGTAAAAGGAAGCAGAACAAGTTCAATATGAAATAAGTCCATGCAGGTAACCACCCGTTGTGTGTGTGGGTTAAAGAAGGAATATCAACTACTTCAATTGAACCAAAAACAAAAACTTGCTGTACAATTTCCACCTGTTCTCTAATTGATTGTGCAGCATGTCAATAATTCTCTTAGTAGATCAGATAATTAAACTAACTTGAGCATCCCTCGTTTAACAATTTCCAGTAAGAGTTAATCCATTAATCACCAGAAATGATAAGACCTAAACCCTTATAAAGGGCACAAAAACACGCAAAATAAGACTGCGAGTATGATGATGGAAAAACCAACTCACCCATTCGAGGAGAAACTTTTCTGTCCCTCCCCAGTTTTCCTTGGCACTGCTTCTGCCACTAACTATTTCAAGAACAAGAACACCGAAACTGTAAACATCAGCCTTCTTGGTTAACTGACCTCCCAGAGCGTATTCTGGTGCTAAATAACCACTGCGGAAAAACAAAACTAAAGCATAAGATGGCAGCTTAGTTTCTTTCACTTGCATCTCCAGTATCAACTGGACAGACCCATACGAAGTTACACTAAACACACACTAATCTCTAATTTGCCAAGATCAATAACTGAAGAAAACAAAAAAAAAAAAAAAAAAAAAAAAAAAAAAAAAAACAAAAAAAACAAACAACAGAAATCTCCTAATTGAATCAAGCAAGGAAAATGGAACGTTAACAAATGAATAACAATCAACTACAAATATGAAAGTAACGTACGTTGTTCCTGCAATCCTTGTGCTAATATGAGTGATGTTATCAGGGAAGAGTTTAGCCAACCCAAAGTCTCCAATTTTGGGGTTAAAATCTCTGTCTAGAAGTATATTACTAGCCTTGATATCTCTATGGACAATATGTGGCATCAGTTCCTCATGAAGAAACATAAGACCCCTAGCAGTACCCAAGCAAATGGCTGATCTTTTTTCCCAATTGAGTATGATGTTTTTACTCTTTGAACCTACAAACACAAGGAAAACAAATTAGACTTATAGTCCTTTCCCAATTCAGTCTTCCTTTCATGCTGAAGGATTTGATCAATTACCTAACAATGCATGATCAAGGCTGTTATTCTCAGCATATTCATAGACCAAAACCCGATCCGCTCCTTCAACACAGCACCCAATCAACTCAACAAGGTTTGGATGCCTGACATTTGATATAGTAATAATCTCATTTAAGAATTCACGGACTCCCTGCTTCGACCGAGCAGAAAGTGTCTTCACAGCAACTTGCTTGCCACTTTTCAGGGTTCCCTAGCAAAATGTAGCTAAACTACTAAGATAACATGAAATGGCGTGGATGAATACCATCTAGATATCCTGATTAACGTAAAATCATAATCAACATTTGGCCTTTACAATATAAGACCAACCACTAAAGCTGCGAAACTAAGAACAAGAAAGAACTCTGTCTTAAAAAGTCACAGAACCTAAACCGAATGGGTGGCTATTATTCTTGATGACAACATGATGAATTACCAAAATCCATGCCCTAGACATTAGCAAAATCTTAATACTGGAAAGATAAAAAATCTCTACTTTTCTCCAATCTAGAACTACAGATGAGAGTTTCTAGCATACCAAGCAATGTTTCTATGTGTCGAAAACGTAAGATTAGAATTTGAAGTGTTCTAAAAGCGTAAACCCAACTCAAAGTGTCAGCAATCAGATTTCAAAAGCTTTATGTAAATAGTTTTGAGCCAAGCCAAGCCATTCACAAATTTGGAGCCAAAACTACAATATAATTCAAATAACAGATATAATGGCTGCAAACTTCCCAACAGTGTTATTACGATAAGCCGTCTGCAAAATCCAAGTACCTTGTAAACAGTTCCAAAACCTCCTCGCCCTATCTTATTACTGGAATGGAAATCATCGGTCGCCGATCTTAATTCATTGTAGGAAAAAGTTTTAATATTTTCCAGCAAATTTCCTACACAACACAAGACAAAAATGAATAAGAATAATCATGATGATGCAACAGAGTAACAGAACAAAAAGAAAAGTGTAATGGATGGAAAACAGAAAAAGTGGGAGCATTTATTCATGTCCATACCATCAAGATCATGGCCAAAGTGACCAGACCTCCTTTTCCTGTCAGCAACTGAAGTACCAAAGCAGCTACAACCCATTCTTGTCCACAATAAACAACTTCTTCTATCTTCTGGGGTTCTATAATCTAAAGAAAAACAGCCCCACCAGATCAGATAAACCCTGCTAACAAGATTCGGACCGACCCATATTGCCAAAATCCTATGTTTTATAACCAAAAATCATAAATTTTTCCTCATAATATCACACAAATGAGCATCAAATACCCAAAGACAAAATTATCAAGCTTGTAAAATAAAAAAACTGATAAAACCCACCTCGTGGATTTGGATGGCCAATCAAGTTCGATCCTTGATCTCTCCAAGCTGGGTTTTAGCACTTGTTTCTGGCAGCAACCATGGCGAGCTTGAAATTGTTAATTTATTGAAAAGGATGCAATTTTTTAATGTGAAAACGAGAAAAAGGAAAAGAAAGGGAAAAGCTTTACTGGCCGTCTTCTTCTTATTAAAAAAAAGGAAGTTGGTCCGGCTTTAATATCACGAGAGTCGTTGCACGAGCTCTGCTTCCTTAGTTTGGTGTGTTCCCATCTACAGCTCTTGTTGAAACTTGAAAGTGACCATTTTTCCCTCTCTGTGTTCTTTGCCTGCCCATATTTGCGTCGTTAATTAGTGCCTCTCTCTGTTGTATGGCATCATTGTTGCTTTTTCTTTGTTAATAATGACATCATAAGGTTGTTTCATTCCTTGTGTTTTCAGTACTTTGTAATGCAGTTTTTGCATGATTGTATAATTTGATAAGAGTAATACTACACTTACCATATTTTTATCATTTTTTTTATACAATATGATGTGGTATGTTTATATTATATAAATGTGATAAAGTAGCATTATTCATTTAAGAAATATAACGAAAACAACAAATAGTTTTACTTCTCGTTTTTTCGGCACGACATCATTATTATGTTATGTGATGAGAGAGATATGTTGTGTGATGAAATTGATATAAAGAACTGTTGTATTCAACCCAATAAAAGTTTTTGTTTCTTCCTCTTTTGGCCAATGTCATGTGGTGAAACAAATGAAAATGAACTATAAAAGACTCTTATTTATCTTCTTGTCTTTCAAGAGTATAATCCTCATGGGTTATGTTGTAATGGTGAATAAATTTTGATATTCTTTTTTGGCTATAGTAGTTTTGAATAAGTTTTCTTGGTCCATGAAAAAACAAGTATTTCCCTTGACATATAGTTTGAATAATGAATAGCTCATAGTAAACAAACAAAAAGTAGACAAAAACAGGAGCCATAGCACTAGCGATCCCTCTGACCCAAAAAAAAGACAATAAAGACTAGTGATCCCAAGACTTACGTGCCTTCTCTTCAATTTTTTGTTTCATATTTATACTAGCCCCTTGACACACGCTCACGCATGTGTCAATTAGTTCTCGTTTTTATTTTATATTTCATTTTTAGAATTAAGAAAATATCATATGGGTAGTTATGTTCCATAAAAGTATGACCTATTATCTTATTTTATTTTTATTTTTATTTGTTTAATATATAAAAAAATATGAATTTATCATATTATCCTCATTTAATTAATAATTTTAATTCTTAATGTTTGAATTAACCAAGGGTATTTTTTTAGTATTTTGAATGTTTAACCATTCTTTACCTTTTGTTTTATATATATAGATATTATATAAGACTATAATAAGAACCATTTCATTAAGTGGTTAAATAGTTTCGGATTCCAGTGATTTTTTATAGATATGATATTTGAATTGAGATAATATCTAAAAACTAAACAGTTCGGATTATTGAAATACAATACGTGGTGGGACTTACAAATGTCTCCCTCAAATGAAGCTGTCTTATATAAAATAGTTAGACCAATTAATTTTGTTATTAAAATGCAACTACAAAAAATGCACCCGCTTTCGTTTTCATTGACCAAGCGCTTGACATCAATGCCATGGAGTACCATTATCAATACTTATCTCTTTTTCGGCTTCGTGTATTTAATCGCATTCATACCTTCCTCTTTTCGTATTCTCGAAACCAAGAGCATTTGACCTTAAAATTCCGCTTACAATTAGTTTCCATGCAAATTAAATGAGGTCTTTAGAAATCAAATACATTTGAATGGTATTTTTCGATTTCGAAGTCAAAGTCTCTCAACCAGTCATCTCTTCTTCGTGTAGGAAAAGTTTGTAAAAATAAGGGGAACAATTTTAGTAATCTTAAACAAGCTGGATTGGGCGGTGGGTGTTTCATCAGCAATTGTCAACAAATGCCTACGCTATGATTTGTCTGCAGCGACTCCATTTTTTCAACAGTCAGCTTGGAATATAATTGAAGATACATTTGGCCATTTTTCTACCACAAAAACATGTAATGTCATTTACCATACAATTTAACATGTTTTGTTGCGTAGTGGCCATTTTCATTTAAACGTATGATCTCAGTTATCGAATTACAACATAACATATTCATCTAAATAATACTATTTGTCCTAACACGTCTTCAATACAAGAATACTAGTATATTTGTTTTCTTCTTATAGTGGGTTATTTTATTTAAAATTTGGGCTCTTTCTTCGGTCGGGAATTCATATGTGAAGTTTTTTCAGTTTAGGATTTTATGGTTTTAAATTTTTTGTTATTAGGCATGCCGAAGCCCCAAAAAAGAAACCTAACAAGGCACATCCCTACTATGGGCTCTTCCTAGATCGTCATCCAGCAACAAGCTTGAGAGAGAGACAAGAGCAAACTCCCCGTTTGGTTTACGGAATGAATTTGAGGGGAAATCATTTCTCAAGGGATGGGAAATTGAATATTCCTTTCCCACGTTTGGTAATGTTAGGAAAGTAACGGAAGATATCACTTTATTTCCTTTCCAATGTTTGTTTTGAGTATGAATGGAAAACAAAATTGGTATAAATTTTCAATTATACCCATATTAAATCAAATAAAAAAAAATGCATTTAATGATATATTGTAATTCTAAATTGTTAATGGGGACAAAATGGTCATGAAAAATGTTTATTTAATATTGGCTCATTTCCATTTCCATGAGGAGGGAAAACAAAACCCAAGTTGGGAGGATGACTTCGCTTTCCCGCTACTTTTCTATGGGTTGGGCAACGATTTTCCATACCTAGACTTACCAAACATGAGAATGCAATTGATTTCCCATCACCAAGTCTCCTTTTTCATAAACCAAACGAGGCCATAGTAATGAAGCTCCAAGGGTAATTCATACCCTAAATTAGCAAAGGTGGTCAGCCGCTTTGTTTTGCTCCCTATAGATATGAGAGACATTCTATCTCCAATCACGGATTTTATGGTTTTCAAAGTTGAGAATATCATGCTTCCCATTACCTGTGTCTGCATTGTTTTCAAAAGTTGCTTTTGATTTCATAAAGTCCATCGTCTTATAATTGGCCAACACATGGTAAAAGTCTTAATGGTTTCAATTCTGGCCAATGATTTGCACCATTTAAATAAAACCAATTTGTTCATGTCACCATGTCTGCATCAAAAGTATAGCTTCCTAAATCACAAGAAGGGAGCTTATTTATTAAAAGTAACCCTTTTTACTTACTCTCTAATCACTATTACTTAGGCATGTCTGAAGTCAAATTATATATACTATATTCAAAGGCAAGGGAAAAGAAAAGTAAACCGTTCGCTTTTATACAGTTTTTCTGGCATTCAATTTCTTACAAATTTGTCAATAGACTTGGTTTGGCCAATCACCAAAAACCCAGTGCCAAAAGAATTCCAGACCTCTAGACCAAATTCCAACCTTGCTGGGGCCCAGCCAACACAAAAACACCAGAAATCCAAACCCAACAGCAACACCTGCAAATTGGGTTTTGGAATCACATGTCTTGTCTACCACCCAAAACCCTAAAATTGAGCTCAAACTGCCTTCCAAAAGCCGAAAAGAAAAAAAAAAAGGAAACAAAAGCCAAACCCAAATCCAGTCACTCTCTCACTCAACATATTCAAACATATACACACACTAACCCCACTACCCTCTCTCTCTCTCCTCTCTCTCTCTCTCTCTCTCTCTCTCTTTACACAGTGATATCTGTCGCCTTCAATCGCGACTTTCCACCACTCACATTCTTCTCTCTCTCTGTCTGCTTTGTGATTTGTATATATAATTTTTTTAGGGTTTTGGGCTAATGAGTCAAGTTAAGGAATCTGACGACGAGCCTGTGGCTCTGTCTCTTGAAAGCGATAAGCCCGAAATTGGGAGTATTGAGAGTATTGAAGAAGACGAAGAAGAAGAAGAAGAAGAAGAAGAAGAAGAAGAGCCTGTGGACAAGTCCGGCGATCCCATGGAGGAAGACTCCGTCAGTCCCGCCGCCGTCTTCTGTATTCGGCTCAAGCAACCCAGGTCCAATTTGCAGCACAAGATGAGCGTCCCCGAGCTTTGTCGCAATTTTAGGTAATGTTGAACGGAATTCGAGCTCCAATCTGTTGAATTTTGAGTTTTCTTCGTTGAATTGTGTTCTTCTCTTTTGGGGCATTTGATTGAATTGTATTTGATATTGGTTTTCAAGCGTTATTATGATGATTCATGAATGAAATGAAAAGACTTGTATTGGTTTGAGTTCGCTAGTTGTTTATTAATGGAGAAAAATTCTAAATTTACTGAAATGAAACAATTTTTTTGGTTATACAGTGTATAGTAAGGTGGGAAGTTCACTTGTATCGGTTTGAGCTCGCTAGTTGTTTGTTCATGGAGCAAAATTCTAAATTTACTGAAAAATTCAAACTTTCATATTCCCCTTTTATTCACGTATAGAAAATACTTCTTGAGCTTTTCAGTTAATAAGGAAGGCAATAACTGGTTTTCAACATCATGGAAAGTAATTAATGGGCGAAGGTTCAGATGGCAATACCTATAACTAGATTAATAAAAACCCAAAATCTCTCACAACATTTCAAGTTTAACCCTTTTTCTTTGCTTCCCACCTTACCAGACACTATCACAACAAATTTTGTTTGATTCACTAAATTTAGCAAGGATAATGGCCACATCGACAACAATGGATCAACATTCCCTTATTTATTTATTTTTATAAATATTTTATTTATTTCTTCATTCCGTATTTGGTTTTAGTAATAATAACTTGCCTTAGTATCAGAGACGTTACAGGTTATCATCTGCCTTTTGGTAAAGATAACCGGAAATCTTGGAAATAAGAAGAAGCATAAGTGCAAAGCTAACTTGAATTGATTGACTTCCTGAATCCCAAACATCATGATACGGCAAATAGCCCTGTTCATCTTACGTGCATAGATATTCGTGGAGATTTTCTCGTTATAATGGTCAGTATTAGTATCTGTGCTCAATATGGATTTGATGAAAAAATTACATATAAACAATTGTATTAACAACACTAGATTTTCTTGGTGCAAATTTTAAGAAATAGTTCTTAACCATCTGATATGCTTCTCTTGAGGTGAATGATATTTGGGGGTTGTATAATAAATATACATATTTTTGTTTAAATTATATGTTTTCAGTTGCATACACAGGATTTGGCATAATGGGTACTCTTTTTATTTGTTTCGCAGTGCCGTTGCTTGGTGCGGGAAGCTGAATGCTATAGCTTGTGCATCAGAAACGTGTGCTAGAATTCCAAGGTTATCATTGTTTGTTTTTTGGCTCAATTTATTAGACCATGAGAGATTGTCTCACTAATTGTCTCATGAAATGTGGGATTTATTTAGTTGGATTCAGAAAGCACTATGAAAAGTTAAGAATGGTTCTCTCTAGAATGTTTAAGAATCGGAGCTACTTTTAAGAAAACCAGAGCATCTTACTTTCCTTCCTCTGAGATCCAAATGGAGCATTAAGGAATCACTAGAGTGTAAAATCTAGCCAGCCTGGTTGATGGGCATTAAAGCTTGGTTATGTTTTGGCCTAAGTTTAAAAAAAAAAAATTTTCTTTCCTAGTATTTAGATTGTATTCATGTATGGTTATGACTTTTCTTCTTTTTATTGGTTTTGGTGTAGTTCTAATGCAAATCCACCTTTTTGGATTCCCATACATATTGTGATCCCAGAGCGACCAACTGAGTGTGCAGTGTTCAATGTCAATGCAGGTATTTTACTGATTTACTCTGCTTTTTAAGAGGCTTTAGGTTCTTTGCTTAACTTTGCTGGACTGCAACTCATTCACAGAATTGCTTGATAACTATGGAGGTTTAATAATCCTCTTTTAAGTACTTTGGGAGGCAAAGCCATATGATTTTATAGATATATGCTTTTGAAGCTAGAGTGAAGTTGCATGGTTGAACATGATTGAGTGTCAATAGTCATTATATGGTTTCCGTAATGCAGAGATTGCTATGCAAGAAAAATGATTTGATGCTTTTAGGGTTATTAATAACCGATTTTATGAGCATCCCATAGTTCACCAGCAATCTGCTAGTTCTTTAAGTGTCCAACCCTTTCCCATTTCCTATGGCTATTCTGTAAAGGAATTAAAGCTAGGGTCATGCCCTAATTTGGAAGAAGCTTCGTCAATAGACATTTGGCATATGATGATTAGCATGTGTTTTTTATTCAATAAGTTAGTTCAAGAAGTTATATATATAGTTAGAGTAATTCACTAGTTTTTGGTGATGCCATTTTTTTCTTTTCCCCCAAAAAAACATTGGTTCTAACTTCATGAATTGTTATTGTTACATTGAATATATTTTGCAGATTCTCCTCGTGATTCTGTTCAGTTTATTGAGTGGTCACCTACTTCTTGCCCTCGTGCCTTACTAATTGCTAATTTCCACGGGAGAATAACAATCTGGACTCAGCCTTCTCAAGTAAGCTAGACTTGCCGCACTGATTTCTCCAAAATCTTGGATAGATGAATTTTTCCCCTTACAACTTTTTGATGTGGCTTTTGCCTTTTCCCTCAACATTTCTTTTTGATTAGCTATTATTGAAATGTTTATTTTGGTCTGTCTGTATAGGGGCCAGCTAATCTAGTACGTGATGCTAGCCGGTGGCAACGAGAGCATGAATGGCAACAGGATATTGCAGTTGTCACAAAGTGGCTGTCAGGGGTGTCTCCAGTAAGCAATTTTGTTGGCTTCTACTCATCTGGATTTAAATGCATCTCATTCTGTTTATCTGAGTGTATTTTGGCCACTCGTATGGATTTAAATGCAATATTTTGGTGTTCTTAATGATTATATCAACTTCCCATTTCATGTCTACTGGTGTCATCCTCTCAGATGATGTTGATGTTCTAATGTTGTTTTTTCCCCTGATCCTGATGAACCAGTATAGGTGGCTTTCCTCAAAATCAAGTGCTGCCTCAAATGCAAAGTCAACTTTTGAAGAAAAATTTCTTTCACAGCAGTCTCAAAATTCAGGTTTTTTTTTTCCTTCCATTGCAACCTCTCTTAATTCCATGTTTGTTAAAAAACACGAAAATTAAAATTTTCATTGTACTGTGTAAGTTTGGGTGTTTCTGATGCAATATTTTGTTTTTTTGTTTCAGCTAGGTGGCCCAATTTTCTTTGCGTTTGTTCTGTTTTCTCTTCAGGCTCTGTTCAGCTTCACTGGTCCCAGTGGCCTCCTAATCAGAATAGTGCTGCACCAAAGTGGTTTCAAACGAGCAAGGGACTCTTGGGTGCTGGGCCTAGTGGGATCATGGCCGCTGATGCTATCATAACAGACAGCGGTGCCATGCATGTGGCAGGTGTTCCAATTGTAAACCCATCTACTGTTGTTGTTTGGGAGGTCACTCCTGGACTTGGAAATGGATTTCAGGTAACTCCGAAGATTAGCACAAGCAATGGGGTCCCACCTTCACTAAATCCACCAAATTGGGCAGGTTTTTCCCCTTTGGCTGCATATTTGTTTAGCTGGCAAGATTATTTAATATCAGAAGCAAAACAAGGGCGAAACCAGACCGATCCAGATTTTAGTGATACTGTACCACTTCATTGCTCTCCAGTTTCAAATTTTTCAGCATATGTGAGTCCTGAGGCTGCAGCTCAATCTGCAACGACCACTACATGGGGATCTGGAGTTACTGCTGTTGCCTTTGATCCAACTTGTGGTGGTTCTGTCATAGCTGTTGTCATTGTTGAGGGTAATAATTTTGTTTTTTCTGGAAAACCTTTTTACTAAATTCAATTGCAAGCTGTCAGTTGCATTTGTTTGTTCACCTTTTCTTAGTTTTTCCTAATCCAGAAGTACATTCTTCCCAAACTTTTTGTCCTTAAGTTATTTGTTAGACATCTTTGCAGCCTTATGTTTATTTTTTCTTTCCTTATTCTTTACCTTACCTTTGATTCTTATGTGAGATTTTAAATTTTATTCAATGTGACACCTCAGGTAACAACAGCCCAACACTAGTTTTCTTTGTCTTTTATCTTCGTTAAGTGTTAATTGTCTATCATTTAACTTGAAAATGACCTTTTCTGATCTACAGATAACGGGGTTTAGGAAATTAAGTGATGATGATCTATAATGTTTGTTTGTTAGTTATTTTTATTTTATTTTATTTTTTTACATAAGGAATAATTTTTTCTTATAGATACACGGGAACTATATTAGAAGCATAAAATTCATCATATGATTTTCACCTTTGCAGGACAATACATGTCTCCTTATGATCCAGATGAGGGTCCTTCAATTACAGGATGGAGAGTGCAACGATGGAAATCATCCCTTCAGCCTGTTGTTCTTCATCAAATATTTGGAAATCCTACTTCCAGTTTTGGTGGGCAGGCACCCATGCAAACAGTTTGGATGTCCAAAGTGGACACAAGCATACAACCAACTAATGATTTTAAAAGTCACCAAGCAGCTGCATCAGGAGCAACCTCTGATGCAAGGAAGACAACTGATTCTAGCCTTGAGAAGTCAAAACGAGTTAGTTTTGATCCTTTTGACCTGCCAAGTGATGTTAGAACACTTGCTCGAATAGTCTATTCTGCTCATGGTGGTGAGATTGCTGTTGCTTTTCTCCGGGGTGGGGTTCACATCTTTTCTGGTCCAAACTTTGCACCTGTTGATAACTACCAGATTAATGTTGGATCTGCAATAGCTACTCCTGCCTTCTCATCAACAAGCTGCTGCTCAGCTTCTGTTTGGCATGATAGTGGTAAGGACCGTACCGTTTTAAAAATAATACGTGTCCTTCCTCCTGCTGTTTCTAGCAGTCAAGTGAAGGCAAACTCATCAACCTGGGAACGTGCAATTGCGGAAAGGTACTTAAAAGCGGTTAATGTTTGTATATTCCACCCAGACGAACCTTGAGTCCCCAAAATTAGATCTTAATGGATGTTTAAGTTACATCAGATAGAGGGGTCAAATTTTTTTTTCTTTCTTTCAATAAGACTGATGATTTTCATTGCAGGTTTTGGTGGAGTCTTTTGGTTGGGGTTGATTGGTGGGATGCTGTTGGATGTACACAGAGTGCTGCCGAGGATGGCATTGGTAATGGTGGCATGTAATACATGAAATTTAGGAAGAAAAATAAATGTCTCCTTTGTATATGCGTTTCTGACCATGGTATTTGTTTCTGTTGCAGTTTATCTGAATAGTGTCATTGCAGTACTTGATGCAGATTTTCATTCTCTTCCTTCTACTCAGCACAGGCAACAGTATGGTCCTGTAAGTTTTTCTTGCCGTAACATGGGTTATTCAAAATTCTTATGGATTTTACTTTTTCACATGCTTATCTGCTCATGACAATAAGTGAATGTGTGTAATCCTTTTTTATCCACTTTTTTGGGTTCGGGATGGGGATTGGTATGTCATGCACCATTACCATGCCAGTTTCAGTTTCATATCTTTGTTCATTTCTTTTGTTGTTTTGACTAACAAAATTCTCTCCATAATGATGCAGAGCCTAGACAGGATAAAATGCAGGCTACTGGAAGGTACAAATGCACAAGAAGTTAGGGCAATGGTTCTAGACATGCAAGCCAGGCTGTTGCTTGACATGCTGGGGAAAGGAATAGAGTCGGCATTGATTAATCCATCTGCTTTGGTAGCAGAGCCATGGCAGGCATCTGGTGAAACATTATCGGGCATAGATCCTGAAGCAATGGCTGTTGAACCAGCACTAGTTCCAAATATTCAGGTTTGCTGTTGATTGTTGAACTTTTTAATTTTGTACTTTCATTTTCTCCTGTTAAAGGTTATACACTGAATGCATGCACACTGTCAAAATTTTGATAACTAATCGGTGGTTTTGTTACTTGATATTTTTCTTTCATTCTTTTTTTTAATTGCTAAATGTGACAAAGTATAGTGTGGAATCCAGTCATATAGGTGCATAGTTGTGAATTAATTTTTTGGCCCTCATTTCCATGAAATGAATAGTAGAACTGCTCAAGCTGAGCTTGTTGGGTGTGTATAGCCCCAGTACTGATATGGAGATGCGGTTTTTCTTCAAATTTGCACCTTTGTTATTTCCTAATTTTTCCACTATAATACAGGCTTACGTTGATGCAGTTCTTGATTTAGCTTCTCATTTCATTACTCGCTTGCGGCGCTATGCAAGCTTTTGTCGCACATTGGCGAGCCATGCTGGTTCTGCAGGAACTGGCAGCAATCGCAATATGGTGGCTAGTCCTACCCAAAGTTCTGCTTCTCCAGCAACAAGTCAGGGTCAGTATCTCTTAGTCTTCTCATTATGAAAAAATGTAATTGATTATTTCTATTGTTGGGTTCACATGCAAAAAGGTTAAAAAGAATAAAAATCAAGTTATTATGCCCTACATCAGGATTGACCAGATGGGGTTGGTCCTAAATCCCAAACCATTTAGATGTTAGAATATCTTCTGATGCATCTGAGGGTTTGTGTGGCATGATTTTTCGTACTCATGTCATGAGACGGTTGCTGATTGTTTTCTTCTCTTATTTTGTCTCCATATTTTGCATTGCTTGCAGTGCAGCATTTCTTTGATAATGTAATGCTATATTTTTTCAGGAGGCCAAAGTGGAACTACAACTTCCACAGGAAACACCCAGATGCAAGCTTGGGTACAAGGTGCTATTGCAAAGATTAGTAGTACCTCTGATGGAGTGCCCAATTCAACTCCAAACCCCATCAGCGGACCTTCTTCCTTCATGCCAATAAGTATCAACACAGGAACATTTCCTGGAACACCTGCTGTTAGGCTCATTGGGGATTGCCACTTTCTTCATAGGTTATGCCAGCTTTTGCTTTTCTGTTTTTTCTTTCGGCGAACCCAGCTACCTCGTTTTGTTGGGGGTGCACAGAGAAATACTGATGCAAATATACAAAAGCCACAGCCTGGTGCTCCTGGGAAGGTGGAGGAGGTCAGCTCTGTTACTGTAAAGTCATCGTCAACCATGGTTAGACAGGATGAGGGTCAGGTAGCTCGGGCTGGTCAGATCATACCTGGAGCAAAAGGAGCTGAAGAAGGACCTGCTGGAAGGTCGAGATTGGGTGCTGGAAATGCTGGTCAGGGATACACTTTTGAGGAGGTAGAAACTGATCTCTGCCCTAAATATGACATGTGGCTTCAATTGTTTATATCTGGCTTATATCTATTATTTGATTTGTGAACTGCGAATGGGTTTTCCAACCTTAGTGTCTCATATTCTGAAATTTAAGTGTAAGGGCATTTTCAATTGATTGGAAAATTCCGTCCATAAAAGAAAATCAGTAAACAGATCCTAGAATGACATAATGCACCCTGTTGCTGTCCCGTAGGTCAAAGTCCTTTTCCTCATCCTTATGGATCTTTGCCGGCGAACAGCAACCCTGGCACATCCATTGCCAGTTTCTCAGGTGGGAAGCAGCAACATTCAGGTGCGGCTGCATTACATTGATGGCAATTATACTGTACTTCCAGAGGTTGTCGAAGCATCACTTGGCCCTCATATGCAGGTATGGTTTCCTGAAACACCACTGATTATGGTGGAGTTGCATGGGTTCTGCTTTCACTTGTCATCGATAATGTAGGCCTGTGATATTACAATGACCTGGGAGTAAAATAAATGAGGATCAACTTTCTTGCTAACTGGTTGCTTAAAATTCCCTGACATTAATACAGTAATGTATAGTTTTTATTTTTATTTTTTGTAAGTGTCAATTGCAATCTTCTTCTCTTTCTGATGGTAAAACAGAATATGCCCCGGCCTAGAGGTGCAGATGCTGCTGGTCTGTTACTCAGAGAGTTAGAACTTCACCCTCCAGCTGAAGAGTGGCACAGGCGGAATATGTATGGTGGGCCTTGGTCGGATCCAGATGATATGGGTCCTCAAGATGATACTCCCAAGCTATGTAATTCTGCTGACCCACTTGGTTCCAACTCATTGGAAAGTTGTGAGGTTTATTATGGAGCCCATGGTCTGTGGCCTAGGAAGCGCAGGATGTCTGAAAGAGATGCAGCCTTTGGCTTAAACACTTCTGTGGGTTTGGGGGCATATCTTGGTATAATGGGATCACGGAGAGATGTTGTTACTGCCGTATGGAAGACTGGTCTCGAAGGGGTTTGGTACAAGGTTTGATATCAAAAGTCCTCCATGTTTTTTGGTCTCTCCATCTTATAGTTTTTGGTCCTTTGGATCTTATTTTCTACTCCTATTTGCATGCAGTGCATAAGATGTTTGCGGCAGACTTCAGCCTTTGCTTCTCCTGGTGCTACTAGTCGACCTAATCAAACTGGGCGGGAGACTTGGTGGATCAGCCGTTGGGCTTACTGCTGTCCCATGTGTGGTGGAACATGGGTTCGAGTTGTATAGATGACTAAACTTATAGGTGTGTTCCTTTTCTAATGTTACATGGAACGAGCTCCAAGGTGGACAGACCATTGCTGATCATTGACAACTGAATGATGTGCCACTGCTGATTGTTGATAACTGAGTCATATGATGCAGATTGGACATACAGAAGCATTCGTGAAGGTGATCATTTTAGAAGATGATCCTGGTCAGTAATCAAACTCGTCATGATCTGATAATACCAGCTATGTTTTTAGTCTTGCTTATTTACAAGTATGGTATAGAACTCTCCGTATCTGCATCTCCTTAGGGTTTATTTTTTCCTTTTTCTTTTGGGGATGGGGGGAGGATTTAAAAGCGGACCGATTAGGTGACTTTCAGTATAGAATAAGACTATTTTGTTGAGAATTCATGTTGGCTTGAGCAGTTGACCCAGGGTATAGGGTATTCTGTGGCTCCACATCAAACTTGTTACCCATAACAAGCTAGCCTTTTGACATGGACACATTAATAACATTATGATGACTAGAGAGTTCAGTGAGTTATGTTGCGCAATTGGTCTTCTTCTAGTTAATGATCATGATTTCACCTTCCCCATTCTGTTAACAAATTAGGAACATTGTAATACAAATCAATAGGTGACCATTAAATAAAACTCAACTATTTTGTGACGCATTAGATTGATTTTTCTTTATTCTTTTCAGGTTTTCGTGTTGCAGGTTGTAAATCCTCTAGCCCTGACCTTGATTTATCCATTTCACATGTAGTGAGAACATCACATTTGATTTATTAGTACACACGCATGTAAAGCGTAATAGCTGCCAGCGGGGAACACAGTCGAGATCATCGTAGCCTCGGGAAACATTTCTCTCATGAGTTTAGTTCTTGATGGACTTGCTCTCTTGATTTATTAGGTTGGCCAGTTTTGCAGTCTAACGGGCTTTAACATTATTTGGGATAAGGGTGTGATTGTGAAGAAGGCAGGAGGGTGCTTGGTAGGTAGGTTCCTGTTAATTATAATGAAAGCAGCATTCTTGAAGCAAATCAATATATTATATTATAGCCCTTTGGACATATGGGGAAACTCAAGGGGCTCCAGATGAGAGGAGGCCATCTGATTCTGATAGATGATGGGATTATGGTGGTTTTTTTGTTTTGTTTTGGATTCTGCTTGTTTCGCGAATGACTATACTTCTGATGTTTACATGCCATATAAATTTTCTCCCCCATTTGTGACTTCGTGTTAATTTCTTCTTTTTCTGGTCGATTTTCTTTTTCATTGTGTATAAATATGATGTCAAATGTTACGTGCCACCAAGATTAACCGTCTAACAACGCAAGACATTTTGATTGGTAAACATCATATTTTGAGCATTCCATCATAATGCAGGACCTGTTTTTTGGTTGAAAATAAAGGAAAAACATGTTTTGTTTTGGGTATGGAAAAAAAATATTGATCTCGGCTGCAAAGAATTTCCACAATTACAGATGTCAATGAAGGATAATGCGGTTCATAATCGAGTGCTGAAGTTAATGATCTCCTTAAATAGGGTTACTTTCCTAATTTTCTTTTGGGACATTTTGGAAAAAGCAAAAGGAGAGAGAAAAATTTTAAAAGAAGCAAAAATGGACAAAAATGCCCTTATTTATTTTTAGATTTCCTAAGGAATCTAATACATTTGCATGTCTTTGATTTGAAAGTTGAGCGGTTTTTTTGTCTTTTTTGAAAAAGCTTTGGCTTTTTCCAAAAGTGAAAATTTTTTTATGTCTAAAACCTAAAAAACCTTTTTCTTAAAAAGGAGGATCCTAAAAGAATTTGGGGTGACCGAGGGGTTTACCTCGTGTTGTTGAGCCCCCCACCCCCCCCCCCCCCTCCTCCCTTGGTCACCACTTCGAATCCCAGGAAAAGTACCCCACATCCCCAAATTACCGCATTTCATAAAATGAAAAAAGAGAGAAGGATTTGGGGTCAATATCTAATTTCCAAAAAAGAAAGTTATGGTTTATGTTTTAGGGCAAATCTTCCCTTTTCTATGTGTACGATTTTATTTGACTTGTCTAATACAATTATTAATATCTTTGAATGTATGTTATTTTAACTCTTTATTCTTCATATGATATGGGTACCCCAGCCTCTACGACATTTAACTCATTCTCATTATTAAAACTTGGCCAAAAGTCACTTTTGGTCCCTGTAGTTTGACACTTCAACCATTTTTGACCCTGTAGTTTCAATTTCGTCACTTTTAACCCTGTAGTTTCATATTTGAAGCAATTCAAGGACATGTTAAAATTTCTGTTAATTTCTTTAACGGAGTAAACATGTGCCCCTCACGTGGAGGGGCAATTTTGTCAGTCCAAAGCAGCTTGTCTCTTCCTCTTCCCTAGGGCGCGCGAAATTGGCCATTTTGAAGCAGATTAGGATTAGGGCTCTTAAAAATTTAGTGAAATTCATCTGGGTTTTTGATTAAGTGCAACGAGAGGGTGCGAAAAGACTAGCAGAACTTCAATAGGGTTTAGGGAGGTGAAGTCGATGGAGGTGAAGAACAGAGGTGAAGTCGATGGAGGCTTCAATAATCCAGGTGAACTCAAAATCTTTGAAGGTTCAGTTTTCTGTGCGAATTTGTTTTACAACTTTCTTTTATTTGAGGTTTCAATGCATATAATTAGTAGGTTCCAACGCCATTTCTGAAAGCAAATGATGTTTATATAGTTGCAGAAAGAGAACGATAACAACACAGGAAAAAGAAAAAAAAACATAAAATAGCTATGATTTTTGTAATCATCACTTGTTAAACAATCAAATTCATCTACATTTTAGTGTCAGGCTATGTAATACTCACATATATAAATTTTAATGATCATCATTAGAGGAATCAGTTTAAATTCCGTACGCAACCCATGTAGTGGGTAATTTTTTCGAAATTTAGAGAAAAAGCGTGATTTTCAGTGTTGATTTTATATATATATATATATATATATATTACACTATAGAAAAAGGAATGATTATCGCTCTTGAAACCACTAAGAACTAAGACAAGGAAATGATAGCATTGAGGTCAGCAAGGCATTCAATGGGTAGGCCAAGGAAGGAGTTAATCAGAAAGTCATCAATAGGATCAACAGTTGCCACCCCAACCAATCTGCACTTTCCTTGTTCATCCAACCTCTCCCCTCTTCCACTTTTTATTGAGCCTTTTTTTTGTTGTTGTTTTTTTTTACCTGGCCAGATTCTTGATTGATGCTCCCCTTGAAGAGCTTGGGAATGTCAATCTTCAAAAATGGTGGCAATGGCAATCCCAAGAACTTTGTTGTTGCACTCTTCTCTGTTCTCGCTTTTGTTTATTCCATTCTTTTGTTTTGTGGCCTTGTTTTGTTTTGTTTTTCTTATTTGAATGACCTTGTTTTGTTATGCAACTTTGGGTTTGGAAAGTTATGCTTTGTTGCTATGATGGTTGAAAATTTTATAAAATAGTGTGTGTATTGGGAGGTTGGGAAACACAATGGTCAGCTATTTGCATAAAGTAAAGCAATATGCATGCCATTTGTTATTTAATAGCTCTGAATGCTTTGATTCACATAAAGTAAAGCAATATTTTCAATTTCATGGCATTGATTTTTCAGATGCTGGCCCTCCACGATTTCCTTATGTCGAAGCAGTTGATGAGGTTCCAGATGAATATTTTGATGATATTTTTAATCAAGCTTCACAAATTTCCTTTGAAGGTGGACAAGAAGTGGGTAATGACAACATGGGAACAATAGAAGTGCCTGTGTATGGACATAATATTGACAATGAAGATAGGATAAAGGTACCTGTCAATGTTGATGATGAAGAGGATAGTGAAGAAGACTGTGACGTTGATGGTAGGAGGAGAGTAAGAGATCTTCAAGACAGTGGTGATGAATCAGATAAAGAAATATATGAAAGTGATAATGATGCTGCCATTGATGACAACAACCTGTTTGATGGAAATATGCAATCCAGTTTTGGGAGAGTAGGAAATACCTATCTACCTAAGGATTTTGTGGCTTTTGATCATGAAGAAGACTCGGATACAAACTCAGAAAAAGCTTTCAACTCACCTAACCACTCTTCAGATGAGGATGGTGAAATGAAGAGGAAGTATCCAGAGTTCTGTAAGTCTGATTTGAATAATCCCAAGCTTGAGAAAGGAATGTTATTTGGAAGCAAGGAGATCTTGAAGACAGCTGTTAAGAATTATGCAGTGATGGGAAATTATTCAATAAAATTTGTCAAAAATGATAAGAGGAGGATCACTGCAAGATGTACAAACTGCACTTGGATGCTTCATGCTTCATATATGCAACTAGAGGAAACGTTGCAGATCAAGACCTTTATTGATAAACACATTTGCGTCCGAAATCCTACTAACCCACATGTCAATTGTGTATACATAGCTCAAAAGTATATAGATCGTATCATGGATGAGCCTGATATTACGATTAAAAATCTTAAGAAGGCAGTGAAGAGGGACTTAGGATATAATGTTTCAGATAGCCAATGTTCTAGAGCTAAGAGGAAAGCCAAAAAAATAATAGAAGGGACTTACATGGAGCAATACTCAAGGCTGTGGGAGTATTGTGATGAGGTGAAAGCAACAAATGTGGGAAGCACAATGAAGATAAGGGTGGAGCCTCCTCCGCACTTGCAAAGACTTTATGTATGCCTTGATGCATGAAAAAAAGGCTTTCTGGCTGGCTGCAGACCTATCATTGGAGTGGATGGATGTCATTTGAAGGGTCCTTTTGCAGGTAATAACTACAACAAATGGTTTGAATAAATACTCAGATTAGCCACTTATATTAATTGATATTTTTCAATAATATGTGAGTTTAACTCCTTTCTTTCATAGGTCAATTACTTGTTGCAGTGGGTGTTGATGCCAATGATAACATGTACCCTATTGCATATGCTGCTGTGGAGTTGGAAACTAAGGAGACATGGAGCTGGTTTTTGGAGTTGCTAATGGATGATCTTGGTCCTGTAGAAGACCATGGATGGATATTCATATCAGACCAACAAAAGGTGAGCTTATAATTCATGCATAATGGTTTAATTTTATTCTTTATTATTTATTATTCCGAATAAACTTATGAATAACATATGGTTTTATTGATTATTAATATAATATATATTCAAGAACAACTAAAATGTGATTATGCTTATACCTGATATAGGGGTTGGACAAAGCCTTTGATATTGTTGTGCCTCAAGCCCAACATAGGTGGTGTGTTAGGCATATGTATGGGAACTTCAAGGAAAAGTATAAGGGCAAGGGTTTGAAAGATCTTTTATGGAGTGCAGCTAGGGCTCCCGATTGCCATGACTTTGAGGTTGAGATGAATAAGCTGAAAGAGATGGATGGTGATGCTTATAATTGGTTGATGGGGAAAGATCTAAATAAGTGGGCTAGACATAGGTTTAGCACTGCCCCTAAATGTGATATGTTGTTAAATAATTTGTGTGAAACATTTAACAGCTACATCTTGGGTGCCCGAGATAAACCTATATTGACCATGCTAGAAATGATAAGGTGTAACCTAATGAAAAGGTTAGAAGTGAAGAGGATTGCTATGGCAAAACATGAGGGGGTCATTTGCCCTAAAATTCAAAAGAAATTGGAGAAGATAAAGATGCATTCGGCTAGGAATTGTATGCCAACAGCAGCTGGAGCATTTGAATATCAAGTGGGAGAGTACTTACATGATCAACATGTGGTAAATATAGCATTGAAGACATGCTCTTGTATGAGATGGGATCTTAATGGTATCCCTTGCATTCATGCCGTTGCTGCCATATATCTTTATAGGGGTTGTCCAGAAGATTATGTAGCTTCATGCTATCTTAAGGACACTTATTTGAAGGCTTATGAGCCAATGATTCATCCAGTGAAGGGCTTTAACATGTGGCCAAAGTCAAATCAAATACAACTCTTACCTCCAATTGTTAGAAAACAACCGGGGAGACCAAAAAGGAGTAGGAAAAAGGACCCTGAAATGGAGAAGGTTGTTGATACCAGTGGTACTAAACTCAAGAGAAAAGGCACTGTCACATGTACCAAGTGTTGGAAAAAAGGCCACAACAAAAGGAATTGCTCTAATCAGCCCCAAGACCCTCCACCTGGAACCTATATTGATAAAAGATGGGGACTTCCAGCTTCTTTGAAGAAAAGGAGAAGTAATGGTGCTACAGATGTGGCCTCCTTTTCTCCTATGCCAACTCAAGAGAATGTGCACACCACTCTGATGCAAAGACAAAAGCTTCCTGTAAGTGTTTTCATTTTTCCTAATATATATTAATATACATTTTGTGTGGCTATGCAGATTAGGAAGGGTTATGTAAATGCTCCAAATGCACCAAGGCCAACTCCTCTTGTGCCCACTTCAAGACCAACTCCTCTTATGCCCACTCCAAGACCAACTCCTCTATTTATACCCACTCCAAGGCCTATTCCTAATATGCAAATTGGAAGTTTAAGCTCTGTGAATCAAAGACAAATTGGCGGTGCAAGATCAATGAATACAAGACCAACTCTTAATATGCAAATGGGAGGTGCTAGTTCTGTGAATCCAAGGCATATGGGAGTTAGCATTAGGCCTCCACTATCAAGGCAAATGGGAGGTTCAAGTGCCCGATGGAACCCACCAGGAAAAGCAACAAACAATAAAAATTCCAAGTGAACTGAAATTGCTTATTTTGGTTGTTGGCCAATATTTTGTGAACTGAAGTTGGCCATTACTTTTGAACGTAGTTTAATAGTTTCTGGTTGTTGGCCAATATTTTGTGAACTTTCTTCTTTTACTATAACTGTAACAGGCCTTGAATTCTTCTTTTGTTATCAGACATACTTTTTTGGCTACAAGTGTAAGACCCCTGTTTTGGGTATAATGCAATCAGATTTGACTAAAAAAACACTCAAATGTTTTGTGAAATAGCAATCAGATTTAACAATCATAATAGAAAGATACTAAATTCTTGGTTTTACGTTGGGTAGAGACAAGCTTTTACTTGGGGCTTTGGAGTGACAAAATTGCCCCTCCACGTGAGGGGCACATGTTTACTCCGTTAAAGAAATTAACAGAAATTTTAACATGTCCTTGAATTGCTTCAAATATGAAACTACAGGGTTAAAAGTGACGAAATTGAAACTACAGGGTCAAAAGTGGTTGAAGTGCCAAACTACAGGGACCAAAAGTGACTTTTGGCCTTAAAACTTTTCTTAAACTTTTGCATTTTACCTTCGTTATTTAAATTCAAACCATATGATGGTGCACATAGCAATGGCCATTCATGCCTAGTTGTTTTGCAAGTTTTCCAATTAAAATACAGTATACTAACCGCATAAGAGAAGAACAAAATGTTGAGATAAAAACCACCTTTTACTTGAGGCATTTTCTAAATAGATGGATTCTCACATCTTCAAGCATACAAATATAATAGACCATGATTGCAAATCATTTGCGATAAAAACAGTACACCATGTAGACATCTATATGATAGGAAGCAATGCATGGCTAAATAAAACCATGACATTTATGGCAAACGACATAAAAGAGCACTACTTTCTCTTTTTCTTTTATTATATATATGCCACATGTAGGTCAGGACATTTTACTTTGATTTCTACGAAGACTACAAGTCTACAATTGTTTAAAAACATTTAAAATAAAAATAAAAATTTCTCATTTAAATTGTCATTAACATTTAATCTTCATCAACCTTTTCCTTTTAACTCTAGAGTACCATTAACTCTCCATTCTCTATTATTTCAAAGCACGAGGGTTGAAAGTAAAATAACCATTATAATCATTGCAAGTAAAAGCAGAAGGAATATGTTTCCCCTCGTGTTTCGGGCACGTAGAAGGCCAATGGTCACCTAGCTTCCCACAAAGTAAACAATGCTTGAGAATGGCGCATCCTTCACTTCGGCCACAATCAGCACAACATGAGCCTATAAAGCTGCATCCGCAAATCTTACAAATTAGCTCACAACCCTCGCCAAGAGTTGCGTTCTTTGGGACATGATGCTGATAAGGGCATAGTTGGGTAATGTGCTCACCCACCTTTAAACAATACATACATTCACCTGTGTGCAATTTGTTGATCAATTGTTAAATACAACAAAAGCAATAAAAATAATCATTTATTATTATTAGTTTTAAAAAGACAATGAATGACACAAGATGATAAAACCTAGCAATAAGTATTGTTAGCACATTACAGAGAATAACGACAAATACATAGATATGATGTCAATGAATATATGTAAACAGATTAGCTGCATGCGCTTTTTTTTGTCCCTAAAATCAAAAGCTTACCAATAAGATTAGGAGGGAGGAGGCTATCTAATCTTTTTTTCCTTTGTTTTGTCTCTAAAATTAATAAGTCAAAGAGGTCTAGCCTAATGGAAAAGGGCTTTGACTTGCAAACCTATGGTCTTAGATTCAAACCCACACGACACCTTGGTAGTGTTGTGTGCGAGAAACCTAACTCTACTTGTAGTTTGGACTATTGCTTGTATTACAAATAATAATTCAAAAGCATACCAATTTCTTCAGGTGTTAGTTCTTCACCCTCTAATTCTTCACCCTCAAATTTTTCACCCTTTGATTCTTCAGCCTTTGATTCTTCGGCCTTTCTCCCTGTTTCCATGCAATTACATTGTTAAATACAAAAAGAAAAAAGAAAAAAACAAGGGTGATGTCAAAGAACTTAGAAGGAATGACATCTATGATCCCATCAAGAAATAACAATATATTAAACAGTGGTTATACATCATGCAAACACCAAAATAACTTGGCTAGAGAAATTATCTTTTTAACATACAAGATATTATGTCATAAAATAGAGAAGCTGCATGCATTTTTTTTTGCTTTTCTTGTCTCTAAAATCAAGAGCATACCAATAGGATTAGGAAAGAGGAGGCTATCTATTTTTCTTCTTCTAACTTATAGTTTAGACTGTCGTTTATATTCACACACAAAAGCATACCAGTTGGACTAGGAGGGCCCCAGTGTAGAATAAGAGAAGTCTTAATTTCATTTATTTGTTCTTCATCCATTAGTTCTTCATCTTCATCTTCATCTTCATCTTCATCTTCATCCATTAGTTCTTCATGTTCATCAATTAGTTCTGTAGTCTTTGGTTCTCTAACCTTGATATCTGTTTGCACGCGATTACATTATTAATACCCAAAAAAAAAAGGGGATGTGTGGTGATGATGTCAAAGAAGTTAGAAGCAATGATAAAAAAAATAACTATATCATTATATATCGGCTATCCATCATGAGCACACCGAAATAACTTGGTGTGAGAAATCATTTTCAAAATTTTGGGATCATATACATCCTCAAATTTCACCAACAAAAATAAAATAAAAACAACTGTCCAACAACTTCAATTACCTCCCATAAAATAAAAGAGAAACGCCCAACACAAATTTTTTTTTGGGGAGAAATAAAAGTATTTCCAAATCAAATAGAACAATATGACTGACTGGAGGCAAGGGCCTTATTAAAAAGAAGAAGAAAAGAATGGGTGATGATGTCAAAGAAGTTAGAAGGAATGACATCTATGATTCCATCAACAAATAACTATATTATTACATATCAGATATCCATCAAGCACACACCAAAATAACTTGGATGGAAAAATCATCTTTAAAAACTGATTCAAAATTTTGGCATAATATATATACTCTAATTACAGCAAAAAAAGAAAAAGAAAATAAAAACAACACTTTTTTTTCTTTCCAAACAATCAAATTTCATAGTCTTCCTCACAAACCTTGAAAACAATAATCAATAGCATACAAGAGCACTAGGACATAAGGGAGGATATAATAGCAATATTACTGAGTGGAGGCATGGAAAAGCACATGTACATACCGATTGTTGGCGTATCACAATTGAGGGGAACCATATCGAGCACCTCCGACTGGGAATCCAATTTCAGGCACTCCAAAGATGAGACGTTGTCCATGGTTGTGATGTGTAGAGCTTGGTACTTGGGTTTGAGGTTGTGAGAGGTTGTAATAGACCCCGCATCTTTATTATTATTATTATTATTATTATTATTATTATTATTTCCCTTTTATTTTATTTTATATATATATATATATATATTTTATCAAGCACGCATCTTTAATAAGCAGGGCATTAATTTCTAGTTTTGATTTTCCCATTTGGTTTGAGATTTTTGATTTCTCAATTAGAGCAGGAATATTCTTTGGTGATTTTGAGTCCCAAATAAAGGAAGTTAATTAATGTGGTTTTTCCTAACCTTTTCCTTTTCTTTTCAAGTTTACACTAATATTTCATTCCCCACTTCCGAAATTTGAGATTTTTTCCTGATTGAATAATAAATTATCATTAAAAATTAATAGGCCCCAATGCAGGTATCGTTGACGTCTTTAATAAGCATGTCATTAATTTCTAGTTATGATTTTCTGATATCGTTTGGAACTTTAGTTTTCAGTAACCTTTTATTGTTTTTACTAACAAAAAGGATAAGATTTTTTTAAAATTGATTTCTTGATGTTCAAGCATGGAAAGTTTTAGTTTATAGAGTAAGATTTTTTTACTTCCCTAAAGAACAACCCTCCTCTTATAAAAGCATGACTGCCGCTCTTAATCGGTTGAACTTTTTCGAACTTACAAGACAACTTATTTTTCTTTTACAACAACAAATTGGTGATTGGAGTTGTGTTGAATTTTTATTTTGCATTATGGCTCGTGCATATTCTACGACCAACCAAAACTTGCAAAACTCAATTTCAGAATGGGCATACTTGGAGAAATCCAACGATGATTTGAAGGTTTGTGACATCACTACGTATAAATATACAGTTTTGTTTTTTTTACTATCATACATCTTTTTTGCGTGTTTGTGTGTGTTTGTTAAATCTATCATATACCTACTTACTAGACTCTTGGTCTTTTTTTTTTTCTTAACTTTTAGTTAATTAATCATATAATATGCCCACACGTACATACTAATATATACTTGGCTCATGCATATTCTCATTCTTTTTTCTCTTATGTTTTTTACCTAATAAAATTCAAATTTTTACCTAGGTGGAGGGATGGGGCACAACAAACATCGTTTATATTGGTAATGAAAGTTGTGAATCAATATTATTGGTTGGTGTTGATTTGAGAGCTACATCTGGTGGGGAGGAAGGATCTATAACGGATGACAAGACACAAAAATATTTTTTTATGGAGAGTTGCAATGCATTTGCAACTAAGGCGGGAAATTCCGATCATTGTAAGAGTATGTTGAATTATGTAAGGAACCACTTTCTCGACCGGAAAATAGTTAATGGCATATGTGAGGCACCAACTATTGTCAAACATTATATTAGCAACTGGGAAACAATCTCAAATTTGGAATTATTTCAAGGATTTACTACTTTGGCTGGATATAAAGATGGTATTCCTTATGCATATAAAGTTAGGGCTTCTGGAAAATCGTCGAAAAAATCCAAATCCAATATTTGCCATGGACATGTGATGGGAAGCGGTGGTGCATATGTTCGTGAATACTTCAAGAATTGCAATATGGAAGAAGCCCAGAGTTCAAATTTGATCTAATGATGCCTTCGGCAGTTCTGGGCAAGGGCTACCTTACCGATGCTTCCTTTTGTCCACATTTCATGTCTTTATTGGTCGTTGATTTTGGTATAAACACTTGGTATTTTAAAAAGAATGGTAAACTACAGTAAACCCCTCAACCTATAAGGTCATTTACGAGTCCATACCCGATTTTGAGGACATTAATAGGTACATACTCAACGTCATGGAAAACCTACAGATTACCCCCTCCGTTAGCAAGTCCATCAGGAAATCCGTTATCTGCATACGTGGCAAATGTGGGTCCCATTTTTTAATGAGGTGGAGTTACAGGTGGACAAATAAATAATAAAAAATTATATATTTTTCAAAACTAATTTTAAATCATTAAAATTATTTTAAAATTGATTATAAAAAAATTAAAAACAAAAACAAAAAACCAACCCAGAAGAACCCACCACTCTCCTCCGTCACAACCCTCCCTCAACACCTACCCATGGCAGCCCAACACAAACAAAAAAATCCATCTTCTCCGATATCCCCCTCCATTCTCAACCGTCATCCTCTCTCTCCTCCTACCACCTTCTCCAACCCAACCTAACTCACAATATGAATTCCGACTAAATCCCTCAACCATCACCAACTCCACCCCGAAACCCAGAACCTGGGCCCCCATCCTCAGCCGCTATCTTTTTCACCGTAGAGAAGCTTGGAGAAGAACCCAGATTGACCAACTCAAATTCTACAACATCCCGATTGAGTTTGGCAGTGCCTCCAAAAGATTCGAAGACAAATTTAGCTCTTCAAGCTTCTCTAATCCAGCTATTGAATCATGAATTACCTGTTCAAAATTGATTTTTTTTCCTTAATTCAATATTAACAAGTTAATTAAATCAAATCAAACCAAATGAAAAGAAATCTAATATGGAGTTCATTATTGGAAAGATCGAGCATAAGCAAACCGCGAATCCCGCCAAAGGCCTCGGGCAAGAACCGCAACCGCCGACCGGAGAGGTAGACCCTGTCCAGCTCGGTTCCGGAGGCCTTCTGTAGAATCCCAACCACCTCCTCATGGACTTGGTCGCTGGTGAAACCCTCCTCCTCCACCTTGTCATCTTCGATGACGACGACGCCGGCCTTAGCCGACTCATAAATCTTGACGAGCCTATGCTCGGCGTCCTTGAGAAGCTTCTCGTAGGCGGAGTGCAACTCATCCAGCTGCACAATCGCCTTGTAACTTTGTTTCTCCTTCTCCACCGACTCTCGGTACTCCTGCTATCTGTCAGTAAGGTAGGCCTGCCACTGGAGTCGGTCGACGTCAGCAGGGTGGGGTGAGAGAATGAGCTCCTCTAGCTTCTTTGCCAAATCGGAATCGACGGCGCAACATCGACGGCCTCGTGGTCGGGGCTGTCGTCGAGGGTTTTTTTTAATTATTTATTTATTTATTATTTTTACACGTGGAATTCCACGTCAATTAAAAATTGGTCCCACAAATGCCACGTAGGCAGATAACAGATTTCCTGACGGACTCGCTAACGAAGAGGGCAATGTATAGGTTTTCCGTGACGTTGAGTATGCATCTATAAATGTCCCCAAAATTGGATATGAACTCGTAAATAACTCTATAGATTAGGGGGTTTACTGTAATTTACCCTAAAAAAATCATACTATCACAAAAGACCCACCAGGAAAGTTTTTGAGTTCAAGTCAAGTCTACGTGTAGTGTCTGAGTACCCTCTAAGGCCCTCAATTTTTTTATTTTTTTTTCACAAAAAAGATCCATACTATCTCTATTTATTAATATTACAGTGTTGCCGGCGCTGTCAAATACGTGCTCTGAAAAGAAGTTGGGTCTGAAAATTTGGCAAAACCCAATCCGATTCGAAGCGGAGAAGGAAGCGATGAGCAGCGGTCAAGGTGGACCCCACTCGCTGGCATTCAGGGTGATGAGGCTGTGCAAGCCCTCATTCCAGGTTGACCCCATTCCCCTCCTCCTCGACCCGTCCGATCTCGTCGTCGGCGAGGACATCTTCGACGACCCAATTGCCGCCGCCCAACTTCCTCGCCTCCTCCACCACTCCCAAGTGTCCTCCTCCGACTCCTCCGATCTCAGCTACCGCTCCAGATTCCTCCTTCACCACCCCTCCGACTCTATCGGCCTCTCTGGCCTCCTCGTCCTCCCTCAAGCCTTCGGGTCTCTCTCTCTCTCTCTCTCTCTCTCTCTCACACACACACACACACACACACACATTTTTACTCTTCTTCATCTGTTAATAAAGTTTTGATTTTTAACTATGGCAGAGCAATTTATCTAGGGGAGACATTTTGTAGCTACATTAGTATCAATAACAGCTCCAATTTCGACGTCAGGGACATTATAATCAAGGTAAGGTTTCAATCTCAAACTCTTGGAGACTGAATTATCCATAATTATTTGGTCTATTTAAATTTAGTTCCATTTTTTATTATCTTTTATTAATTTTGTAAATTGCAGGCAGAAATGCAAACAGAAAGGCAGAGGCTTTTGCTGTTGGACACATCGAAATCGCCGGTTGAATCCATACGCGCAGGTGGCCGTTATGACTTCATTGTTGAACATGATGTCAAGGAACTCGGAGCTCACACGTAACTCTCCTCCTCTGTTCTCACAATTCGTGTTTTATACTATTTTTTTGTGTTTACATGTTCGGGCTTTACAATTTCTTAGGTTGGTCTGCACTGCCTTGTACTATGACGGCGATGGTGAGCGTAAATATCTACCACAGTTCTTCAAATTCATCGTCGCCAATCCGCTCTCTGTCAGGACTAAGGTATTGTCCATGCACGCTCCTTGAAAATTGCATGTGCAAATCGAATCACGTTTGTGAAATAACCATTTCATTAATACTAGTGAACTTAAAATCTTGATTTTGATTTTGCAGGTCCGTGTTGTTAAGGTACGTTGAACTTCACTTAATCTGTTGTTTGTAAGTTTGTAAACTCTGCCACTGAATCCAAGCTTACACATTGTATTGTGTGTGAGTTATGTGGATGTCAAAACAGGTGATTCACTGAACAGCATTCCTCATCTATTACTTAGTTTTGTTTGTATAGAAATTCTGCTTTCTTCACAGCCTAAGTAACAACTCTGATTTTGTTGATAACCGTTTGAATGCCTCTCATTTGTGTAAAATATATGAACTTTGATATAAGCATTTACCTGTTACAACTTATCCTCCCTAGGAAATCACATTCTTAGAAGCTTGCATTGAAAATCATACAAAGTCAAATCTTTTTATGGACCAAGTTGAGTTTGAGCCCGCTCAGCATTGGAGTGCAAAAATTCTAAAAGCTGACGAACACCATTCCGACAAGTATTCTCAAACACGGTTATGATACTAATTATTTTGGAATTTGTTTCTTTCTTTTTTATTTTTGAAAGTCTAAAACTGATGTTATCACTCCTTTGAACTTTTGATGGCAGAGAGACATTTAAGTCACCAATTCTCATCAAATCTGGTGGAGGAATTCATAACTATCTTTATCAGTTAAAATCACATGGTTCTGCCCAAACGAAAGTTGAGGGAAGCAATATACTTGGTAAACTTCAGATAACATGGCGCACTAATCTGGGTGAACCTGGTCGCCTACAAACACAGCAAATTATGGGCACTGTGAGTGTTCAAATTTTAACATTGATCCACTACATTTTATTTGATTTTAGATCTGCATGGAGTTTTATTTTCTTCTGCTATTTCTTTTGAATATTGTCTATTCACAAGTTCATGTTGTAGTCTAACATATATATAAAAATTATATATGTAAGTGTTTGGCTCCTTGTCTGTGGCAATGCCTACTAATGGAATGGGCATATGATTTCTGAATTTTCTTTTGTATTCACTGGAACTGTCATTGGCCAAGCTTGCACTTGTCGCATGCCCAAATTGTGTGCCCAATTTTAATTTATGTGGTTATCAGTACGTATATGATAACTTCCACAGAACAAAGTTAATTTTTATATTCAAACTCATATGACAAATTCTACAGAAAGAAGTTTAAATATGCTTTGAGCTTCAAGTAGATTACTTATCTTCTTGGCATACTCTTTTGCAGCCCATAATACGGAAGGATATTGAGTTGCATGTTGTGGAGGTGCCATCTGCCATCAAGTTGGAAAGACCCTTTTCGGTAATTTTGGTTCTTCGGAATGTTTTATATGTCTCTTATTACCATATCTTGATTGTCTATATTTTAAATTTACCCGTAGAGGTTTAGTGGCTACTGGACTTTATACTTTGCTCTTTAAGTCCTTTACTTGTCAGTCTTCAGTTCATAGAATTAGTCACAGACTAATTTAATATAATGATTTGGAACTGATGAAGTAAAAACTTCATGCAGCTACACTTGAAGTTAGCAAATGAGACAGATAAGGAACTCGGCCCCTTCGAAGTGTGGTTATCTCAAGATGATTCGCGTGAGGAGAAGAAGGTTGTGATTAATGGTCTTCAAACAGTGGTAATGCTTAAGTTATTCAAATTGCTGAGTATGCCATAATTGATAACATTTTATGTTGTGTCACGGTCTGCTTCAATATACGATTTGCATTTTAGATAGCATCATTAGTCATAGATGCTCCTAGTGTAAAAGTCTAATCTCAAGTCAAGTAAAGCATTTCTTATTGGGCTCATTTGGGTGATTTTCTTTCATTTCTCTATTGCTCAATTGCTTATCTAATTGATTTATGAATTTAAAATCCATGCACAGGTTTTGCCGAGGGTTGAGGCGTTTGGTTCCACAGATTTCCATCTGGTACGGAGAATAATTACACCAGCACATTATGGATTCAATTTAAATATTGTTGTTGAAGTGATCATCACAATGGAGATGATGATTGATAATGATAATTTCAATATAGAGATGTCGGTACATGTATTGTTGTACTGAGATTAGTTTTCTAAGCTCAGCAACCTAAACTGGTCATCTCCATTCTCAGCATGAATTTTGACCTTTTGCCTAAAGTCACACTTTATTTCTATATTTTCTATCTGCAGTTTTTGAAAACTGATATTCCAGAGAGAAGAAAGAGAAAATAATAAGAAGTAATACACATTAAATTTTCCCTAACCACTAGTTGTAAGATTATTTGCTCATCTACCACCTGATTTGATGTTCCATCACATAAGATTTAGCCAGTCATCTTTCAATAATATAACCTTGAGATTATTAATTTAAAAGAATTTGCCTCTGGTATTTTCGTTTTTGTGAGTAATTCCTTGGCTCTTTGCTAATGCAGAACCTTATTTCTACTCAACTTGGAGTTCAGAGGATCACAGGCATTACCGTTTTCAACACAAGAGAGAAACAAACATACGACCCCTTGCCAGATTTGGAGGTTAGGTTCCTTTTTTACCTAAGAAAAAAGTAGTCTTATCTGCTGGTATATTTTTTGTCACTGTTTCATCCAGACACATAGCGCTGCCTGATTTTTTATGTACTGCATTTGGCATCTGAACTATAACACCAAATGCTTTTGGTTATTGTTCTGTTCTGACCAGCCTTCTCTACTTGGTGCAGATTTTCGTGGATCTGGACTAATCATTGGCTAGTTTTGACCGGTTTTGCTTCCCGTCTTTTGTGGGCGATATGAATACATTGGGCAGAGGCCATGGCCTGTCTCATCAATGGGTTTCAATCATGTCAAGCAGATCCGAAAGGCAAGCATCTGATTCAAGTCAGATGATCGGTGATGTTTACCCTCCCTTGGCTTCTGATGGCTAAGCTTCAGTGATGTTATCCAAGTATTTGACGGTTTGATTGCATTGAGGAGCAATTGTAAAGTTGTAAGATTAGAATGACCATAAACATGCTTTCACATTTGGTTGTGATTTGTAAGGAATGAAAGTAGTCTATAAAAGAATTCTCTTATGCAATTACATATTTCTGATACAATTGTTTGGATCGCCCCCTTTTTTAATTTTCCTCTTCTTTTTAACACGTCGTTTTTTTTTTCTTTTTTTTAAAAAACTTTTTTTCGGTTGGGTCGGCAACACTTGTTTCGCTATGATATTTGGATTACAAAATGAACCACGCTTTGCTATTTCCCATGTCTTATTACCTATTTCTTATTTTGTATTTGCAAATGAGTACAAAGAAGAAATGATTTATGACTTCATGTTTGATAACACATTAAGAATCAAAACATATGTAAATCTATCGCAGAATCCGTAATTTAATACTCCCAAAACTATTAATCTTTAGTTGATCCGATTCCAATTCATTCCTTCCCAACTTGTACGTTTGTCTACCGGTTTCTTACTTCCTCTTTCCAAGAAAAGAAATATGCTATAATCATGATCTTCTGGACTCATTTGGGCTGCATTATCCAAACTGTTACATTGGATTGGACCGTATTAATTAAGTGGGCTGGTGCTAATACATGGATATAACATTTTGCCTTTTTCTTAAAAGTAATACTCTTGGTAAAATAAAAGATAACACGAAGCAAATTTGGAGAGACTCCAAAAGACCTTCATTCATGTAACAGATAGAGGTCGATGCACAAGAACAAGGAAATAAAGAAAGAAAGAAAGAAAAACCGGGGAATATGTACGTGAATTTCAAATTAAACCAAATAAACACAAGTTCCGACTGATTTTGGGGACGAGTTTTCTGGGTCTTGAGTTTTAGGCTGGTGAGCTTGGGCCCCATGTTGCCCAGTTGGCTTCACTGCCGACACGTGGCATGTTGGGGACCCTCGATTGGACATCAACCTTGAAGTTGGCCCCACACATGACCCCCTCACTGTCAATCCTAGGCATTGCCTTCATCTTCCTGGTTGGATGCTCAAAGCTCATCAACCCTTGCTCACTGTGGAACATGCATCCTACAACCAAAACAATAAAAATTGATTGATCTGCTTCTTCTAAAAGACTAAAATAACCCACCCTCCACAGGAAGGGAAAAGAACAAAACCAACATTTCAGTGTTTGACATACCAGCTGGAAATGGAGCAAAGGATTTAGCACAGCTTTCTTTTATGACCCCCAAGTTGTCAGAAACTACCACAGAGCCATCTGCTGCAATGCCCCAAAATAGGCTAACCCCTTCATTGGCACCCTGCACAAACAAACCCCACAATCAATCCACTATCCGCACCCACACCCCCACCCGGAAAAAAATGATGAATTGATCAAGACAACCTCTACTCTATTTTCCACATTCAAAAGCCTACTTACCAATGCAGCAAATACGGTTCCAGCCGTGCTATCGTAGATGACAAATCCAAAGCTTCCATCAAGATCCTTGAGCACCTGATCCGCCGGGTATGGGCCCCGGTCACGGAGGGTCCGATAGGCCTGCATCACAAACATGGCCTCATTGGTGCATTTTGATAGCCCGTACTGCTTGTTCAGGCTGCAAAGATTGTTCAGGCTCCCCAAGAAAATGCAGTATATATTATCCAAAGAACAAAACAGCCTGCAAGTAATTAATTAGGTTAGGCCAGTTGGTTCGATCCCCTCACCGTACATTAGACTAGTTTCGCATTAGTAAAAAATAATAAAAAATATTTGAGATGGCCAAATGATATATATATATATATATATATATACCTCTGTTGAATCGGGTAGGGGTTGTTTGGAGGAACATAGGCGAGCATTGCTGTGTTTCCGAAGCAGACAGAGAAAGCATTGTTGGGATCATGGCAAGACATGAAATCTTTGACAATCTCTTGAGGCCTCTTGGCAGAATTGGATGGGGCAGGGCTGTTGAGCTCCTGTGGTGGCTGCACCACTTCCTTGTTGAATATTGCAAGCATCTTGAAAATTTCACAAACACAAAACAAACTTGAAATGCAAGAGAACTGCAAAGAGATATACGCAGAGAGAGAGAGAGAGATGTAGTGATGGAGAAGAATGCGTCCTGCTTGAGCTATATATACAAATATTCTAAATATTTTGAGGGAGAGAGAAAGTAGGAAGGTGTGCGTGGCAATATTATCCAAAACTCTCTCTCTCTCTCTCTCTCTCTCTCTCTCTCTCTCTCTCTCGGGACGAAATAAAAAAAGGATTTTGGTAAAAAAAGAGACACGAAATTGTAGTTGGGCAGATTCGATCCATAGTCCATTAAAATAGGGATCTTTTGCCAAACCCAAACCCAAAAGAAAGGCATAATTTTTGGGTATAAATATTGTTATGGATAGAATTTAGTAAATTTAGTAATAAATCAACAACTAAAACAAAATTAAAAACAACATCCGTTAGAAAAACGGTGGCAAGATGATCGGATGGTGTTTACGTCGTTTGGTCATTTGGATAAATATGAAAATTTAGTTGATTTAGGGGGGGTATTTGGAAACAGTCAAAAACGTGTTAACCCCTTCCTTATCCACAACTACCAGTCAGCCAGTCTACTGTGTACGGTGTACCAGCAGCTGCCAGCCAGCAGACAAGCAGGAGGATAATAAGGTGAGAGAGAGAGAGGGGGGCCGACTGTGATCTGAGTCATCCAATCAGTTTTGTCGGTCGCTTTCTTTGATTGATTCTTACTATTTTGACTGTTCCTCACGCTTCTCACACATCCACGTGGACCTGAATAGACGGCCCAGATGGGCTCGTGGGCCTACCTAAATGGGTTCTTACCAAAACCCAAATGTGGTTCTTGGATCCATAAGAACACTCGCACGTAAGATGTTACGTTTATAATGTAACTTAGATATGCCTATTGATTTTCATGGTAATGTTATGTTACTAACTAGAGCTGGGCAAGTTAAACGATGAACGGGTCGAACTGCCCCAACCGGACTGGTCATTGTTGGGGTTCAAAAATTGGGAATCAAAGACCTCCATTCAGCGGGCAGGTTCGGCGAGCGGTTGGTTTCCAGCCAACTACGTGAGTTCATTTGGTTGCCCAATCCTGGTACTAACATGAAATGGAGAAGCACCGAAGCTCCTTTAAAGGGAAATCAGAAGTAACATTGCCTTGCAATTAGAGACACCATTCATTTGAATCGATGGCGAGAATGACTTTGAAATTGGGGTGAAGGGAAGTAAAGGCTAGGGTCCCAGGGACAATGCCAACTAGCTTAATTGAAGAAAGAAGTAAAGAAATTTCACCCCAGAAAAAGGGGGAAACAAAGAATGGAATGGACGAGGTTATTAGGCTCAACATGCCTCAAATGAACCAAAGATACATAGATTTGCTATGCAAATGAGAGACCAACTTGAAGCTTGAACTGTCTGAAAAGTATATTATATGGTCTGTACACTGAAACAAATCTCGCTTTCATATCAATACAAACAACCTAAATGGCCCGAAATTCCTAAGCCAACAAGACATCTCAAGAAACATTGCGGAGAAAGGCACTCGATTAATTTAACATGCAATCCGCTCCCTGAGCAACCGTTACACATCTGAAAAAGTTATTTTTTCGAAAAGTAGTGCTATTTTACATTACAATAGATTAAAAAACCCTAGGTTGTAGACTTAGTACTCTTATGCACTATAGTCCCTGCTATGGTATTTGTCTTCTGGATAATAAAAGGCATTCACTATGTTGCCTCCAAATTTTCTGCCACTGAGGACATTCCTTGCATTGGCACAACTCCCAGTATCAGAATATTCCAAGAACACCTGCAAGAGTTTGTACATTATAAAGAAAAAGGAAGCCAGATATCTGATAGCCAAACAAAAAAGAAGATTAAGAGCACAGAAAATGGATGCAGCAGAGTAGTTTTACCTTTCCAACTCCTGAGATATGCTCTCCATGTTGATCCTGACGAGGAATAACAACATTCACCAGAGTTCCTAACCATTCCAAACAAGAAAATTTCTCAGTTCTAATCCTAGTCATAGCGAAATCTAAAAGTGCTTTTTACAACTTTGCTTAACAAAACATCAAATATCTCTGCTTTACAAAAGACACACATCCACACACACACATGCAATAAATTTTTAACAAAAGCTAAACAGGTTCGGAAGAAAATACCAAATTTGCTGCATTCATCCCTCATGTCTTCTAATATTTCTACATACTCTTCATCATCACCTAGTTGATCGACAGTAATTGCCTTCATCATAAGAAGATATAACAATCAGTCAGTTGGAACTATAAAAAAATAAACCCAGAATCAACAGTCTTCTAATATTCCTAAAGATGGATGTTAAACTAACTACACAAACAAAATGCACATCTTGCGAACTTCATTTTCAACAGTGATACTACCTCAGTCAAGCATAGGACTTTAGTGGGTGTTTCACCACTTGCCATGGTTGCCATTCCACCTCCTAGAAGATTCAAGTCAACAACCTGCAAGGCCATTTTCTACAACCAAAGAAATATATAAATAAGCCAACAATGTATTCGTAAAACATAAACAAGAACCAAACATATGTATTTCCTACCTGCATGGCTATATGCTGTTGTGCTTGTACCAAGATATTTTCTTGTTCTGATTTAGACTGCCCATTGCTGTAAAATCATGGCAAAAAGATTTCAAGCTATCTTAATGGGCTCAAAATAATAAAAGAATCAAGCTTGCACTTTGATTTCAAAGAACACCAACCTAGCCGTAGCACGCCTGACCGTTAAAGTTTTATCACCCATTTTTAAGCCGTTAAGGGCACCACAGGCAATGTCTGTCACAGCTGGATCCTGAAGTTCTAGAATATTAGTTGACTAGATTTCTAGGAGTGAACTCCGAGAAGTATATACTACATATGTATTAAAGAGAAGGGAGACGGCCATAAAATCAACCATATCAACCACTGAGTAGAAAACAAACATTTGTAAGGTGACAACAATAAAAATCAATAGCAAAGCCTCTAATCCTAGAGCATTTACCTGATAAACACAGAATCCATATCCTTTAGAGTTTCCTGTGTCTTTATCCTTCACAAGGTCAAAACCACGGAGAGGGCTGCAGTGGTCAACTGTGCTGTTAGAATAAGCAACTATGGTTGATCAAAATGAGGAACAGCAAGTTGCAGGAAATTGAAGTCCATACCCAAAGGATTGTAGCAACTCTCTAATCTGTGCTTCAGTGAAGTAGTATGGTAGCCCACCCACAAAGATACGGTCGGGTCCCTCTGCTCCACCAACAGCACTGCTAAACAGATCCAAAATTAGTACACCACAAGACTTTTGCAATTCAACTCTACAAATTTACAAAGTAATTACAAAGAGTATGACACTAAATTAGCTTCAAATTAAATAACTCATAGTCAACCTACCCTTGTGTGAGCCCAACAGCACCTAAGTTGAGGTGAGGACTTGGTTGGCTTGGACCAAGTGCTGCCGCTAAGGTAGGATTATAGTCTGTTGGCCTTCGTACCCGCACAGCAACCCCCTGATCAATCAAAAGGAGCATGTTAATGAAGAAAGAGTTTCATCCTTTATGACAATTATACATTGATTTTAAACCAAACAAAAAAAGAAACTTAATGATAATCTGAAATTGACATGCCTCAAATATAATCCCATCTAATGCCATTGCATTACTCGCTTCTTCAACCGTTCTCATCTCCACGAATGCAAACTTTTTTTCATGATTAATGTAGACATTTACCACCGCATCACCTGCAAGTTCAGATACTGGAAAACACACTACTCTCAGATAAAACCCATGTAACGCATTAACATGCATACTGAACATAGTTAAATTGAGATTGTGATAACACTTACCTGGACCAACAGAATTCCCTCCAATGGCAGCCATGACTTGGCTAAAGAATGTGGCAATTGTCTGTGACAAAAAAATGACACTCCTTAAAAGTCTTTCAAAGAATACAAGACAAATCCTTCAACCAAGTAAGAGGGAAATGAAAATTATGGTTTATTTGTAACCCAGTTGGCAGTTGGTCATGTAACAACCTATAACAAGCTGCATTATATGCATAGTACATCCCTAGATTCTAGAGTGATAACACAAAAGGCATCAAATTTTAGCCTTGACCATATGTCCACGATAGAATTGAAACCCTTGCTATAGAATCCAAACGCAAAACCAGAAATATAACCTGCTCATTTGCCAAGGGGGGAAGCCCACCAACATATACCCGACGTGCATGCCTTGTAGCCTGTAAGAGAGAAAGAGACAAGGCAAATGAAAAAACGTCCTTCATGAATTTATAATAAAAAAATGTATATATGTAAGTTTATATGTGCACATAGATAATATGAATTTACCTGCTGAGTCATTGCTTGGGCTGGCATCAAGGGAAGAGCCAGCTGTAATATGCAAAAGCATATAAAGTTATTCACAAAGATCATAATGAAAAATCAAACTCAAGATTTCATAAAACCTTATACTGGTGAAAGGTGCATACATGTGCTGCCCCAAAAGGTAATACATTTTGTACCACTCCCTGCATCGTTTGTGGAATACCTGACAGTTGTCCTGCATTATTATTATTAACAGAAGGGGAATGGGCAAAAACAGAAGGATAAGAAATATAGCTTCAAGGCCAAAACATGTCACAACTACACTGGCAATGTAATACATGTGAAATCCCAGACGTATCTTTTCATTATAAATAAAGCTAATATTTCATACCTAAAATATACCATGAAACAATAAAGTAAGAAACAAATTCCATCATCGCAGATGGTAGGGAAATATCTGTAAGTCTACCAAATGGCAACTGTATCAGTCGAAGGAGAAGAAGATCCAGCTAAACGTTGCATTGGTTCTCCCTTGAACGTAGTCACGCCAACTCAACATCGCCTTCTTACCCAAACCATAAAAGCAAACACAGACAAACAACCACACAACAACAACCAAACAACACAACAATGGCTCTCAGTTTCCACAGTAAACCATTAGAAAAAATAGTTTCTTAGATGCTTAAATAAAATAACAGGACATCAGGCAACTATAACGAATAAAAGGTGCTACATATTCTTTCACAAGAATCTGGTGAATGAGAAGTTAGATCCAAACCTGAAACAGCAGCATTAGGCAGCACGGCCCCAGCAGGTGGTGCCATGTCAAAACCACTTGTACGCTTGCTGTAGACAAAGATTTGCAGCAATATTAAAATGGAGCAATGTAGCTTTAAAGACAAAATATTAACAGCGGCCATGTTATGTTTTAATCAGCTAAAGCTTTTGAAATAGGAAATGTTGTTTCAAATCAACAGAAAATGCATGACCTAATCAACTAAAATAATATCCAAATAAGTCATGATACGCTGACAAGATCAAGGTGAACGTTTATCTAAAACTTTTCCTAACCTCTTTGAACGAGAACGGGAAGGAGATCTGTCCCTTGAATGAGAACGAGAACGTGATCTATGTCTATGCCTCCTTTCTCTATCTTGATCATAATCACGATGCCTACAAGACAGAACACACAGAATATGAAAATAAAAAATAAAATAAAATTTGTTTACAAACTAACTCCGTCATGCAATTGGGATTTCCAAACAGCATATGGGAACAACTTGGATAACTAAATTTCATTAAAAAGCAGGTCAGACAACTCAAACCATGGTATGTATTTGTAATTTATAAAATAAATAAGATGCATAAGTTTAACCTGTCGAAATCTTGAGTTCGATTGCGGCGATAGCCATTAAACTTGTTCCTCCCTCTGTCAAATCTTCCACTTCTATCCTTGTAATCCCTTGTATACCGGTCATCATCTTTTTCTCTATCTTGACCGCGGTCTCGCTCTCGCTCTCTAGTCCATGAGCTCTCGCGTTCTGATCGACGAGAATTATGCTGAGGCAATAAAAAATATCACTCAGTGATTTGATAATTGACAAACAAACATATAGAACAGCGAACCGCTATCTCTAAACACTCATGGTTCGTTTCCTCTACGTATTCATTTTCAAATTAAGTAATCAATTCGAAATTCTTCCTAATTCTACTCCCTGAATGATTTTACGAACGGAAACAGAAACATATTCTGAAAATTAAAAAGTAAAATTATACCCAAAACAATTCAACTGATTCAAAAACGGAACCTCGAACATACACAACATTAATAAATTACACAAGCAAGAATAGCGTAAGAAATTAGATCAACAAATTAACTGGTAGAATTTTAGAAAAGCACCTTGGTGCCTTCGTAATCTGACATTGTAGCTCCGACTTTCAAATCTGAACCCTAATTCTTTGGAAAATCGGTGAAAACAGAAGGCTCACGAATTCCAGGCTCTGGAAAGGATCTGGGGTATGTGTGAGTGAGGCTCTGCTACAGTAATGGACCCGACTATTTTTTTTTCTGGAATATAAGATGGGCCCAAGGCCCAAAAGAAACACCAAAAACAAGCACAATACCCGATTGTGGTTATCGGGCGGATTTGTTCAAGAAATCTAAAGGGAGGCCCAAATTCTTACTCGGCCAGTCTATTCACTAAAACTTGTCATAAAGTTTTTTTCCTTTTTTGGGGGTTAAATTTCAACTATAAATATCAACAAGTATCTTTACCATTTGTTTGATTTCACATTTTAATAATATAAATTTTTTTTTCTCAAAAAAACAACTTTAATATTCTCTATACACCACCTCATCCTATCAATTTTTTTTTTTTTACTACAAGTGATAATATAAACTATTCTAAATTAATTTAATTTACGTGGCCCGATAGGAGGAATGTGAATTTAAATACAAATAAACAAACTCATTATCTGATCAATTGGCCTAATTCACGTATTTGTCGCATGTGCCATGGAGAAAATTTCGTACAAGCCCATATTATAACGTGAGCGCTGACGCACCACCATATCAGGTTAGGCAGTGTGGTAGTGAACTCGTGGACTATAGTCAGTCACTTGTACGGGTTCCTATTTTAAGTCCCAGGATGGCCCACGGATCGGTGCAAGTTGGGTCCACCACAAAAGGCAGTATTCGGTTTTGGACCGTAGGCGTGAGAGATCTGTGACAACTGGGCCCCACTAGTACATTCAAGGAGCCCATTTCATTTTCAGCCTCCAGCTAATTTGAGGCGGCAATAATGTTATAAATTTGGATTAAAATAAATCGCATGGGTAATTATGTGGTAAAAGATGGATATATATATATATATATATAAAGCAAAAGACAGAAAATGATGAAACATTCAAAATACCAGAAAATGTCTTTGGTTAATTTAAATATTAAAAATTAAAATTATTAATTAAATTAAGATAATATGGTAAATTCACACTTTTCATATTTAAAAAATTAAAATTAAAAGAAAATTAAGATAATAAATCCTATTTTTATAGAACAAAACTATCCATTATCTTTTTTAATTCTAAAATAAATTTAAGCTTTATTTTAAAAAAAAACCTCTCGCAAGCACTTACGAAGAGGCTAGTTTTAGTGAAAGGGATGGATTGTGGGCTATTTTGAAATAAATAAATTAACTTTTTCTTTTTCCATTGTAAATTACATGTTTTGGTGCTAAGCATTCTCCAATGAATGAATGCCGCCCTGAATTCTCAGATGAATCATGGCGTCTAGTACATGAATAATATGGTGTTGAAAAGACGACAACTTTGAAGGACAGAGCAGCATACTAATATTGACTTGGATTACTTTGGGAATTTAAAATATTAAAAAAAAGACAATTATATATATTTTAAGGGGCAAATGACCCCATATGGGCATGATGACAAAGATATTTAGGTGAAGAACTTGTCATAAAATGGAATGTTGAACAACTTGTAGCCATAAATAAATTTGTGGAGTAAAACTATCACACTCCATAGTCCATACGTGCATCGACACCCCAAGACATTCGAAAGCATATGCCAACTGCTAAATTTGCATGCAGCATTAAAATTTGGCGAGAAAACAAAAGGGAAAGAAATGAATGGAAGATCACTTGCTGTCGTTGATGACTATGTTTATATGTGAACAACCAAATATGATAAATGTAAGTCGTTTCTTGCCCTCCGTTTGATGCCAGTTATAAAGAATAATGCGATGTTAATGATATTAAGTATACGTGTTATAATACGAGTCAACGTATATAATGTTCATATTAAATATACGTGTTGTAGTTTGAGTCAAGAACTTATATAATATTAATTAACATGTATTATGATATGAGTGAATTAGTAACGCTGTGTTACAAGTCACATTCACATTATAACATTTGTTTTTTCAGATATTCTTCTGCGAGTATATAAAAGAGTGTTGAAAGCTATTTTTAGATATATTTTAACGTTTTGTTGGCCATTTTGTTGTAGATAATATTTCGTTCTAGATTTTTCTATTTTACGTTTAAAGTCTCGGTGTAATTGAGTAATTAAGCTCATATTCAGCGGCGTATGCGTATCCCACAATAACAACAAATCCGTAACAAATATCAGTACGGAATCTCCGTGTCAGGGTCCAAAACAGCGTATTTAAATACTACCAAACCCCCTCCTTGTCCTTCATCGACCAAAACTCAAATTTCAATTCTCTGTATATTTCTTCTTTCATTATCTGAACCTTGAAACCCAAGTTTTTTCATTCGCTCAGCCTGAGTGCTCCGTTTCGGTTGGATTTTATTATATATATACAGATACAGTGCATGGGGCTGAGTCTGTTTTCGCATGAAGTGTCCGATCTCTGCCTCGGAAAGCCTCCGGTCAAGTCCCTTTCAATCTCCACCACGGTCGGTGAGGCTTTGTCGGCCCTCAGGCGGCTCGGCGAAAGCAGCCTAAGCGTGTGGAGCTGCGACCACTCCGAGAAAAGCAACAAATCTGAATCTGAAGATTGTCTGTGCGTAGGAAAGGTTTGCATGGTCGATGTCATATGCTTCTTGGGCAAAGAAGAGAACCTGTCGTGTCCTGCCAAAGCGCTCGAGGCTCCGCTTGAGGTATTGATCCCCAAAGGGTCTGCCCTTGTTGGGCATTTGGAACCAAACGCCAGGTTTGTTTCTTTTTTCTCAACTGTTGATTGCCCCATTTTCAAGGATTTGATCATGTTCTAAATTTTATTTTATTTAATTTTGACAAAAAGGTAGTTCCTGTAGTTTTTTGCCGGATTTTTCACTTTGATTACTGTCGTGCGTTTTCATGGTGCAATTTGAACAGCCCCAAATGTCCGTCAGATTTTGTGACGATGGAAATCCGGCAAACTATTTTTCCCTGAAGTTTATATATGAATTGTTTAAAAAAAAAAATATATATATTCTTTATGATAATAATCTGACTGATTTGTCTTATAAATCTCAGCTTGGTGGAGGCCATTGATTTGATTCTAGAAGGTGCACACAACATTGTGATACCAATTCAAAGTCGCAGGATCACAGCAACAAGAAAAATGCTTCTCCACAGTCACTCCTTCAACACCCTCCACAACAACCGTGAATACTGCTGGCTCACCCAAGAAGACATCCTCCGCTACCTCCTCAACTCCATAGGACGCTTCAGCCCCATCTCCAACAGCCCCATCAACTCCCTCCAAGCTATCAACACCGAAAACATCCTCGCCCTACATTATGATGACCCGGCCTCATCTGCATTGCCCCTTATTTCTCAGTCCCTTGTTCAGCAAACCTCGGTTGCCATTCTTGATGAGTACAGCAGGGTGATCGGGGAGATCTCGCCTTACACCATCAACACCTGCCACGAGTCGGTGGCGGCTGCGGTTGCCACACTCTCAGCCGGTGACTTGATGTCGTATATTGACTGCGGTGGCCCCCCGGATGAGCTAGTGCAGTTGGTGAAAGATAGATTGGAGGAGAAGAAATATGGGGCGTTCTTGGAGTTCATGGAAGAAGACTCAACACTGTCATCAGCTTCTTCCTTCTGTTCGACTTCATCGGATGAAGAGTTTGGGTGGGGAAGAAGGTCAGGAGGAGGGTATTCAGCAAGGTTACTGAGGAGGTCGGAGGCAATTGTATGCTATCCAAGGAGCTCCTTGGTGGCAGTGATGGTTCAGGCACTTTCTCACCGCGTGAATTACGTGTGGGTTGTAGAAGAGGATGGAACCTTGTCTGGCATTGTTACCTTTGCAAGCATGTTCAAAGTTTTCCGGGAACGTTTGAGGTCGATGGCATAACGCTAGCTGAAGATTTTTTTCCGGGAAGGGAAAAAAATTGCAGTGTCTGCAGTTAATGAGTACAAGTTTTCTTTTGGGACATTTTTGTACTATGTGGAAAATGGAAATGAAACCTCTGTTATACATCTTTATGATTTTAGGTTATCTTTCGTGTTCAGTTGAACATAAACTAATGCGACAAATTCAATGTTGGTGGTGAATGAACCTACTAAAAACCGCAAAAGCCTTCATATGGGGAGAGCAATAGAGAGTACTATGACTCGATGCTGCGCCAGAAAATAAACTGTCTTCTATATTCTTCTCTTGTCATCACTTTTATTTATTATTTTGTATTTATACAAATATATCAAAGACTCGTTGTTTACTGTATTTCGTGAACAAGAAGCCTGACAGGAGGGTCAAAATTTAGCAGTACGCTTTAGTTAAAAGTAACGGTGCCTGCTGCTAAGCTCCGATGTGCATAATGATAAGGCTTCTCTTACTTGGACATTGTTGGAATCCATATTTAGTGCATCTTCATACAGCCTCTTTGCCTGCTGCAGCAACTTCACCTTCTCTTTCCCGTTGCTAGGTCGTAGGCGTGATCTTTGCTGTAGTGCCACACCCCATCTAAACAGAGCTGCAGTTTAAAAGTTTTTGAAATCAAACAGAATCAAATCACTTATACACTATCTCTCCAAAAAAAAAAAAAAAAAAAAAGGGAAAAGGGAGAGATGAGAGGGGGGACCAGAAACATACCATCAGGTGCATAAATATTTCCCTTGGACATCATGGCATCAAATTTATCAATTGCAGCCAAGAACAGTTCGTCAGCATCAAAAGCCGCTTCCTGAAATCCACAAAGGATACGGTTTAAAGCCTAATTCAACTGATCATAATGTAGCTCACATGACTGAAATACTAAAACATACAAAAGCATTTTAAACAATAAAAAAAAAAAAAAAAAAAAAAAAAAAAAAAAAAAAAAAAAATTAAATAAGTCAAGTCTCTTACAGGTCCAATATCTGCAATCAACTGTGCACGGAAGGTGAGAGCAAGACCCCAATTATATAGGGCTCTCACATCATTCGCGTCAATTGATAATGCCATTCTATACCTTTTGCCTGCTTCCACAAGAAGTTCCTCGCACTCTTCACACACGTTAATCAGGACAGATGCAATTTCATCTTTACTGCTGATTTTATCATGCATTCTAATCCATTTCTCAGCAGATAAGGGGTCACTTCTTGCAAGCTGTGTTCTCAACTCACGACTAATCCTCAATTTTAATTCTCCATGAAGAAGGCAAGTGTTGCCTAACTGGCCCACAGCTAGCAAACTCATGGGCTTCATAGATATGGCTTTGGATAGTAATTTGGCTGCCCTGTATAATATGTTCTCTGCACGTTCTTCATTGTGTTTAACTCTTATTAATTCCTTGGCTTGTTTTAGAAGATCATTAGCTTCTCTAATATACCTATCAAACACTATATCATCTGAAACCACTGAAGATGAAAGAGAAGGGAGTTCACTCTCATGTCCAGACAGGTGATCAGCCAAATGAGAATCGTCGTTGTGATTTACTTGCTCTTCTCTAAGATGAGACTCATAAGTCCCATCCTCACTTTTTTCCCTGATATGAGAACACCTGTAGTCCCCACCAGATTGCTTAAGTATTTGTTCTTGTACAAAGGAAGCTTTACTGTCCATATGCTCCATTCTGACACTCAAATCTACAGAATCAAGTAGAACGTCATGGGATTCCCACGTTTCAGCATGATTGTTATGATCCATCTTCGAAGAGATGTGACCATTGCTCATGAATTGCAATCCATTATTCTGATAATTAAACTCTCTTCCAGCTGCAGATCTGTTAGGACCCCCACCCACCTCCTCTGAACTCATCTTATTATTTTCTAAAGCAACTTTGACTCTTCCATTTCCAGCCTCATCAAAACCAGACTTATTTAAGAAATCTTGAGAATGACTCGAATTTGCAATTCCTTTATTCTCATGAACAGAACCGAGAACCATTTCATTAACAGAAGGCATCGAACCATTCCCTCGAGATTGATCATCCATCACTTTCTCCACAGCCTCTCGCTTAAAATTATTTTTCACTCTATTAGGCTTGGAATCAGCCAACTTTTCTTTGAACAAACCTCCTATGTACTGGAACAACTCATATCCAATTTGTACGGGCTCTTTCTTTCTTTTACTCAGCTTTTTGTTCTCAACTAAATCAATATTGAACTTACCCAAATTCTCAACAGCATTCCTAGCATTCGACACCAGTAAACTAGTAATTTCCATGGCCTTTACATAACTTTCCAAATCAGTAACTGTAATTTCTCTGGAATCAATAGCTTTTTGTATATCATACTTTAAGTTATTAACTTTATCATCAAACCCATCGAAAATTTCCACCAAGTTCCTCAATTTCTCAGGATAAGCAATTAAGTTTTCTTCTTTTGCCCTTCTCTTATTTGCACTTAAGCTCACTTCACCAACACTTCCACCACGAACGAAGCCAAATGAAAACCCTAGAGCAAAAACTAAAATTGAAGCAGGAAACACGACAACTGAAGAAATCCTAACCCTGGAAATGGCAAAAGCGCATGCAAGGCCTAATAGAAAGACGAAGACATGCTTTTTATCATCGATTCCTATAGAAACCAGAAAATCACGAAACTTATCAGACTCACCAGAGCGGCCCGAGTAGCCGGCGAGTCTCAAATCGTCCCACCCGCCATAACTGGCTGATTCAGAGGCACAGTGAGCTCCGACAGAAGATAATCTAGTGGTTCTGGGATAGCAAGACCATTTTCTGTGGGAAATGTGAAGAAAGTTCTGACTTTTCGGAAAATGGAAGAGAAAAGCTGACGGTGAGAATTGAGGCTTCGAATAGTGAACCCAGTAATGGGAAATTAGGGTTTTCATTAGGAATTTCTCGGAGGGGAAGGGACTGTACGAACGCCCTTGCTGTATCTCGCATGGCAACAACTAGCACAGCCTCAGCTGAGTGCACAGTAAATCGATGAACTTCAAGTCCATGTATAGTTTCCTACATATACAGAGTGGTGAGTCATTTTCGTCATTTGGATTGGAGCCTTACTTTCACAAGGTTTCGGTCGGGCACATTTTTTATTTCGTAAAGTTTGGGGACCAACTTTGAAATCCTCAAAAAAGAAAATTGAAGGACCAACTGAAACAACTAAAAGTTATATTAACACTTTTTTTTTTGTTATTTTAAAAATAAAATTTGTAGAATAAAAGGGTTCCCCTTGCTTATCTCTGTAGGGTCAATAATTTTTTTTTTTTGTTGTTGTTGTGATCAATAATTTTCTTCTCTAATTATGAGACTTTTAACAAATATAGCTGTTGCGTGTTGGCTGTTATGGCAACAGAATCATGTGTATAATTTTTTTAGTTTTTAGTTTTTAAATTTTTTTAGTATAAGAAATAGTCTAAACTATAGGGGTTATCACACACATACAATTAAGATGTTATTGGAGTTCAAATTTAAGACATCTAGTTTACAAGTCAAAGCTCTTTTTTATTGAGTTAGATCTCGTTGACACGCCATTTTGTAATGATGCTTTCATTTATGAAGAAGTTAAAATACAAAAAATTTGGTCATGCTATGCAATATATAATTAGTTTTGTTCATTATCAACAGAGCCGTTATTCACAAGCTAAAAATGTTATACTTTGGAACAAGTAATATTTGACATCTAATAACGGTGTATGTGATCCTCCACCAAAATCATCCATCATGTAATGAACTTGAGTGGAGATGATTAAGCAGTTTGTTAAAAATGGTAATGATTTTTTACCATAAGTGATCTCCCAAAGCAATGATAGTTTGGTTCCTTTCAATAAGCAGAAGTGAAAGGGGATAGTTTATTATTAGACATTGATATCCCAACAACCAAAAACCAGAATCTACATTGAAACTTCAATTAGCAGCAATGACAATGGTAATTATTCTCTCTAATGATTTTGATCCATGATCATTTTTTGCACAATCATAATCCTTGATGAGCCGCCTACCCAAAACACCATAAATTTTGAGAAAAACCAGTCATTTGACGGGTCCATAAAAATACTGCTCATACAATACATATAGTCTGTTTAAATGGGCTTTCTGTATAAAGGCCATGTGTTTCTCTTGGGTATTTATTTTTTTTTGGGGATTGAGCAATCAATTGATTCTTTATGAAATCTAAGCCGTTGATCTCAATGACTATTCAGCCTTTGAAGTTTGGTATCTAATTAATTGTCAGATTTCAGTAATTAATCAAAAATCCTCTCACACTACAAATTTTGAACATGGTGTAGAAGACACATGCATATATGGTAAGTATTTTTCATCACAAATAATACATCATTAACTGAAAATTAAGGAACTAATTAGAGATTATAGATGATCTGTTCTGGTCTGATCTGGCAAAGTTTACAGTTTGGATTTTTATGAACATAAAGACAAGTGAGTTGACAGATTAGATTATGGGTTATCTTCAAAACTCATATCTAATTGGGAAAGCCAACCCAAACAAAAAAAGAAAAGAATGTGAAGGGTTGATTAAGAAAACCAATTAATCTTTTTCTTATTTGGAAGATATGTTAGATTCGTTAGATTCAGTTCACAATAACGACAAGTACGATGTTCATCTGTGATGAGTTTGATACTTAATTGTGACTAAAACATTGTAGTAGTGAAATTTTGTTATGGGTCGTATGAGTATTTTGTAAATACCTTATCGTTTGTAAGAAAAATGGTATTTGAGTAAAATAAGTTGAAGTTGGAGGGCAAAAGTTGAGTAAGGGCGGGTGTAACGATCATCGGTGCGTGGAGGGAAAGCTTACGAATAGAGAGGGAAAAGTGGCAGACAAAAGCCAAAGAGAGTGGATAAGGCCATCACGGGCCCGCGTTCGTGCATCTCTATTTCGACGCTCCCTACTTAAAAAAAGAAAAATTAATAATCATAAATTATTATTTAAATTATATTTATGTTTTTAGAAGTTGGGTGGCCACGTGTCGCCTCGCGGTCTCGTCTTCGCTTTCAAGAACGGCATAGAAGCAACACGAAGGCTGAAGGGACTGAGAGAGAAAAGGGAAAGAGAAAGTGGAGAGAAAGTGTGGGTTTTTGGGAGTGGGTGAGAAAATTAGGGTTCTTGGAGGCTGATTGAATATCTCTATCTCCGTGCTTTGTAATTATTTTGACTTTTTTTGTTGTTTTTTATTTTATTTTTCTGTGGAGATGTATATAGCTTCCATGCGAAAGTCATTCAAGGACTCTCTGAAAGTGCTCGAAGCTGATATTCAGCATGCAAATACACTGTAAGTGATCATCTGCTCCATTTGTTGACGATTTTCTTCTGGTTTTGATTCTATGCTTGTGTTTTTTTTTGGGTGAAAAATTGCTTCTTTTTTTGTAATAACTTTTTTGTTAATTTTTGTGCTTGAATTTGAGTGTTAAAGGTTTAACTCCACTTTCATTTGTAGTTCATGTTCAAAATGTAAGATTTTTTTCCCTTTCAGTTTGGTTGTTTTGATTTATTTATATCTCGGGTTGTCAATTTAGTTTTTTTTTCCTTTTAAAAATTCAGTGAACAGCCTAAAGATCAATCCTAGCCCTGTTTTGGTTGTTTTTATTATTCTGCGAATGATGGAAGAATTACGCAAAGTTTTGTTTTTGTTTTCCTTCAAGTGGTGTCAGGATCACAAAGTTTTCATTTTTGCCTTTTTTTCCTTTCTTTTTCGCTCATCTATTGGTTTCTTGTTTCTCGGTCTCTTTCATGAAAACATAAAGAAAATATCTTGGCCTCGCGGTTTCTATGGGTTCAATTATTTTTCACGGACCATATGATTCTGGGAATGCGATTGTTTTTTTAACATTAAAGCGTTAATTTAAGTGGATATTTATTTGTGCATTATCCTTATCTGGATGGATTGTCAGAGGAGGAAGAAAGCAAACCAAAATTGTCAGTGAGTAAATAAGTTCACGTGGCCACTGGGTTCCACCTGCTTGTGCTGCTTATTTATTTATTTTTTACAAATAAACCTGCTTGTGGCCTTGTAGTGACTTCTTAGTAGATGATTTGTGAAAAAAAAATGCTTAATCATAATTTTAATAGACTGTTGCAATTATGCTCCATAGACATTTTATTGAGAGATAGGCAGAGAGGGAGAGAGGGAGTTGTTGGGTTGGTACATTGTATGATTTGCTGATATATTTGGTGGCTTAATCTGATAATTAGTCTTCCGTTTATATTCAAATCCTTATCTAGATGTGTGAGCTGCAGGGCCTCGGATTATCCAAGGGAATATGATGGTGCTTGTCTTCAGATGAGAATGTCATACAGTCCAGCTGCTCACCTCTTCCTTTTTCTGGTGCAATGGACTGACTGCAACCTCGCAGGAGCCCTTGGGCTGTTAAGAATTTTAATTTACAAGGTTGAAGCTTCTAGCTTCTGATGGCTTCTATTTTTTTGAGTTAGATTCCAATCATGGATGTGGGTGACCATCGCATTTTGGCTTATGCTACAGGTTTATGTGGATGGCTCAACAACCATCATGTCTACCAAGGAAAGGAAAGCAAGCATCAGAGAGTTCTATGGTAAATTTCTGATCTCAGCAGTTTGGTTATTTGGTTTTTGTTGAGCCCTTGTGTGTTTCTTTTCTTACTGATCCCTCACTTTGTGGTCAGCTGTTATTTATCCCTCCTTGTTGCAACTTCAGAGTGGTGTCACCGACAGTGAAGATAAAAAGCAGAAGGCAGTATGTGTGGAAAGGTATCGAAAAAGAGATGATGAGGAAAATCGACAGTGTTCTGATATAGACATTGAAAGAGAGGAGGAATGCGGTATATGCATGGAGACAAATAGTAAAATTGTATTGCCTAACTGCAACCATGCTATGTGCCTGAAATGTTACCGTGATTGGTACTCTCTCTCTCTCTCTCTCTCTCTCTCTCTCTCTCTCTCTCTCTCTCTCTCTCTCTGTGACTAGTTCTAGATTTTTTTGAACATTAAAGTTAGCCTGCTACTTTGTGATATTGCTGGTACTTGCCTCGAAAGATTCATTTTTTCAGTCATACTAAAAAATTATGTTGCTTTTTTTATCAAATAGTTGATAAAAGTTTAAGCCCTGCAATTATATGAAAACCATGGGTACATTAGAGGGTCTAATGAAATTATTTCTTTGTTCTGTTGCATTTATGATCATTGGTGCAATTCATTATTGTCAAATTTTTGTTGTCATACTAAATCTTGTTATCAATACGTTTTCTTCACCATGTTATCTTTGTCTGGGGAGTTCTTTTGAAATGCACTCTGGGCATTGGCATCATGAGCTTGTTGGTATTAAGTTATGGTAGTTGGAGGTTGCATGCAAGAGTAATAATAGTGAATTTTATTTAGACAAGCAGCCCCTAGGTTCAATAGTTAGGTTGCAGGTTTTTTCCTCTATCTCTCTCTCCTTTTTTGTCAATAAGATTCAGTGGAAATCAGAGATTCAGCTTTTGCGGCACATACAATTGTCCTTTTTATTGTGGTATGGCCTAGTGAACGATATGCTCTGAATTACCATGGTGTTTTTACGTTGGTGCTAGCTTTTACTCTTAATTGATATCTTGATTATCCATATAGGTGTTTGTTATTATATATTTCAATTCAAATGTTATTTTATATTATATCCTTTACACGATATCTACACAAAATTGTGAAATTCTCTTATGTGCATAGCAGTATGCGCTGTTGGATAGATAAATCATAAATGCAATTGCATTTGATTTAAATCTAGGCAATCCATTATCTCAAACATATATCGTGTGTAAGCAAAGTCTCTCTTATATTTTCGTCCTCACAAATGGAATTTTCTGGTTCATATCTGTGTATAAATGAATGTCTGAAAGTAATGCTCCTTTGACATATTGCAGGCGAACAAGATCTCAGTCATGCCCATTCTGCCGTGACAATCTTAGGAGAGTGAACTCGGGTGATCTCTGGGTATACACTGACTGCAGGGACATAGTGGACATGGAAACAGTGATGAGGGAGAACCTTAGGAGGCTTTTCATGTATATAGATAAGTTGCCTTTAGTTACACCGGATAACCCCTTTGACCCTTATGATTCCCACCTAAGGTGATTGAATCAGAGTCCAAAACCACAATCTCCAGTGGCAATTTAATGAATTAGTTTCTTTTCCTTTGATTACATAAGGACCGAAAATTCATTCGGCGGGTTTAAAGTCGGTATCTTCCCACTCCTGTTCAGAAGACCTCGCCTGAGTTATTTTGTGCTGGCGGGTGAAGTTGAGGAGTCTATAAAATTGTATGTAGTACATTTGTAAATGCTTGTACAGCTTTGAAGTTGGATTAGTCTTTTTAATATACAAATCCTCTCCTTGTTGCTGAGAATTTTCAGTTTGAATGGTTTAGACGGCATAATTGTTTTCAAGCAAGCTGATAACCAGATATAAAAGTAATGATGTAAGTAGGATTATAGAGCAATCCCTGGCTCAATGGAGATGGGTGAACACAATGTAGTACACAGGGTTTCTTGTACCCTTTTCGTTCCACTGTCCAAGTTCCAATTGATAATCTAGTAGGGATACAAAACCAAACCTATGAAGTTGGGACTTGGTGGGGTTCTGTAGAAGAGTGGGCTCTGCTCCTCGGCCTGATCTGGGTTTAGTCCTTTTCTTAATGGGCTTCAACTATTTTTTATTATTTAAAAATTTATACAAGTGGAGGCGAAGTGTCGAAAGCCGGCTCATTGCCGACGTGGCGAAGTCTGAGTGGATGACCATGTATGAGGTTATGTCGAAAAAGATTTAATTTTTAGAATAATTTTTAGTTTCCGTGGCTTTTTTCTCTCTGTCATTCATAGGTACGAAAAACATACAAAGATTGGAAACCAGTGGGAAGGTGGAAAGGACCCAATTGGCAAAGAAAGTCCAACAAGAAGTTTGTCAATTTACAATTCCCAGCTGTTAAATCGGCCACAGTCCACACATCACAGAAACGCTCTTTTGCCTCCCCTCTCTAAATTTAGTCACAGCCTCCTCCTTTTGCCAATTTTAAACACAATCCAAGTATTCTATACTATTCTTTTAAGTTATCAACCCAACCCAACCCAACCCATAATTTATTTCAATAACAAACAAACCAACCCATCAGATTTATAAGATAACCAGGAAAGGAAGAAGAACAAACGTATTTATATCAGAGGGAGAGAGAGAAACGCAGGAAAAGAGGGAAAGAAAGAAAGAAAGGAGAGATGGGAAGAGGGGGACAGGGAGAGGCAGAAGAGGAGGGAGTGATGGCCACTGACTTTTTTTGGTCTTATACAGATGAGCCTCACGCTTCTAGGCGCCGTCAGATCCTCTCTCAGTACCCTCAGATAAAGGAGCTCTTTGGTCCTGACCCCTGGGCTTTCCTCAAGGTACTTCCACAAACAAGTTCTTTTCATGCATATCTGAGTTTGTTTTTGTGTATGTGATTGACATTTTGTTGGGTTTTTCGTGTATTGCCTCTTTTCGGTTGTTTTCCATTGGTTTTAGATCTGAGACAATGTAGGTGAGTTCAAAAATATGAGGGATGATTTTTGCTCCTTTTCTGCATTTGGGTATTGGAAGTTTTCTGCTTTCGGAATTCTATTATGCAATTTCAATGCACGCGTCTCTTTCTAGTTAATTCTTTTTTCTTAAAAAAAAAAAAAAATCTTTGTATTGAAAATTGTGTATGAGTCCCGGATCCATTTTCGAACAGTTAGTGATTTTACAAATTCTACATCGCGTGCAGCATTGCTTGTGTGGAATGAGGTGTCATTGTTTCTTACTTGATTGTCAAGTGTCTCTTTCAAGGATATAGAAATAAACTAGTTGACATATGTTGAGTTGGGTAGCCAAAGAATTGAGCTTTCGTCATAACTGTCCTCTTGTACAGCGACTATGCTGTTCTAAGATGTTATGAATAAATGGGCATGCTGTTGGGGTTTTGTAATGCTATGAATTATGTTTCCTCATACTTTTGTGTGAATGGACTCTCAAAATGCACAAACAACCGTATATCGGAGATATGCTGACTCGATTTTTAGAACATAGTTCAACCTACTAATTTGCAGAGTTCTGTTTAAGTCCATGAAAATTGGGTTTTTAATTAGTGGTGAGTTATGCTGCTAATGTACTGGTTTCGGTGTGGTTTTTTCTGATTCGGTTTCCAGAACCTAAATCAACTTGTAAACTGACAGGCTTTTGTCAGTCTGGAAACATATGAGTATTAGTTAGTGTTCTGGTTTGAGATAAAATGGAACTTACGCTTCTCCATCAGCTGTCTTATATTTTTTATATTAATGATCTTTAAATGAAATCATGGTGCTGCAGATTACAGTGGTTGTCTTGCTTCAGCTCTGGACTGCTACAGCCCTCCACAATGCAGGCTGGCTGAAGATACTGGCAATAGCCTACTTCTTTGGCTCTTTCCTCAACCACAACCTCTTCTTGGCCATCCATGAGCTCAGTCACAATCTTGCCTTCTCAACTCCAGTCTACAACCGTTGGCTCGGTATTTTTGCTAACCTCCCAATCGGTGTTCCCATGTCTGTCACCTTCCAAAAATATCACCTTGAGCACCACCGTTTTCAAGGAGTAGACGGAATTGATATGGACATCCCGAGCAAGGTTGAAGCCCATTTGGTGACAAATGTGGTAAAAAAAGCCATATGGGTTCTCCTTCAGCTCTTCTTCTATGCTCTTCGGCCTGTGTTTCTCAAACCAAAGCCCCCTGGTTATTGGGAGTTCCTCAACCTTTTCATTCAGATAGCCCTTGATGTTTCCATGGTCTATTTTTGTGGGTGGAAATCTTTTGCTTATTTGATCCTCTCTACATTTGTTGGGGGTGGGATGCACCCAATGGCTGGTCACTTCATTTCAGAGCATTATGTCTTCAACCCTGATCAAGAGACATATTCTTACTATGGCCCTCTTAATCTCCTGACTTGGAGCGTGGGGTACCACAATGAGCACCATGATTTCCCCAGAATTTCAGGGAGCAAGCTCCATAAGGTGAAGGGCATTGCACCAGAATACTATGAGGGTTTGGAGTCGTATAAATCTTGGAGCCAAGTCATCTACATGTACATAATGGATCGAACAGTCGGGCCATTCAGTCGAATGAAGAGAAAGCCATCAAAATCTGAATAGACGCTCTCTTCTCCAAAATTTCTTCCGTTTTGTATCATTTCCCGGTTCTTTATGGGTTACTGGTTTTTCCTTTCTTATTTGCTTTTGTTTGTAACATTTTTCCTTGGATTGTTTGTAACATTTGAGGAGTGAGATCTTACATTGTATTGTAGTATAGACTTTAGACTGAGCAACAGGAAGTTATTTATTCATTTATTAGCAATTGGGAAAGAACATTTGTTTAAGTCATGAACTACATTATAAATAGATAAAGTTAGTTCATATTTTTCTCTTTCTTTTGTCTTTATTCTGTTCATTCTAAAGATGGAAAAGATATTTTATTTAACCAAAAGAATTAAACTGAGGTAGCAAAGCAGACAACATAAAGAACCATAATGCAGAACCAAAGACAAAGGACAACATGGTTTACATATCCAGACTTGAAACCCATTTCTCACAAGCTTCTGTTGACAATTAGTAGTATCATAAGTACTATGTCAACCGGTAACTGCATATTCCATAAACTTCTTTCACAAAGCTCAAGTATCTTTGATCTCTTCACTTGTTTGACTGAGAAAGATAAACAGAAAAATGAGGCATCAAAAGTTAAATTCATAAACAAGAAAATGTCTCATAAAACTCAAATAGTGAGTGGGATATGTAAGTAAGGCATGAATTCTTACATTCCAATTATTATTCTTGGCTGCAACGATATATTCCATCGGTTCATTAGGGTTTATGAGTGGGAGTCTTGCTGGGGGACACTCTTCATCGCTATCATAGCTGGATCCTTGGTTTGACTCGACAGACCTTAGAGCCAATGCCAATAAGATTGAAAACCCCTGCAGATTATGGACTTTATCACATCACAGAGGTCTAAACTATCCTTGAGATTTTGAGGAAAATAAATCATAAATTTTTAATTTTAACTACCTGGGTTTAAATGCAGTTCAGGAAATAATATGGTTTCAGTTTCAGCACACTGGTTATACTGTTATTTGAAAATAAATGTGGCTTGAACAAAAACATCAAACACAAAAGCACCTGTGCTAAGACGATCAACAAGCCAATCCACTTAAACATGTCGAAATTTGACTTCACGAAATCTTTGAAATCATGGAACTTTCCTGTAGTGTCATAGGGTAAATCCTGAAAAATGAAGAACAAAGTTATATGGAAAGTAAGAAACACTTGATTTTGGAGGAATATTGTAAGCCTGTTTGCTAAGATGGTTTACCTTCTCCCAGTCTGAATTTAGGAGTATATCTGCAGCCATCGCAGTCTCCAACAGAAGAACAATAAAGATGATCAACATATACTAGTTGGTTCAAGGTCAACATATGTTCAAAAACAGATATATATATATATATATATATATATCTATATATCTACACACACACACACACGATAAAGGATACGCAAGAGAGGCAACAACCATGTGCAAATTTTGCAGCAAGATAACCCATGCATGTAATGGCACACAAGAAAACACCAGCGCCAAGAAAAGTGCATATAAACCTGCATTAAACACACACATAAAAAACACAAATACTGATGATTTCGATATCTGTAAAACACAGAGAATCTGTTTCTGCAGCGAAAATATGTCAGCAATGGAATTTGCTTTTGCTTTTGCTTACCATGGAGCAGCAGCAGCAGCAGCATCATATTGATCAACGGATGAACTGTCCATGTCCCTCAGCCAAACTCTAACCATCCAAAGACCATACAAAACCATTGCAATTCCAACCATTCCCAAAACTGAATTCACTAATTTAAGTAATGACTGCAGGCATATTCTTGCAATTGTTACCATTGTAGTCTTCTTTGTCAGGGCACTTGGACAAAAAAGCAAGAAAACCAACCAAGCTAATGTATTAAAATTGGACCTGAAATCCTATTCAAGCTAAAAAAAACTTCAATCATGTAACAAAATTCCAGAAATAATGAAATTAACCAAGCGCCCCCTATGCAAATGACTGGTACATCTGCCTGGTCACATTTAAGTTGGATGATGTTTTTACTTCTTAAATTTTTCTTAATCCTTAAGAGAGGGATACAAGTACAACTAAATTCTGTTCAAGAAATTTGGCGCCAAGCAGGAAATTTCTAAGAAACTGACTAATGCGTCTTTTAATATGATTTTTTTCGGGTGGGTGGATTTTGTCCTGTGATATGTTGGCCTGTTCCTTCATGAGGTGGCAGGAACAAAAATGGCAGCCTTAATTTAAAGTGCTATTTTGTGAGCTTTCTATCAACGGGTTGCTGTGGTGTAGTGGTTATCACGTTAGTCTTACACACTAAAGGTCTCCAGTTCGATCCTGGGCAGCAACATTACTTCTCTTTTTCCCCAATTTATTGGCCTTTGAATTTATTTTGTTAAATAGTTTTTTTTCTTTCCAATTTATTCGCCTTTGAATTTAATTTGATGCAATTTCTATGTTATTCCAGGTTTTCATAAAATTCAAATCATCTCGCAGCAATGTATTTATTAATTTAATTTTCTAAATAAGGACCAAGGTATTAACCTTATATTTTTCTTGTGTTATTAGAAATTTAACTTATCTAATAGATTATGTAATTAAAAGAAAAATAATTGAGCTTAACCTTTAAAACATCTTTTCAAAACCAAAAATAATAATAATAAAGAAGGAAATATAGTATAGCCAGACAGCGATAATCATTTTTTAAATTTTTTTAAAAAATAGTATAGCCGGGCGGCTATACATTTTTTGACACGTAAACCAATAGGAGGGTTATTTTTTTGCTTTTTGGCTATACCAGGTTTTTTTCCGTACAGCCGCACGGCTATAATTAGTTTTTTTAAAAGTTTTTTTAAAATAGTATAGCTGCGCGGCGTTACTGGGCTTTTTTGTTTAAATTTATTTTAGAGTATCGCCGCACGGCTATACGGTTTACATATATTCAACAGTATAGCCTCCCGGCTATAATAATTATATATACGACATGTCGTGTATATATATATATATATTTACATAGTATAGCCGCGCGGCTATACGTTTTATATAAACGACATGTCGAATATATTAAAGTATAGCCGGACGGCTATACCGTTATATGACATGTGAGATATATTTAAAGAGTATAGCCGCTATACTTTCGAATACACGACATGTCGGAAATATTTAAAATGTATAGCCGCGCGGCTATACGCTTTAAATATACGACATCTTAAGCTCACCACCCCACCTGGCTGACCTTTCACAGCATATAAGGCTAAAAAAGGAGAAATGTTGTGCAATTTCAATAGAAATGTAAAACTTCTACTAAGAAACCGTTCTGTCCATTGCAATTTCAATTTTGTTATTTTCTTTCTTTTTAGCGACAATGACAACGGAAAGGAGACACATAAAACTGATGTATGGGTCTGACAACACGACGTTAAAGACTTCTCGGTATATAAAACATGACATACAAGAAAAAGCAACCAAAATTTTATAAGAGAATCAATTAACTTCCCGAATAATTAATTGCAAAGCAAATTTGAATGCCATTAGCTACCGACTGTGAATGAATACATGCAGGGCAATAACCCCTCTTTTATGTTTCAATTTTTAAAAATTTCTCGTCAGTTTCAGCAGTACATTTTACATTTCCTAGCGTATAGATAAATTCAGCAAAGATGTGTAGATCAATTTGGATGCACCATAAGCTTAACTCATTGGCGGAGCCTCTTCCATTAGCTGCCCTTTTCTTTCACAAGCTTAACTCATCGATCCTGAAATTTTTGCTGCAATATGCCAATCATCTGATCGCAACTTCTCCACCTCAACTTCCCAAATTATTAATACTGTCAAAGGTATGACTTTGCAAACAATTCCAGCTATCAGATAAGAAAACTCATAAATAACAGCCTCCACGATCTAGACCAAGCATTTTCTGCCGCAGCAAGGTTTACGAGTTCCTACTTGTGTTGTGCAAAATTGGTATCAGGCTACTGCCTTTGACGGCTAAGATATTCTCGCATGTGCACGTGGTTTTCTGCCTTGACCACTAAAGACATCTTCTTTGAATCCTCTGGATCCTCCCATAGCAGAGCATTATATCCTCGTGCAAAGTCAGAAGCACCCTCAAAGAGATCCTGGCAGATATAAAAAGGAAAATCTTACAAATCTTAAGATTACAAAACCAAATGTACACATCATTGTGATAAGCTGGATTGTCACCCTGGATGGAAATCCATCATAATGATACGCTGGAGTCATCTCAACCCTATTCAGATCTGTTTCCCACAGCCTAATCTGTCAGATACAAGTGTAATCCAAAATGTCAGAATACTAAGATAACTGGTAATCCCTTGCAACATAGTTAATTACTATGATATTCAGAGAGCTTCCTTATATTGATAAAAGAGCGTAGCAGAGCTTGATGCGGGGAAGTTTCCAATCAGAATCAAGCAAATTGAACTCTCACAATATCTGGCTGAATTCAAACAAGAAGATAGAGAAGGATCTGACCTGATCTGTGACATTCTCAGGTACAGATGGTACTCTCTCTGCAACACGTGGATGTGCATTCTGCTGAAGAAAAGAAATTATCTGCCAAAAAAAAGGTTTTACAAAATTTAGACTTCCAACATTCCAGAAAGTATCAACAACCCATTTCTGCCCTGTGATAGTACACCATGTAATTTACATGTGTGGACTTGGGAGGGTGTGTGTGTACAGACAGTGAAAGGTGCTTAGCAATTTAAAGCCACATCTTTAGACATGAATTGGACTATAGGTTTCATTTTTCCCTTTTTCAGGCACACATGGAATGTACACTCATTAATCTGTGCATATTGGAAGTTGAACAATCTTCTAGACAAGGAAGACCCGAAGCTAGAATGAAGAAAAAGCCAAGAAAATACTATAAAAGAACATCTTTATTCTTAATGTGAAGCGAAAGCTCTATCTCTGCACTCTTTTTCTTTCTTTCTTTTATTTATTTTTTACCTGGGTCTCTCAACTAATACACCACCCTTTTTCCATGAAAAGACAAAACATAGATAAAAGTGCTATAATTCATACTGAAAATAAATAAAAGTACAATAACCAAAAGACAATATTGCCTGATCTGCAGTGATGCCATTTTCAAAAGCACTATACAAACTTTCTTTTGTTATTGCTCCAACTATAAGGTTTGGAAGTTGATATTCTACCCTGCACATAGTAGAAAAAGAAAAATATAGCAATAGTAATTACAAAATCTTACCTAAGAGGTCAGCAAGTAGAATAAGAAGTACATTTTACCAATTAAACACAACAACAAAAAAAGACCATCCATTGTAGCCAAATGCTACCTCTCCCCCCAGCCTGACTCCTAGAAGGAGAAAATTCAGCGGCAGGAGATCCAAAAATGCATTTGCCAAGTCTTTGCTCTTTGCGAAAAAAAATACAACCAGGGAAGTGCTTTTATAGTTGCCTATAATTATTTTTTGGGTACATAAAGTTTCTTGATTGCTTTCTTTCTAGGTTTTCTTCTCCTAACATCTTTCTTGAATACATTGGAAAAGAAAAATATGCATCTCTTCATACGTTCAGCAATGTCTAGGACATGATTAAACAGATAATAAAATATTACTAGCATGGCATGCTTCTTTCACATGTCTTGTGAGTAAAAGAAACCAGATATTAAAAGATTGATCAAGGGGTTGGTCAGCATACCTTGAGAAAAGACGTAAAATTTCACAATGTAATTTAGATGTTGAGTAGGCATACAGCCTGAAGTTTGTTTCCACAACTACAAATCCCTAAACAAAAATGGAGGGAAAAAATTGTAACCATATATAGCCATGAAAATGCACACAGCTTTTCTTTGGAGGATAAAAATATGTAAAACGTACAAGCTGAGCAAGTGCAAAAAGCATGATATTCCTAGTCATGTTGAGAATTAAGGATTACATTACATAATAATTTGAAAAAGTTTAGAAGCAAATAGAGGTAAATTTCTAGCAAACAGAGGAATTCAACTAAGGATAGTTTTAAGATTTAAATGTCGGCTAGCATCCAAACAGTCAGTCACCTAGGATGAATTTATTTACGTTTCTTTCTTTTATTTTTGTATGCTTAAGAATATCTATAACTATATGTCTCCCAACACCATCACCCTTCAAAAGTTGAGCTCAAGTTTGAGAGCAGATTAGTTTCTCATAAGTGCTTGGACAAGTAGGAAAATAAAAAGTGCAACTAGTTGACAATGTTTTTTCTTCATGATGAAAAGCACATTCAGGCAAATGATTGATGATAAGGAATCAGTTGCAGAACATGAACAAAGAAAAATCAATTAGAGACAGCTAAAATGAGTACAAATTGCACACCTGTTTCCTCGATGATGAGTCTGTCAAGCTCACTGAAAGATTAGTAGCTAATCTAGTAGGTATAAACCAACTGTCTTTACGACCCTGAATAAGCACCAAAAAGACAACAATTTAAAACTTCGATGAAGAAATAGTTAAACTATCAGCTGGGAGATTATTAGAACATTCTATACCAAGATTAAAGCACAAAAGTATAACCTGCTGAAGTTTGACCAATCCTAAATCTGCTAGATCCTTGATTGTATTCTTCTGTACCTCAGTCAGTGTATTTATGTTATATGCCTAACACATAAAGAAAAGTACAATGAAAAGTGAGAGAAACTTCCTACATGGAAGGAAACAGTTGCTGACAAAATAAATAATAAAAATTATTCTATAGAAAATACCTATGGAAACATTTAGTGCAAAAGTTTATACCTCGCCTGTAACATGAAAACTAAGCTCCAGCAGGAATGAAATCAAATCTGCAGAATCTACCCCACGCTCCTGCACCAAAATAATAATAATAATAAGAGACCAGATAAAAGATGAAACTAATGAACAGCAGCTATTGTGAAGAAAATACTTAAGTTGGACTAGCTTCATCTCAATACACAAGTGAAGCAGGCAACTCTCAAAATCACAAACAACATAGTCATTATGTACTTTTCAACTTCTAACTTGAATGCTCTACTATATGAATGATTAAGCTCTGAAAAAAAATTGAAAAAACCTTCAAACTGTTTTGGAACAAAAATGTGAAATTTGATCAGAAATCAGTTCTGAATCTTGCTGTTTCTAGTGCTGGTTAACATATTTGGAGTCTTTATTAAAAGTTCAGAGTGTATTTATAAGAGTTATAACAAGCAAAAGACATCACATTCACCAGCAATTAAAAATCTGATGATTCCCTACCTCCGAGTTAGAGATGTATTCTCTGATGATGTACCAAAGTTGCGCATTTGTATCCATCAGCTGCGGTTATTCACATATCAGAAATAATATCTAGTAACAACTAAGAAACATCATATGTGCTGCATGCTAGCAGTTGAAGAGATTTACTGCATACCAAGAACTGGAAACCACTTTCAGTTAATCTTGGAGCTTCTTTATCTCTGTACAAACAAAAAATGCAAAACCTCATAATCAGATATACAAAAAAGTGCTATGAAAAATAAAGACAGGCTTGTATTGCCAGAAATAATAATACAAAAATAGGGACCTCTGACTCAAAAGACCCCGCTGGAAAATTTTCATCATGGATGAACTGATGTTTGACGGCCTTTCAATTTGAGATGAGTTGATAAGTTGCAGCAAGAAACACTGGTATAAGATGACAGAAAGTCATTAAGAAGGGTAACCCAAATTACAGAACTGCACAATAAGAAGTTGTGAATGTCTAATTTACAGCTACACATCATACAGATCGCCATGGTATACAGAGGCAGGCCAAAAAATCTGACAACAAAATCCTGACTTAAATATGGATAAATTCTGTACCTCCCATTGTTCTAGGGCAAAAGCCTCAAGATCCTCTGAGCTTGGGAGCCTCACTGTAACGTTCGAAGGCATCGGTTCTCTTGGCAAAACTACACTGCAGTATCCAAAAATATATCGTTATAATCTGAGAACATACTTTCTGACATTGTTTTCTGTCAGAGTATAAAAAATAAGGAATAGTAGCACAAGTGAAATAATGAATAGAGACCCTGCAAATTTTGTACGAGTAGCAAGTAAAAGAGCCAACACTTACCCATATAGCAAAAGCTTCTTGAGATTGGTCTGAAATATAGGATTTAATGTGTAAGTTGTTTCTCTCTTCCTGCCATAAGGTAAAACAAATGAAAAATAAATACATTATGTTGCTCCAAAGAAACATAAAAGTATGCACTGATACAAGACACTAGTTCCAAAAGAAAGCTTGAATCACCTGTCAACAGTTTCAGTGAAAATTCTCAACTGAATTAGCCGATCAATAGCAACTCTATGTTTGGAGACCCCATCCGGCAGCACCCACTCCTCCATTGACTTGGCAGTCACTGGAACTTCGATGCATAGCATTTGTAAGACATATTTCTTGGCTAGAGGTGGCAGAGACCTGAAAATTGCACCTATATCATGATCACTAACTCATTTAAGATTACAGGCTCGTTCAAGTAATAAAGCTACAGGCGACATTGCGAAAGCAAACTGAGATTGAGTAACAAAAGCAGTAAAAATAAAGAAGGGGACCTGAGAATGGCTTCGCAGATAAATGCGTTCTCGTAGAGCTTGTCGAGCTTCATGGCGGGCAAGGCAGCCACCATGTCCATGAAATTCTTCGCTATGATCCTCACCTGAGGCATTTTGAGAAATTCGAGCTCTTTTCCGCTCTGATTCTAGGGTTCTTCTTCTGAGCTTCAAGCCCCTTCTGATAGAAAATTACAGAACAATAAAGTGAATAAAAGGGGCCTGAAATTTAATTCTAGGGTGTGAGATATGAGTTTATTGCACTCTTTTATGTTTACTGTAAGTGTGACTGATCGCAAAGCGCCCCGTATTTTGATTTGAGTGCTGCTATTTGATTTTCTCCGATGATTGAAGAGTGTCGGAGACCGCCTTCTTTGGTTTTTGGTAAACTTCGCTTCATTTATTCTGGGTTTACATACTGGCCGGTCGCTGCTTTTATTCTGCGTGTTTATTATTATTATTAATTGTAAAATAGATTTTTGATATACTGTATTTTTTCTTTCTTTTTTCGAAATTGAAAATATGAATTTTATCCAACAAAGTTACAAAACACAGTGGCAGACGTGAGTTTCGAGTCTCCCCTCTTGTAAATTTGATGAATTTAGAATAGTTTAAAATGATAAACCAAACACAGTGAACAAATTCAGAAAAACAAAAACATAATTACCAAAATTAAAATCAAATTATCTAGAAAAACTGTGAGAATGCCAACCCGTCTAGAACAGTGTTCTCAAGTTCAAATCTCATGACACCTTGGTAGTGTGTGTGGAAAACTCCCTCCCCTTGTTGTTTAGATTATAACATTATCGATATAAAAAAAAATACCGCTAGAATAGTAGATTATTCATTAAGGTTTCACAATAGGCACTTAGGCAGATAATGAAACTGACAAGAAATGTCAATCTTCTAAATCATGTCCATGGCAGAGCTTCTCCACTAGTGAAATTTGGTGTCAAGGCCATTCAATGGTGCATAGGAAATTTAATGACATCCATGGCAATACCGTTCTCCACTTCTAAAGCTTTGATCAAGACGAATTCATATAGTGAACAAATTCTGAAGTATCTTCTCAAAACATTGAACTCGCGAATATATCGAATATCAATTCAATTGTCACCAATAAAACAGAAAGGGGATCCAGTTTACAGTTCACATTTCCACGGTGTTTCTTGTCTATCAAAAAGTCTGGATGCCCAGATGTTAGTTAATCTGAAAGCAATATAAAATGGCAAAAAGAAAAATTAATCCTCCAACCTATTAACTAACTAAATCGTTGGTAAGCATTTTATAGTATAGTTAGGTTTGTCTCTCACTATGCCGAAGTGCTAAGTATGTCTTCAGTCGTTGCTCCGGCTGCTCTGGATTCAGCAGGCGGTGAGGCTGGCTCTTGAACAGGGGGAGGAGGCTTAGGTCGCCTGTTTGGACGAACTTTATCAGCTATGTCCGGACGAATATCAAACTGCAGCATCAAGGAAATTGAATCTGTACTTTATAACTTTCTAAATATCAATCCTAGATAAGAATGCATTAAAATGTAACCAGAACTTCAACGGATTGAGACCAGACTAACCTTGTAACCACAGCCAGATACACAAGCATGAAAGCACTCCTGCACACAGAATTGGATCAGCAATTGCTCAGTCTGAAAAAATGTACATTGAATCATAACCATGCTTTTGAATGAGGATGATGCGCAAGGGTACCAATTGACTTTTCAATGCAGGATGGAAGCATTAACATACCTATTCACTCCATTCAAGATTTTTAATCAAGAAGCATTTAGCTATCAGATACAGTGCCAAATTACCAATTCTTATGGTTGTCATTGGACAAAAGTGATAGTTTAAGCTTTCCTAGTTTTCACCTTAAATATAATTATCATACTGGAACTGCATGTTTCTTGTTTTTTTGGTTAGTCAATTATAGAAAATGTCAGTTAAAAACACATTAAGTTTAACATTTACAAACAAATTTACAACTCCTAGTCTGCTCCACTAAGAACAAATGATTTTAGTGAATCCTGAGGAGGCTATTATAGTGAACAACACTGACACTTCCCGCTTTCAACTTTTGGACTTGAGATATACAAGAGGCCATATAAATTTAATACACACGACATGACCATATGTTCATATTATCATCCAGAATTTTTTTCATTAACATGCTAAGAGAAGCTGTAGATGGCAAAATACCTCTGAGTACCTGTCAACTCCAGGAGAACGGTCAATGCAAGCACTCCATTGCCGGTCCTTTAAAACAGGATCCTTGTAGCATATCTCATTGCACTCCTCCAAGCCTGCACAACTACTCGCTATATCACTTGAAGCATATCTCAACAACATTTTGTACTACTCCTATGTTGTAGTGTACTAACTCACTAAACCAATAGTCTACTTCCATATTAAGATTCAGATGCAGATTGATAAGAGCCAAGCTAATAGACGAGCCAAAAAGTATATGTTGATAGGTAACTTCCCACAGCATTAAGATAGGTTCTTAGAAGTGTCATTTCATATAAGGTGTCTGCGAAGGTGCTAAACCGAAAACAAATAATGTAAACAACACAAAACCATACGAAACTGAGTAGAACAACAAAGTAACACTCACATTCTTCCCAAGTCTCTCCATCAGCGTCACAGCCCTTTTTGCAAAATACTCGCCCTACAAGGAAACACACAAGTTATAGTGAACCCTGTAATAAACCAAGATTTTCAAAAGAAAACACACGCAAATTCTTGTGCTTGGGCATACCTAAAGCATATTATTCAAACCCAACCGTGCAGGGAAACATGCAGATATAACAGGGGGCTAAATTGACCAAAATTTATCATACAAAATGTACAATTCAGAACTAGACCATGAAACGTTCGGTTTAGTCAATCAAGGGTTGCCCAGTACGATAATCAGTCTCATTTTTTTAGCGCCAAAACAAGGGCACCAAAATAAATAATAATAATTTACAGTAAAAGGGGACCAAAAATCTAATTAATTGAGGAAACAACAACGATTGAAGGTTAGATAATAGACGAAAAACATGAAGTAAATTTAAAAAAAAAGAAAAAGGCATAGAGAGCGACGATGAGGAGATAAAAATGGGTTACATGGAATCTGCATAAGGGCTGCGTACTTGTTGGTGCATTGGTTACCGCACGGAGACCCCCATTGATGCGGTATCATCTTCTCTCGCCACTCTCAGACTCTGTCTCTGCGTGTGAATGGAGGAGCGGTGGAAATGGGGAAAGGGATGCTTCTAAGCTCCCTTCCGAGGGTAAATTGGTAAATTGGTAATTTGGTAATTTGATTATCTTATTTTTAAAATGAAATTAAAACCGAGTATAGCCGCTCGGCTATACTATTTATATGAAAAGAACCAACTAGCCATAGGCACTCACGTGTCAAACACGTATAGCCGTGCGGCTATAATATTTTTTTTATAAAAACACCGGAGTATTATACTATTTTTTAATGACCATAAAAAACCGAGTATATCCGGGCGGCTATACTATTTTTAAAATAAACATTTAAAAACAGAGTATAGCCACCGCTATACTATGTTTTAAAAATAAAAAACCAAGTATAGCCGCACGGCTATATGATTTTTTATATAAAAACCCAACCTAGCAATTAGGTGCCCACGTGTCAAAAAAGGTATAACCGCCCGACTATACGATTTTTTTCGAAAAATCGAAGTAGAGCCGAGTGGCGATACTATTTTTTAAAAATTAAAAAAAAAACCGAGTATAGCCGCGACTATACTATTTATAAAAAAACCCATCCTAGCAATTAGGTGCCCAAGTGTAAAAAAAAAACCCGCCTATATTATATCTTAATATATTTTATTTATATTTTATAATATATATTATTTATATTCAATATTATGTGATAATTATATGTATAATACTTAAATTTTATGTGTCTTATTGAAAATATATATGTACGTGTACAATATGAGTATTATACATTTGCTTTTTAAAAATATATTTTTACCAAGTTTTTAAGATGTGTACAAAATATAGATGTATTATTAAAAATACATACGTATGTGTGTAATATATATATATATATATATATATATATAAAGCAAAAGGCAGAGAATGGTAAAACATTCAAAATACCAGAAAATATCTTTGCTTAATGCAAACATTAAGAATTGAAATTATTAATTAAATAAGGATAATATAATAAATTAACAATTTTTCATATTAAAATTAAAAGAAAATTCAGATAATAAATCATATTTTATGAAATACAACTACTTATTATCTTTTTTAATTTTAAAAAAAATTAAATTTTTTTAAAAAAAGCCTCTCGCAACCGCAGAAGTACGTGCGGAGAGACTATACAGTATTAAACCTATATATTATATATATTTTTCACGCTGTACGACTCGGTCGCCCTGGCCACTAGCGAAAAGGAATCAAGAATCTTCCCAAGATTCATAAGTTACAGGAATCGATAACTTCACGGGCGCATGGACAGCGCAAGTGCCGTTTGTCATCTTCCAACTCCCCACGTGTCCAAATCCCACTGGTCCATACATGGACCCCGTTTCCCGCACGTCACCAAGATAAGTTGCCCCGTGGATGGCTCGACCAAAACCTGGAGAGACGGGAAGAGAGCGCCTGCGTGTCAGTCTGTGTTACTTGTTAGCAAGTCAGCAGCAGAAGAAATGGAGGCGATACAATGGAAGCTATTGCCACTGCTAACACTTCTCGCTTCTTTTCTACTCTTTTTCTATTTCCAAAATCCCTCAAAGGTCTGATTTTTTATGTTTATGAAGCTTAATTGAATTCTATTCTCTCAATTTTCTTCTGTTTATTTTGTTGGGTTAGTCCTTGTTTTTATACTTGTCCATAGATGCTTTCTCGAAAATGGAGTGCAAAGAAAGCAAAATGATCTTTGAGCTCTATATGGTTGTTGTGTTATTGATTCTGATGACATGAAAATCTCAAATAATTTGGTTTTTTCTCTAATATTGAAAAATTATTCTGAATTCGGATTTGAATTTGTCTTTTTGGCCCATTTTCTCGTCAACCAAACAGCCTTTTGTGAAGAAAATCATTGCAATATACTGTTTTGATTCTCAAGGGTGTTCATTTGCCTGCCTAATTTCTGTTTCTTTGTGTGGTTTACCTTCTTTTTTAATAGTACCACTCTGTTAGTGGACAACAGGGCAAGTGGATTTGAGATATTAACCAATCGATCAATGGATGATGAGTTCATAATGTGTGAAATCATGGGTGAGAGAGAAGTTATGCGGTCCTACACTACATTATAACCAATTTGATATTCCATTAAGAAATTTTAATCGGATTACTTTATCCACGACGAAATGAATATACACTAAATTTTAATGGGATTACTTTAGTCTTTGAATTCTATAATCCATGAACTTTTTCTAAAAGCATATTCTGATTTTGAATGATACTGAAAGTTGTACCAAAAAAATATTTCCACTTTGCATGAACATATTTCTGCGTATATACCAATGTATTTTGTATATGCATGGTGAAGAACCCATCAAGAAAGAAGTTGTAGTTTTGTTGGTCTGTTTATGAATTCTACTGAGTATTTCACTTCCTCAGTTTTGGCTCTGCATTGCAATTTGAGTGTCATAATGGAGTTTATTTAACTTTTTATTTTACAGCAATATCAGAAAAACTGCAGCCTGCTTCCTTACCAACATTACTGGATAACCAGCAATCGCATCGTGACGCCTCACGGGGTCATTTCTGGAGCAGGCATGTCTAAACAATAGTCTTGAATTGGATGATTTTCCGTTGTAGATTTTAGAAACCACATTATAGCACTATATTATGGTTTTGGAACCAAATAGTTGATTTAGTTTCATTTATGAAATGTGTAAATGAGCAGTTGAGGTAAAGGAGGGGAAGATTGTTTCCATTGTTAAAGAAGAGGAAAAGAATGGGAAAACCAAGTTGGAGAATGTAATTGATTATGGAGAGGCTGTGGTAATGCCTGGCTTGGTTGATGTGTAAGACACCACAATTAATTTTCTCACTGTGGTCTTTTTTCTGTATAGTCACAAAGGTTTTCATTGGAATTTAAATGCCTTGGTTTCTATTAATTGCAGGCATGCGCATCTTGATGATCCTGGAAGAGCTGAATGGGAAGGATTTCCATCAGGGACCCAGGCTGCTGCTGCTGGTATGCCTATACCTCTGCTTCATTCTTATGTTTTATTTGTAGCTTTTCAATCGCTTGTAGATTAATATTTGCTCTGTTGAAGGTGGGATAACTACATTGGTTGACATGCCTCTAAATAGTGATCCATCCACTGTCTCCAGAGAGACTTTGCAGCTCAAGATTAAGGCCGCGGAGAGCAGAATTTACGTTGATGTTGGTATGCTCTTAGAACTTATACATGTTTGGGGATACCATCATACTAAAACATTTGAGAACTAATGGTTTTTACATGCATATTGTAACAGGTTTCTGGGGAGGTCTTGTTCCTGAAAATGCATTCAACGCATCTGCTCTTGAGGATTTGTTAAATGCTGGTGTACTTGGTTTGAAGGTAAACACTTTAATAGAATAGTGAACACGTGCTAGTCTATGTATAGGTAAGCTAGGAATTTTGTAGTTCATAATAGGATAGTGATATCTGTTTCATTACATTTATTGTGGCACAATTAAAGTTCTTCCAACTAATTCAGATCTCTTGTGTCTTGAGGTGTACATACATATTTTAGAGCTTGTGGTTATTGGTTCATGTCGATTAAATGTGGACCAGTTTTCTATTTTCTTGCTTTCTGAAACAGTACTCAACTTTTGCAGGAATATTAAGATGTTATACGATCCTCATCTGATGAGTTTTTCTGTGTCCGTTTTTGTAGTCTTTCATGTGTCCATCAGGGATCAATGACTTTCCTATGACAAATGCCAGTCATATTAAGGTTTGTTTCATGAGATTCAGTCTTCCCACTATCTGATTTAGCTTGCAAAATAAATTAAAAGCATATAATCAATGACTTAATTGCATTGCTGCTTATCCAACTCTACCTGTACTAATTTAATCAGCACCATTAATTATTCATTCGTGATGGCTGAAGACTTGCATGATCAGTTGGCTTCTTGAGATGCAATGTTTTTTGCACAATTCTGATGTCTTTTCAAACATCTGCATTTTTTTTAAATTATTTGTTCCTTAGGAGGGACTGTCTATACTGGCAAAATATAGGCGGCCTTTACTTGTACATGCAGAGAAACAACTAGATTTTGAAAGCGACTTGGGAGTTGAAGGTGGTAGTAACGATGCTCGTTCTTATTCGACGTATCTCAAGACCAGGCCAGCTTCATGGTAAGATATTTTTTGCACCAATGTTTTGACTTTTGAATGCTGAATCTATATTGCAAAAAATTTCCCTATACTTGCTGTAAGGAAATATCCCTGAATGTAATTTTTCGTCTCTGTTTCCAAACCAGGGAAGAGGCAGCTATTAGGGATCTCTTGACCTTGACAAAGGACACAAGGATTGGTGCCCCAGCGGAAGGAGCTCATCTTCATATTGTTCACTTGTCTGACTCAAGCAATTCGTTAGATCTTATTAAGGTAGTCTATTATAAGTATGTATGTGGTTGTTGTGGGTCTTGTGACTCCTATAGTACAAATGGCCATTCACTTGTAACTTTCTACTGATTCAGCTCTATCTGCACCCACAATATTACCAGAGTGCTACTTTCAACTGAAAGCAAATTATTAGTGTTCATGAATAAACAATGCAACTGGGTGTCTACATTATTGCAGGATGCAAAAAGTGGTGGTGACAGTGTAACTGTGGAGACATGCCCCCACTACTTAGCATTCTCAGCAGAAGAGATTCGGGATGGAGATACTCGTTTTAAGTGTTCTCCACCCATCCGTGATGCAGCCAACAAGGAAAAACTGTGGGAGGCTTTGTTGGTATATAATCATTCCATGTTTTCCTGTGTATATGATAGGATAGCTGTTCACTATCAAATTGGTTCTATTTGGTTTCAATGTTTTGTTTCAGGCAGGACATGTTGACATGCTAAGCTCTGATCATTCACCAACTCTGCCGGAACTTAAGCTTCTTGATGATGGAGACTTCTTGAGGGCTTGGGGTGGCATATCATCTTTGCAGGTTGGCATATTTTTCCTTGCAAATGTTATGGTCTGTGATTGGCTTCAGAAACTAACTAGCATTCTCGGGGGCATTTGCAGTTTGTTCTTCCTGTGACATGGTCATATGGCCAGAAATATGGAGTGACTTTAGAACAGTTAGCTTTATGGTGGAGCAAAAGGCCCGCCAGCCTTGCCGGACAAGAATTGAAGGTGATATCATCATCAAATTTTTATCTGTTTTAGTGATTTTCATGCAGACATGAATCTCATTGTGCTGATGAATTGAATTATAAATTTGCAGGGGGCAATTGCAATTGGGAACCATGCAGATATGGTAGTGTGGGATCCAGATGTGGAGTTTGACCTTGATGATGATCCTATTTACCTCAAGCATGCGGTATGTCTTCCTTATGTATCCTCTGTTCACATGTTTTGAGTGTAACTTTGCTTGTTTCTTGATAACATTCTTAAGACCCTGTATGGCATTCTATTCTATATTAAACCTGTTTTCTGTTCTGTGTTATGACACAACAAGGTTTTGACTGTGTTGCCTTTCTGTGTACAGGGGATTTCAGCCTACATGGGAACAAAGTTATCTGGAAAAGTTTCAGCCACTTTTGTAAGAGGAAACCTTGTCTTCAAAGAGGGGAAGCATGCTCCGGCAGCATGCGGCGTTCCGATTCTGGCAAAATAATTACGCTCGTGAATTTACAAGCCAAATCTCCTTGTATATGTACTTGTGGGATATCATTCATGTATGGCTCTGTCATCTCTTGGCTTTTGATGAGCCTGGTGCTTCCCAAATCTGTAATATAACAATTTCCAACTAATTTCCTTTCCTTTTTTTTTTGGTGGGGGGTTAAATCAAAGGATATATATTATGAATAAATATAAGCAACTGATAATAATAAAACAAAAGAATTACAGAAAGAAAAATTGTGGTCCTAGAACTAACAAATTCCTTGGTGCCCAAGTAACAACTCCTATATAAAACAGGGCATATCACGCACCGCTCCATAACCTTCCCCTGCAAACCCTCTCTCAATTCTAAAACCAAAATCACAATTTCAATGGCTCCTTCAAGTCATCTTGGTCCTCCAGAGCTCAGCCTCCCTCAATATTAATCCCTATAGTTTTGACGATAGCGGCAAGAGGACATCCTTGGACATCTGCGGCGATGGGGGCGAGCGGCGAGAGGACATCCGTAGCGATGGGGGGCAAGTGGCTGAGCTTCAGTGGAAGCGAATGGTGGACGACATGTTAAAGCAAGGCAAGATGAGGAATTTCCTGGCTGTTTTTGACGTCTCGGGAAGCATGGAAGGAACCCCCATGAAAGGTTTATGTGGTATTGGGGATTTGAATAATGCTACTCTTACTACATTTTCATACCACCTTATGTGGCAGATGACTTGTACAACCACATCAATTAAAAGTAATGTTACATTTTCTTTTCTTTTATGATTTATTGACACTTTTTAATTGATGTGGATGTCCACTTCATTTGCCACATAAGGTGGTATGAAAATGTGGTAAGAGTAGCATTATGGTGTCTGAATTGAGTGAAGATTCATGGAAAGGAAAGGTGATCACTTTCAGTCAATGGTTTCAGCTGCATTTGATACAAGGCGATGATATCAATCCAAGTGTGAGTTTGTGAATAGGATGGAGGCTGGTTGCAACACTGATTTCCAAAAGGTGTTTGATTTAATTCTGAAAGTGCCCGTGAAGGGGAATTTGAACCCGGAGGACATGATAAAGAGGTTGTTTGTGTTCAGCGACATGGAGTTTGATGAGGCTTCGTCGTCTAGCGGATGGGAGACTGATTACGCTGTGATACAGAAGAAGTTAGAGAATCAAGGGTATGGTAATGCGGTGCCGCAGATTGTGTTTCGGAATCTGAGGCACTCCAAGGCCACTCCGGTGACCGGGACACAATCCGGAGTGGCTCTGTTGAGTGGCTTCTCTAAGAATTTGCTCAAGCTCTTCTTGGATAATGACGGGGAAGTTCAACCGGACCTTGCCATAGAAGCTGCCATATCCGGCCAAGAGTATCAGAAGCTGGTTGTGCTGGATTGAATTGATTGATCATCTCTGCTTAAGTGGTGGTTTTTGTTTAGTTTAGCCGCTACAAGTTAATTTTCCATTTCCCAATTTGTAACAAGCTGTGAAAACAAAGAGGTGAAATATATGCAGAGGACCACTAGTGCAGGGGTTTGGGGACTCCTTAAGTAAGACATTGGATTCGAGTCCTAGCATGGTAAAATGGAAAGTCCTCGACAGGTGAAATATTATTCGTGTTTTTTCATCCCTTTCATCCGTTACTGTTAAAAAAATAAAATAAAACAGATATTCTCGAAAATGACTTGTTAAATATTGATTTTTTTTAGTGTACTACAATATTGCCTTTGTCATGTGTACTACTAGAAAAACAGAAATGGCTTCAGCCAAATTGGTGCTGATGACGGGCAAAAAGAAAACGACATGTCGTGTCGTTGAGAAAATTAAATTGAGCAAATGACCCAAGCCCAGCAGGCGGCGGGCCAAAGCCCAGATTGCCTCCATAATTTTTTTGGTTACGAGGCGGGAGATTGGTTCCACAGTTGCATCTTCACGGATAAGATGCTAAAACCCATCGCGTCAAAACCAAAGACGCCATGTTCAACTCTTCGAATCCACTCGTTCACTCTCTTACTCCTCCATTGAAACTCAGCAGCAACCTCTTCTTCATCTCCGTCCCCAAACCTTCGAACCTCTGTACCAGAGCCCTCAAACCCGCCACCGCTAACTTCTCGCTTTCCTACTCGCTCGAGTCACCGTCCAACCAACTCAGCCTCGCCCATTCCCTCCAGTCCGAAACCCTAGAAATCCTAGAATGGGCCTCGGTCTGCAAGCAGCTCTCGGCGTTGGCGTTCACCGCCATGGGCTTCTCCGCCGCTCAGGAGGCCCACATTCCCGTCGGCCGGTCCAAGGAGGAGAGCCAGAAGCTTCTCGATCAGACGACCGCGGCGGTGGATGCCATCACGATGGCCGGTTCTCCGCCGTCCGATTTCTCGGCCATCGAGAACGTCTCGGACATCGTGAGCTCCGCGGTTTCAGGCAAATTGCTTAGCATCAACGAGCTCTGCGCTATGCGTAGGACACTGAACGCCGCGAAGGGATTGTTCGAAAAATTGAAGGGCTTGGCTTTGAGTGCAGATTGTACAGACAGGTATCGGTGTTATTGAGCTTTGCTTTTATCTATTTACTTATTTCCTTTAGGTTTGTTCTGTGTTTTCGTTTTAATGAGCATGTGGTTGTGTACTCTACTGTGATAGATAATATTACGACAAATCAAATTTTTATGATTTATTTTTTGTTAAGTTGTCCTGGAACAGGTACTTGCCCCTGCTTGAAATACTTGACGACTGTGATTTCCTAGTAGAGCTGGAGAAAACGATAGGATTGTGCATAGATTGCAAGCTTTCAATAATTGTTGACACAGCTAGTGAAGACCTGGAGATCATTAGGTCAGAAAGGAAGAGTAACATGGAAAATCTGGATTCTTTGTTGAAGGAAGTGTCAACCCAGATTTTTAAAGCTGGTGGCATTGACAGTCCTTTGGTGACTAAGCGCAGGGCTAGGATGTGTGTGGGTGTTAGGGCTACTCACAAACATTTGCTTCCGGGTTGCATAGTTTTGGATGTTAGTAGTTCTGGCGCAACATACTTTGTGGAACCCAAAGAGGCTGTGGAGTTGAATAACATGGAAGTGAGGCTTTCAAATGCTGAGAGAGCTGAGGAAATAGGCATTTTGAGCTTCCTTACATCGGAAATTGCAAAATCAGAAACACCGATAATGTATTTGTTAGATAAAGTTCTAGAAGTGGATCTTGCTTTTGCTAGAGCTGCTTATGCTCTACGGATGAATGGGGTATGCCCAATTTTTAGTTCCAAGGATTGCCAGGACTTAGATTCTGGTGGCGCCAGTTTAGCGACATCTGTAGATATAGAAGGACTACAACATCCATTGCTGCTTGAGCCATCTCTTAAAAATTTATCTGACGTTCTTGAATCCAGTTCTAGAAATCACCTTTCCTCCGATGACGTTAATGGTTTAAAAATGATTACTGGAAGTTTATCTGGTCGTGCATCTGATTTTCCAGTGCCAATAGACATCAAAATTGGATGTGGAACCAGAGTGGTTGTAATCTCAGGACCTAATACTGGAGGAAAAACAGCTTCCATGAAAGCTTTGGGCCTGGCATCTCTCATGTCGAAGGCTGGAATGTACCTGCCTGCTAAAAACCACCCAAAGCTTCCGTGGTTTGATCTTGTTCTAGCCGATATTGGAGATCACCAGGTAGTAGTTTACCTTAATTATGGCAGAAAATCCTAGGTTCTTTAAGTTTTTCATTTTAGTCTGACTATTGTTTTTCAATTGAAGTCTCTTGAGCAAAATCTCTCAACGTTTAGTGGGCACATATCGCGGATCTGTAATATTTTGGAAGTGGCCTCAAAAGAATCCCTTGTCCTCATTGATGAAATTGGCAGTGGAACCGATCCCTCAGAAGGTGTTGCTCTTTCTGCCAGCATCTTGCTATATCTCAAAGGCCGTGTTAACTTAGCTGTTGTGACTACTCATTATGCGGATTTAAGTCGCCTGAAAGAAAAGGATAATCAGTTTGAAAATGCCGCCATGGAATTTTGTCTAGAAACCTTACAACCTACTTATCGGATCCTATGGGGAAGTACTGGTGATTCAAATGCATTGAGTATTGCTAAATTGATTGGTTTTAATCAACGCATAATTGAGCGTGCACAAAAATGGATGGAGAGGTTAATGCCCGAAAAGCAACAGGAGCGAAAAGGTTTGCTATATCGGTCATTAATTGAGGAAAGAGGCAGACTAGAAGCTCAGGCAAAAATGGCTGCATCACTTCATTCAGATATCATGGATCTTTATCGTGAGGTATTGTTTGAGTAGCTCAAGTCTGGAACAGATTTGCATTTTTCTCTGCTGCTACCTTTTCATTATCTTGTTTTATGTGGCTCTTTACGTCTTTAATTTTTGTTTTCTTTTATTAAATTGAAGATCCAAGATGAGGCAGAAGATCTTGATAAGCGCAAGAGTGCTCTTATGGCAAAGGAAACCCTACAGGTTCAGAAAGAAGTGAAGACTGCAAAATCTCAAATGGAATCTGTGCTGAACGAGTTTGATAACCAACTCAAAACTGCTGGTGCTGATCAGTTGAATTTGCTGATTAGGAAATCAGAAGCTGCAATTGCATCTGTTATTAAGGCTCATTGTCCTGATGATGATTTGTTGGTTAGCGAGACATCTACCGCTTCATACACGCCCCAACCTGGGGAGCAAGTCCATTTGAAGAGACTGGGAGATAAGTTAGCTACTGTTGTTGAAACACCTGGAGATGATGGGACAGTCCTTGTACAATACGGTAAAATAAAGGTTCGCTTGAAGAAGAATGACATCAGAGCTGTTCCTAGTATTGAGAAGAATCCAATGACAAATTCTGCCCCACGTTTGAAGCAGCAGGTATGTAATGAGTAATTATTTATTCTTAGTACCATCAAACATCCTGTTTGGGGGTTTTGACCGCTTTCCATGGCTTGTAGATGTTTGGAATCAAATCCAAAGATAGAGGCTGATCATTTTGATTGATATTGTAGGCTTCGCAGAGTCGTACTGGGGAAACCGAAAGCGGGGAGGTCACCTATGGTCCAGTGATACAAACGTCAAAGAACACCGTGGCATGAGGGTGGAGGAAGCTTCTGACCTCCTGGACATGGTCATCTCTGCTAGACGATCTCAATCAGTTCTCTTTGTCATACATGGGATGGGCACAGGGGTTGTTAAAGAGCGAGCACTTGAGATTTTGAAAAACCATCCACGAGTAGCCAAGTATGAACAAGAAAGTCCAATGAATTATGGTTGTACAGTTGCTTACATCAAGTAAAATGACACTCTACTGATCCGCGAACATTGTCTTACAGTCCTACAACATGGGTAAACCATCATCCAGACATAGTCACTCATTCTTTTCGATCTTCATGTAAATTCTTTTTTTGGCACTGACCAGTTTTAGTGTTACGTTGGGTCAAAGTACCCTCACAATTTTTGAAAAATTGTACCCAGCAGTCTATTTGATAGGATTTTGTACATTAAGCTACAATTTTTTCCCTCTTAAATTCCATTATTACAACAGAAAGCTTTAGTTTTTTTCTTTTCCTCTATCCTCTGACTTGACAAAATCATTTTCTATTTATCGGAATTTGAAATTTGACTATGAAAGATTGTAACGGACACCTTAAGAACTAGCCAAAACTTTTTTGGGCAATAATATATGACTTGCTATAACGCTTGCCTTTTGCAGCAGACTCCACGTCTTGCCCTGATGTAATCCTTGGAGCTGCCACATGCATAGTCCCACCCAACACTCTCTTGTAAGCTAGCCAAACTTATTTTGTCCAGATAAGCATGTGGTCAAAAGCATAGAAACCAAGATTGTATATGTACAAGCCGCTCCATTCTGAGAAATAGCTGTATGTTGTTGAAGGTTTTGCTGGAAAATGTTGGCGGTTTTTGAGAAAGCAATTGGAAAACCACCTCAGGAGCTGAGGCTTCCTTCGAATGTGTTGGAGAAGGCAAAGACCAGAGAGGAAATTTTGGAGACTTTCCAATCTTCATGTCCTGAGAGCACGGTGTACTATCTTTCAAATGGGAATTTCATGGCCTTGTCCCATGCCGACGAAAGTATTCAATCACACCCAAGGTATTGATTGATATTTGATCTTCATCGTCTTTTAGTTCCATGCCTCATTGTTTTCTTGCTGATATTCTAAGCCAATATTCTTCTCATCTCAGTTCTCACAAAAGATTATTACAGGGTATTTGATTATACTAGTTGAGCTTTTCTTGCGCCAAAGCCTGCATGCAAAAGTGAAGCTCTTGTTTTTCTATACAGTGCTCTCAGTTGTCTATTTCTGTATTTGGCAGGTCCATAGTTGTCATAGACGATGTCTTCTGCATTTTTATAGGGATTTTGGAGAACACTTGTGACCTTAGAAGGCACTACGGCCTTCCAAGACAAGCAACAGAAGCCATGGTTGTGGTTGAAGCTTATAAAGTTCTAAGAGATCGAGCACCCTACCCGCCAGATCAAGTCATCAAAGATCTGCAAGGAAAATTCGCATTTATTCTCTTTGATGCTAGATTTGGTACCCTTTTTGCAGCGAGGGTGGGTTATGCATTTCTGAAATGAACTTACAATTGAAATATATATAATTAAACTTGTCTTTGACTTTGTTCAAGACAAATTTTATTTTTGAATGTAGTCTGTCTCATTCAACACTGGCTTGGAGATCTTTACTTTTCTTGGTTGGTCAAAAACATTGCATCTCCCACAATGCTAGAGCTAATACAGCTGCTATTCCTGCTAGGATCGAGATGGAAGTGTGGAGCTTCAGTGGGGCATGGCAGGTGATGGATCCCTAGTCTACTCTCATGATCTCAACATCATCAGAGAGGCTTGTGGAAAATCTTTTGCACCTTTTCCTGCAGGTTAGTCCAAATTGGTGCTCTTCCATTACCCTTTAATTTCTTTTTCGTCGTCAATGCCTTATGATGATAGAATTCTGACCCGATTTGCAGTAACTAAACCCAAGTTCAATATTGAGTAGTGTTTTAAAATGGTCTAACAGGCTGCATATTTACAAGTGGAAGTGGGCTGACGAGCTTTGTTCATCCCTTACACAAGGTAAGGGCAATCACACACGAAGATGATGATGGCTATATTTGTGGAGTTACTTTTCAGGTGGATCTGTTCACCCGACTCCCCAGCATCCCGCGCACCGGCAGTGCAGGAAATTGGGCTGATCAAGCACCTGTGGTCAAGGAAGGAGAAGGAAATTGGTCTGATCAAGCAACTGTGGTCAAGGAAGGAGAATAAGGACCCTGAAATTAGCCCTGCAGCCTGCTAGTGAGAACAATGAATTGTATATGTAACTGGTGAGTTGTAAACTAGAGTGTGCAATAAAAACAGAACAAGTTACATGTGGCCTGTCAGAAATGCATGCTTATTATATCATCATAAGTTTGGGGGATTTTATTGGTACACAATAATGCTTAAACTAGATATGTTAGCTTATACAGTAGATCCTAGTCTGCCTAGTCTGATTCTGGGGCCATGGCATCCATACTGCGATCTCGATGCCCTTCACCTTCAGCATTGCTGCTGGTTTCATCTGTGGGCATCTTCCATTGTTCATGTGTAATCTCATTGACATGGATGCCATTTTCTCCATGGCTGTTTCTTCCCTCCATGGGCTCATGGTCTACTTTGAAGTGGTTATTGTGGACATTGGTATCATCCATGGACTGGTCATGTTGAAAGTACAAACGAACTCCTTTGCAGGTAGCAGCAGGGCAATGAATTGGTGTGCAATATAGACCAGAACCAATTTGGCCGCCATTAGTATCACCAATTTCATAGCCTGGAGTTCCATAACCTGGGATGACGAAGCCTGGACCACCGCCTTCACCACTGCCAATACCACCACCAATAACACCCCCTTGGCCACCTCCAATGCAACCACCTCCCCCGCCGCCAATACCTCCACCTACCCCACCTCCAATACCACCACCTAGGCCACCGCCAATACCACCACCTAGTCCACTGCCAATACCACCACCTCCCCCACCGCCAATACCACTAGCTTGGCCACTACAAGCACCATGACCTTGGCAACCGCGGTTACCCTCACCTTCGCTACTACCACCACCTAGATTGCCAATCCCACCTTCAATACTACCTCCAATACCAAAACCTGGACCGAAACTAATACTACCTCCAATAGTACCTCCACCAACTCCTCCAATCTGTCCACCAAGCCCTCCTCCAATTTGTCCACCAAGCCCTCCTCCAATTTGTCCACCTAAGACAAACTTCTCTGGTTCATCAACCATTTCTTTTTCCTTGCCAGTAATAACCCTAAGAGCAGAGGTAACTCCCCAGCTAAGCAATATCAAGTAGGCTATGGAACCCCATTTTGGTGTTGCCATCTCTAGATATTTTCTATTGCCTAAGCTTGTTCTGCATGTTAAAGGGCTTTTATAGTAAGGTCTGCATAGTTTGTTTCAGTGAAAATGGCATAAAACTGGCAGTTGGTTGAGCAAAACAGGAAGCAAGCAAATGAATTTCCTGCATTTGGTTATGGAAACCAGGGTATCATGGTGTTTATGTGACTAGAGAATAACGCGTTGTAATTGTAATTGCAAGCAGAATTAAGTGTGTGTGTGTGTGTGTGATGATTGAACCTTAAACAACACCCCCATTCAATTTTGTTTTCTTTACTGCATAGATTCTTATCGAAAGAAATTGAGTAACCCTATCATATAAGAACAAATTTTTTACGGTAACACAATTTGAACCTAACATGAAATTAGCGGGTTATTGTTGAATATTAATACTTGATATCAACCCTAAAATGATACAATTTGTTGACATGAGTAATAAGATGATAGGTTAGTGTCAAAACCATTAATTCAACATGTGACTAACTTATTTACTACATGAGCATAAAAGAAAAAAAAAAAAAAAAAAAGAAAAAAAATCGTTCTTAATGTATATTGTTTTCCTTCATTTCTCGATTTGGTATTGTGTATCAACTTAGACACGGAAAAATTAATATGCATACCAAATTATTTTAGATACACTTTGACTCTCGTTATTTATGTATGTGAATCATCATATATGCTCTCTAACATTACATAATTAGTCCCAAATTAAGGTTTCCAAGTAATCTACAGGGTAAAACTACCTTATAAGGGAATTATGTTTATTTGAAAGACATTCTTTCTTGAGGACCTATTCCTTTTTATTGTTTCAAGGATCAGATGATATAAAGTAAGCCACATTGCTCTAATCAACTGGTCTAATCCGTCGGCTATCAACATCACCATTATACATTTTAAATCACCCGGAGGCTGAAAAATTCAGTCTCTTTTTGCAAGAACTTCCTTCGGAAGGAACGTGCTTTGGAAGGAAGAAAGCCGAATCACAGGTGGACAGTGCCAATAAGCAATAGCGAAGGCGCCAAAAGCATGTTGCTTACGATTATTTCTTTGTTTTTGTTTTAGTTTACTTTATCCTCTTTTTATTTATATATAAATCATAATTATTCTTCCGTCCACTTGCACTCATAACTCATCCATGAGTTAATTCCTCACAGAATCCTCACCATCTGTGTCTCGAAAAATTCATTCTTTGATTTTCGTGTTGAGATTTTTCAAAATCAGTCAATTCAATTCATTGCTGCTGTTCAAGTACTCTTTGAAAAGCCAGCGTCTTAGGGTGGCAAAAGCCGCAACCTTTAATCTCCCATTGCACACCACCGAAACGACGACTCAAAGTGAGTTCGTGTGAATTTGTGGCTGGTGTTGAAGTGGGTTTGATTGCATTCCTAATTCAGACCTAGAATTTGTTTGGGAAATCGGCTTTTTGCTCAGTTTCAGTGTCAGTGTCTTTCCCTGAATTCAAAATCTAATTTGTTATTGATTGAATTGTGAGAATGGAGGCCTCTGGTTTGAATGGGGCGTCAAATTTTGATGATGAGAAGGCGTTGAAAGGTTTGCTTGAGGCGTTTGGTGCTGCGTTTTCTCTTGATCAAATAGCTTCTGCTTATTGCAAGGCTGGGAAGAATGCTGGCGATGCTGCTGAAGCTCTGGCTATGTCTACACCTAATGGTGAGGCAAAGCCAAGGGGTGAAGAAGAATCTTCACGATTATCTCTCGATATTAGCTCTAAGAAGCCATATCTATATCAAGCAAATGGGAATTCCAGAGCTTCAAAGCCCAAATATCGTCCTATTTCAGGGGGCAGTGTTTCAAGCATTATTGGGAAACATTATGTGAAGAAAACACCATCAGCAAATGGGTCTTGTAATGCAACCAAACCCTTGAAGCTGGACTCTGAGGTGTTGCCAATGTCGGAAACTTGGGTGGAAAAGGCTGAGTCTAATTCTTCAAGGAATGATGGTCTCCACCAGGATATGGAAGATTTTCTATTCACTATGCTTGGAGATGGATTCAAGCTAGAAAGAGAGAGGATTCGAGAAGTTCTTGGTAAAGTGCTCTTTGTGTTCCAGTTCAAATATTTGCTATTTGTCTTGTCATTTAATTTATAAGTCTGCATGAACTATCAATATGTATCAGTTTGGCATGGTTGTGGAAACTGTCAAGGCTGATTTGAATCTGCTCTAGCATCAAACAGATTTATCAGTTATGCCTAGATGCCTTCAGGCCGCACACTAGAAGGATTGTGCACACTCATGGTTATGGGAGTTATAAGTGCAGAGTGGGAAGTAAGAAACTTGAAGAGCAGAGGAGAAGAGTGAGTTGGTTGATAAGGAAGATGAGAGTAAAAGTAGGAACATGAACAAATGGGGGTAGTGTATATTTATGCCAACATTCATAATTCTAGTTAGATATATGGACATTTCATATATGTCCAACAACAAAGCCAGTTTCTTTAATAATAAATTTTGGAAAAAAGAATAAAATTTGCTTCATAAACGAGCTTCCTGCTAATTGCTTGACTAACGGAAAGAAGACTTGATGATTGGATTGAAATTTTTGGTTTTGACTTTTGAGGCACAACAAATTGGGTTTTGAAATTTTTTATTGCAAGCTGTTTTATAGCTGTGGATAGTTTGTTTTCCATTTTAAGTTTGATTGATGTTAATGTGTGAAAACTGATTTGTTGCGGTGTTATTTGGAATCTGCAGATAGTTGCGGATATGATATGGAAAAGGTACACTACATTTATCATAGCTTCTCCCTTTCCTCCAATTGATGTCATTTTATCTTTGTCAAAAGTTGGGGTGTTTTCACAGCCTCTAAATAAGAAAAGTTTATCTTTACTTCTGGAAACCTCAAAGGCAGTTTCTTGACAGATTTGTGGCTTTTTTTCCCAACATTGTTTTCTTTATCTTTTTACTATACATTGTATGCACAAAATAATTTCCCCATTTTTTCTGATATTATACAATTATTTTCTCATATGCTAGACATTGGAAATATACATACATTGAGTACTCCAAAGCAATAACTTTCAATTTTTTTCAAATACCATTCAGAGCATGGAAAAGCTGATTAATTTACCAGCATCAACTTCTGACAAAAGGAACGGACTCGTCACTAGATCCAGTGATAAGGTTAGTAACACTTCCAAGCATTTAAGAACATAGCCCCAAACAGGATTTTATGTGTTTTCTGATGCATCAATGATGTACACTCCAATCTTCTTGGAAAAAGCTATTCAATTATATTTCTATAATGTAAATAAGCTTTTGGGTCTCTTAACTGCATATAAGGAGATAAATATAAAGAGATGTCACACTTATTTAAGTGCATAAATTAATTTCGGGGATGCACTCATGCAGTTTTCTACAATTCTTGTAATTGATATTTGACAGTAAACGTGTCTTGTTGTGTGAGAATTTTTGGGGAGGAGGGGACCTTGTTACAGTATACATGTCATTTAAATTTAAACTATAATAAGATCTAGTCTTCCCTATCCACTTATTTGAGGATATTGTTGTCCAGTCTGCAGGTTTGTATCATAAATCTGAAGTATCTTCTGAGAGAAAGTGCATAAACTCCTCTGAAGGGTATGTTTCTTTCATCACTTTTGTTATAGTTCCAAGTGTAATGTATTTATGTTTCTTATTTTGAAGAGGGGGTTGTTTAGTAAATATTCTGCTGTTAGGACTTTCTGTTTTGGCGTCTGTTAGCTAATCCCATCAATCAGTCTTACTTGTCTATACTCGTCTTCATGCAGTAATGGAGATAAGGCTTCAAATACAAATGGTGTGGACTTTACGGGACAAAAAAAAGAGAGAAGTGATCTCCAGAAGGAAGTTCTGGCTGCTTTGTTCAGTGCTTCTGAGAGATCCGAGGAGAGACCTGAGGAGCTACCAAGAAGAACAATAAAGGCAGCAAGTAGATATGGAGCATATGGACAATTAGTGGTTGAACCTCCAAATGATTTCATTTCAGAGTGCAAATCAGCTGTTGTGTATCAACAGCATCCTAAGGAGGATGGTATGCAACCTTGTGTATCAACTGCTCTCAGGAATTTATTCATTTCCCACGAAATCCAGATTTATACTGAAGATAGACCTATTAAGGCACTAGCTAATTTTGATGTGTGGTTGCTTGTGATTTATCTGTCAATTTCGTGTTTATGTTTGTATTTTCTTTCATAGTGTGCTAAATTGCAGATGCAGATGATGAAGATAACTACCAGGTTCTTCGTAAAGCTGTGAAGGAGTATCGGACTACGATGAAGGAATATTTCCAGGCTGTATGTGGCTTTTGAGGGTTTAGTATTTTATTTGCAATTGTTTGATCCATAAAACGTGTAGAGTAGTTTTTCTTAGCAGCCTTAAAATTTCACACATGGAGTAAGGATATCAATTTTCTTTGCCAGGCTGTAGAGGCATTTTCTAAGGAGGATCATGATCGAGCAAGCAAACTTCTAGAACAAGTAAGGCTTACTTGCTGTCATGAAGTGATTGGATACGAATTATTTTCTTTTAAAGTAAATGAATTAGCATCTTACGACTATATTGAAAATAGCTTTTCTTAAACACTTCAGTTGGATAAAATGAAATACATGCTTCAAAAATTGAACAAGGGGCAGTTTCACTTCATGCAGATACCAAGCCGGACTTGATCATGTATCTAAGCTAAAAATATAAGATATCAAATTTTCAAGTGTAGAATTCACCTTATTAGTTCTTTTTTTAAAAATGAATTTATGAATTCTATTGTAATGTGGCAGGGAAAATTTTTCCAAGAAAAGGCACGTGAAGCGGATGAAGAGTCAAATGAAATGATTCTAAGAACAAGGTTAGCATCCTTTTCGTTGAAATTTTGTGGTGTGTGTTTCTACTCTCTGTGGGCATTGGTTAATGATGGTGTATAGGATCCCACAATGTTAATGTTTTTTCTTTATTCTGTGTTCCTCATAGAAACGTTGAGACACAAGGTGAAATAGTGCTTGACTTGCATGAACGCAGTGCCAAGGAGGCGATACGTCTTTTGAAGTGTCAAATTTCTTCATTTTCTGGAATCTCATGTAAGTAAACGTTCTCATGTTCCTAGTTATTCTTTGAACTTGTTTTCTTGTTAATTGGAATTATTTGTTGTCTTCTCGTCAGCAATCAAGTGTCTTAAGGTCATCATTGATACACAAGAGGAAGAGATCTCAAAAGGATCTCGTAGACGAGTATTGGTAAGACTGCTTCATAATTACTTGCTGCATCTGTTTGAATAATGCTTCATACGTGGCTTATCCTTTTTCCATTTATACAGGTTTTGAAGCTACTGCAGGAAGAATCTATTAAGTGGACTGAAGGGGAAAAGGCCGGAACAATACTAATCCAATTAGACAGTATTAATCGGAAACGTTTAACTTTCATTAAAAAGTAAAGAAACCAAGTTGTTTCTCGAAGAGTGGTGCTCACAGAATTGAGATAATTAATTTATGAATGAACAATCAAAATTGTTGGTTAGAATACACAATTGAAAGGTTGCGCAAGAGAAAGTAATGTGATTTTGATTTTGAAAGAAGAGTGAAAGCTTTTCCTTTTCGGCCCCTTGTAAGAGTGAACGTCTGTTGTTTTATGATTTGCAATGTAGTGACTTTTTTAATATTATGTTATTGCAGCTTTTGTTTGAAATGTTGGTAGATCATCATTTATCTTTTATAAATTCACACTCTTTTTTGGTTTGAGTTTATATTATTGTCATTCGGTTAGTGTTGTGTTGTTTTATTAGAATGTCTGACATGTTGTATTGTTAGATTGTGAGGCCACAAATGATAAAGATACGGATAAATTCACCCAATGAATACTTTGCCTAGGAAACGTTTGTTTTTCACAATGTCTATTTCTTACCTCTCTCTAAATCTGAGTCCCAAAAATTTGATGCAATTCAATTTAGGAGCCCAAAATCCCAGTTGAAACAACTATCTAGCCCAGAAGACTACAATACCCATATGCCCGACTTTAATTCACCAATCAATATCGCGAGGTAGGACCCACTCGCTAGATCCCACGATAGATGATGAATCAATTGCAGAAAGAAATCGACGGCGAGAGATGTTATGCCAATTTACGGACTTACCGAGCCAATTTGCTTTAAATATATATATATATTTATTTATTTATTTGATATGTAAAGTCTTTTTTTAAGGAATATATTTTTGAAATATAAATAAAAAAGTAATGAAAGTTTTGTATAAAAACTTCAAATCAGATAGCACAATTAAGTACCCACTACGTTATTTTAACTGTTTTAATATTAAATTTTATTTTATTATTTTTTTCCTTATTAATTAAGCCTTCTTGTTTTACAAGTCTAATTAATAAAGGATATTTCTCTTAGTATTTTGAAAGTTTCGCTAAATTCTTTGGCGAAAGGAAAAAAAAGGGTTTCCCTAAATTATGCCCTCTGCCTTTACATATAAATTATAATAATTTGTCTTTCAGCGAAGGATGTGCAATCCAAGGTGGAGCTTAATAATTTGCCTCAGGCTAATGTGATTATGGACTAGGATGTGTATATCAGATATTTAAAAAGAAGCCTTACGTTATAACATAAACCTTTATCAATTCGAACGACTATCCACCCCCAAAAGAATTTTATATGGTGGTTTTCTTTGTTATTCTGCAACCTGAGGTGTTTATGAATCATGTGCTCAAGCCTGGGACTGTTGAGTTTTTTTTTCACAGGATTTATGATCATTAATCAACAGTTTGGAAGATGAACTAGAAACTTAGATGTCCAGTGCAAATATAATGCTTACTTTGGTCGGAAAACTGGAAATGCGTGCAAGTATGAATTGAGTGATGATTGGAAAAAGAATTTTTTTGTTGATACACTTTTGTAACTAATTTCGTTGTTGGCTTGGGTTCTACGATTGTTCTGTATCTTGTTCTTCTCTTGGTTATTTTTTGTTTGTGTTTTTTTTTGTCAGGATGGAAAGGTCGCAGATTCATCTAGTTTGGCCAATGAAGTTGCTAGGGTTGCTGGGTCAGTTAAGGCTGGAGAACCTAGTGCTCCTGCACCTACCAACCTTGAGACAGTCCAAGAGTTAGCAAAAGAAACTGGATCTTCCGAGGAGCAAATTCAAGCGCAAACTGGCCTTGATGATGCCTTGAAAAGGCGACTGCAGAAGTTGATTGACTCAAATCGAGTCATGCTTTTCATGAAAGGAACCCCTGAGGAGCCCAAATGTAAATTTAGCAGAATGGCTGTTGGACTTTGAAGAAGTATGAGGTCGAATTTGGAAGTTTTGATGTTCTTACGGACATTGAAGTCATGGAGGGGATACAGAAGTATTCTAACTGGCCATATTTACCACATATCTACTTCGATGGGAGGGCTCGTGGTTTATATCACATAACAACTTTCAAGAAAGGTTTCCAAAGTGAGCGATGATGAATGGGCATAGATTACACAACAGAAAAGTTGCGCAAGAGAGAGCATTGAACTTTTGCAAAATGTGATTTTGATTTTGATAGAAGAAAAGATATTGAGGCATTTGTAATGTTTGATTTTTAAGGTGTTCATTTGCGTGGCTAAATTCTGTTTCTTTTGTGGTTTACCTTTCTTTTGTTTTTTAAGGGTGGCTCAATGAAAGCATGTTGCTTACTTTTGTTTGTTTGTTTACGTTATCTTCTTTATTTATTTATGTATAAATGCTAATTATGCTAATTCACCATACTGTGTCTCGAAAAATTCATTCTTGTCGTGTTGAGGTTTTTCGAAATCAGTCAATTCAATTCATTCCTAAACGATGAATGGGTCTTGTAATGGGAATAGCAGTTCAGTTCAATTCAATTCAGTTCTTATTTAACTGATCCAGTTTGTTACAAACAGAAGCATGCAACATAGCAGTTTGCATAGAATATATAGGAATAGCAAAGGTGTTATTTAAGTTTTTCAATGATGTTAATGTGTGATTTCACCAATTGATGTCATTTCATCTTGTCCAAAGTTGTGGTGTTTTCGCAGCCTCTATGTAAGAAAAGTTTATCTTTTACTTCTGGAAACCTCAAAGGCAGTTTGTTTTCCTTTTGTTTTTACTGCACATTGTATATGCACATAATAATTTCCCCATTTTTTCTGATACTATACAATTATTTTCTCATATGCTAGACATTGGAAGGATATACATACATAGAGTACTCCAAAGCAATAACTTTCATTTTGAAACCATTCAGAGCATGGAAAATTAAGCTGATTAATTTGCCAGCACCAACTTCAGACAGAAGGAACGAACTTGTCAGTAGATCCAGCGATAAGGTTAGTAACACTTCCAAGCATTTAAGAAGTTAGCCCCAAGAAGGATTTTTATGTGTTTTCTGATGCATCAATCTTCTTGGAAAAGCTATTCAATTGTATTTCTATAATGTAAGATAAATATGATGTCACACTTATTTTAAGTGCATAAATTAATTTCGAGTACGCACCTTGTAATTGATATTTGACAGTATACGCGTCCTATTGGTTTGTGAGAACTTTGGGGGAGAAGGGGACCTTGTTACAGTATACATGTCACCGAAATTTAAACTAGATATAGTCTTTGAAATTTGTACAGCATGGCGTACGTAGTGAATGCCACTATACTATTTACCTTCCCTATCCATCTCATTTGAGGAGATTGTTGTCCAGTCTGCAGGTTTGTATCGGAAATCTGAAGTATCTTCTTAGAGAAAGTGCATGAACTCCTCTGATGTGGGTGTGTTTTCTTTCATCTCTTTTGTTATAGTTCCAAGTGTAACGTGTTTATGTTTCTTATTTTGAAGAGGGGAAGAGGGAAGTGGACGAGGGTGTTTGGGAAATATTCTGCTGTTAGGACTTTCTCTGGTGTCCGTTAGCTAATCGATCCCATCAATCAGTCTGACTTGTCTACACTCGTCTTCATGCAGTAACAGAGATAAGGGTTCAAATACAAATGGAGTGTAATTTACGGAACAGAAAAAAGAGACAAGTGATCTCCAGAAGGAAGTTCCGGCTGCTTCGTTCAATGCTGATGAGAGACCCGATCGAGGAGAGACCTGAGGAGCTACCAAGAAGAACAATAAAGGCAACGAATACATATGGAGCATATGGACAACTAGTGGTTGAACCTCCAAATGATTTCATTTCAGCTGTTGTGTATCAACAGCATCCTAAGGAGGATGGTATGTGCAACTTTGTCTGTATATAGGGGAAAACTTCATTTCCCTTGTTAATTTTTGGAGGGGAGTGTTGGGATCGGTTTGTATGGTGAATGGTAAACTTCTCTTAGGAATTTATTCACTTCCCATGAAATCCAGATTTATCCTAAAAGATAGACCTACTAAGGCACTAGCTAATTTGATGTGTGGTTGCCCGTGATTTATCCGTCTATTTCATGTATATGTTTGTATTTTCCTTCATAATAAAGTGTGCTAGAGTTGCAGATGCAGATGTGACGAAGATAACTACCAGGTTCTTTGTAAATCTGTTAAGGAGTATCGAACTACGTACGATAAAGGAATATTTTCAGGCAATGCTTCCATAGAACACAGAACACTATACATCATACATACAATGTATTAGAAACTAGAGGAAGCCATTGAAGTGTATAAACTCAATATCTTTTTCCGAAAAAGAATAGTCATTTTAGGGTTTAGGATAAATATTACCTTCGATATTTTAATTTGAACCTATGATGGTGACATAACAATGGTCATTCATGCCTAGTTGCCTAGCAAGTCTTTCAATCAAAATACAGTCATAAGAGAAGAACAAAATGTTGAGATAAAAACCACCTCAGACATTTTCTAAATAGATGGATTCTCACATCTTCAAGCATAAGAATATAATAGACTATGTCTTGCAAATTGCAATTCATTTACGATAAAAGCAATACACGATGTAGATATCAAAATGATAGAATATTGCATGGCATTTATGACAAAAATGACTTTAAAAAACACTATTCTCTCTTGCTTTAACTCTAAATTATGATTAATTCTCCATTCTCTACCCTTCCAAAGGGAAGATCCCGACAGAAAAATAACCAGTATAAGGATCACAAGTAAAACCATTATTCCTATTGTGTTTCGGGCACTCAAAAGACAAGTGTTCACCTTCCTTCCCACATATTGAACACTCCTTGAGAATTGCACGTCCTAGGCTTGTGCCACAATTAGCACAACGTGAGTCTCTAAAGAGGCAGCCACATACACGACATGCAACCACACAACGCTCGCCAACAATTGCATCCTCTGGGACTTTATACCTATAAGAGCATATTTGCGTAGGGTGCTCATCCACCTTTAAACAATACTGACATTCACCTGTATGCAATTTGTAGATCCATTGTTAAATACAACGAAAGCAATACAAATAATCATTTTTTAAAGACAACGAATGAATTAAGATATGGTAAAACCCAAAAATAAGTATTGTGAGCACACTACATAGAATAACAACAAATACATAGATATAATGTAAACAGAAAAGCAGCATGCACTTTTTTTTTGTCCCTATAATCAAAAGCTTACCAAGAAGATTAGGAGGGAGGAGAGAGGATGCTATCACTTACCAATATATATAGTTAGACTATCGATTAAAAAAAAAAAAAAAAAAAAAAAACAAAAGCAAAATACCAATAAAGCGTCTTTTTTCATCCTTTGATTCTTCAGTCTTTGATTCTTTAACCCTCGATTCATCAGACTTGCCCCTGTTTCCATGCAATTACACTATTAAACACAAAAAGGAAAAAGAAGAAAAAGGGTGATGATGTCAAAGAAGTTAGAAGGAGTGGAGAAGTCGTCTTTTTAACATGTGAGCTATTTTCAACATTAAATGCATAGATATTATGTCATAAAATATAGAACCTCTTGTCTCTAAAATAGAGAGCATGCCAATAGAATTAGGAAGGCGGAGGAAAGACTATCGCTTGTATTGACACCAAAAAATAACAAAAGCATACCTCTATGACTAGGAGGGCCTGGGAACACATGAAAATAAGTACGAAGTTCTTCTTCTGTTAGTTCTGCTAGGTTTATAGTCCATGGTTCAGTCTCTGGTTCTTTAGCGTTGTTATCTGTTTGCATTGCAATTACATTGTTAAAGACAAAAAAAAAAAAGAGAAAAGAAAGAGTGATGAAAAAAAGTTAGAAGATTGAATGACATCTATGATCCTGTCAACAAATAGCTATATTATTAAATATCAGTTTTCCATCAGACACACACCATAATAACTTTGCTGGAAAAATAATCGTCTTTCAAAATTGATTCAAATTGGCATAATATATATCCTCAAATTACAGCAACAAAAATAAAATAAAAACAACACTTTCTCTTTTCCAAAGAATCAAATTTCATATCATCTTCCTCACAACCCCTAAAAAAAAAAATTCAATATCGTAAGGGAGGATATAACAATTTTACTGAGTGGAGGTCCTTGACTGGACCCGTAAAAAGATAAATTTTCATACACAAAAGTCGTGGCATAAAATTTAAAGCCCATTAATTAAATTGCAGATAGTCTTGGTCCTTGAATTAAAATAAAAACGAAAAGCATGTATACTTACCTATTATTGTTGTATCGCAATTGAGGTGAACCATAGCTAGCGAGAAAAGGTCTTTTCCACAGCCCTCCTTATCCAACACCTCCGTCTGGGAATTCAATTTCAGGCACTCCGAAGATGAGACATTGTCCATGGCTGTGTAGAGTTTTGTGTTTGGCTTTGCGCTTGTGTGAGAAAAAAAGGACGGCCAGTTTGGGTTTGGGTTTATGGTGAATTGAGAGAGAGAGAGAGAGAGAGAGAGAGAGAGAGAATGTGTTTCTTACTTACATGTTATATAGGTGGTTTGGCTCGATTGAATTATGACCATATTAATCAATATTATTTTTTCCATTTCAGTCTTAATTAAATAATAAATTATCATTAAAAACTAGGGCAAGAATATTTTGGTGATTTTGAGTCCCAAATAAAGGAAGTTAATTAATGTGGTTTTTCCTTTGTTTTACGTTCCATTTTCTTTTCAAGTTTGTGAGTCTTGTTTGTGACTCTTGAATATAAACTTCCAATCCAATCCCATTCCCCTCTGTCCTCCTTCCTCTTTTCCTTTCTTTGCATCTCCTCCTGCTCTGTTGCCTGCGCAAGTCCTCACTTTATTTATTTTTTCTTTAACAATTATTTTGTGTGCTAATTTGTCTTCAACCATTGGTTTTGCCTTTTCTTTTTTCTCTTTCGCGCGTTTCTTACATACATATAGGCGGTTTGGCTTGATTGAATAACTGACTTCTTCTTCTTTTTTTTCTTTTTTTGTATAAACATTTCATATGATATATTTTGCAATGCTTATAGATCCCATCATTAATAGTTACATGTAGAATGAGTGTGTCAAAAAATCAGAAACGTTCACCTTTTAACGAATGAATTCTTCTTCTTTTCTTATCATTTTTTTAGCTTTGCTTGTATATGAAATATGAAAGCTTAATGAAAATGTCTTGTTCCATAGTTCATGTGTGTGATTTAGCACTTTTTGTAACTCTTCTACTTGTACCCTTTTTAAAATGTCAGCAATTCTTACATTATTCCACATGTGGACGCTACATTTTTATTGCCATCTGCAGAAACTCCTCCACTGTCAGCACTAGCAACTCTTAAACTCAAACAGAAAATATGGAATAATACGTAAGATGGCATTGCCTTATTCAGAAATATTAAGGTTTGTTGGGCCTTTAAACCAAAAGGTCAATGTCGACGACATTGTGCTTGCTTTCGATAAGTAAAAATAATAATACATAAGAAAAGGAAAAGACATCTTCAAGATGCATAATAAAATAGACCATTTGTTGCAAATTGCAATTCACTAGCAATAATAACCCCAAGTAGGACGAAATCCAAACACCTTGGTTCCTTCATCTCGAGTCTAATAATCGAAACGGGTCAAGAATCGCACGTCCTTCATCTCGTCCGCAACAGAAGCCCTCAAAGATGTCGCCACACACCTTACAAAGCACAACACAATATTTGCCCACAGGTGCCCCCTTTGGGACACTATCCTTGTATGGGCATCCTCCCGTATAGTGTTCATCTACCTTTAAACAAAACATACATTCACCTGTGTGCAAGTATCGTGAGTAACATTGAATAACAACAAATATATAGATATATTATGTCATAAGAAGATAAAAAAAATTGAGAAGCTGCAGAAGCAAGGGTTGAATAGGAATGCGGGAACATGGTGTCTAAAAATTTTGTTTCTTGTTTTTTATTTCGTATAAAATCAAAAGCATACCAGGAGGAAGAGGAGGGCCGCTTAGGAAATCAGAAGCAGTGCACAGTTCTTCAAACGTTAGCAGTTTAGCCTTTTCTTCTTCAGTCTTTGTTTCTTCAATGTTTACAAAATAAATAAATAAAAGGGAGATGATGTCAAAACCCAACAAATCAGTTGAATAATAACAAATATATTAATATAATGCCATAAGACAAGAAAACATGAATCTTTGATGAAAGATATATATAATTCGTGAAGTTGCAGATGCATTCAAACACTGTAAACATAAGAAAGCACTAGTACTTCAAGTAATTATCCATTAGTCTACTAACAATCCAAATCAAAAATAGCTTTCCTCTAAAAAGAATTCCAAGTCAATACTACGAGATGAAATTTTACTAGAACCAAAACATAAGTACGTAATTAAATTGCAGATCATCTTCGTCACAAACCCTTAAATTAAACTTAAAAGGAAAAACATACCAGTTGGCTTTGGCCAGTAGAACTTCAAAAGATCGATCTCGGAATTCGATCTCTTGCACTTAGAGGATGAGAAGAAGTCCATGGCTGCGTGCACGCGAAAGAGAAAGCCCTGCGAGAGCTTGGGAATTAGGGTAATTTGTGAGGAAAAAAAAAAAATACGCGGTTCTTATATATAGGCGTCCTCTCACCGCAAATATAGAAAGTAATGAAGAAAATAAAAAGGTGGCGTTTATCTCAAGTCAAGTCATAACAACCGACCTAGACGAGCTTCCCTTTTTGAGTTTTCAATCTCTGAAGCCCTCTTTCTTCGAGGGTCCGCTAAACGGTGTCGCTGGAGGTCGAGAACTCCAGGGCGCGGTCAATTCTAGCGATGTCGCCTTTGATGAGGAGGCACAGGAATTTGGGGAGATGATGGAACATTGGATGAGCTTAAAAAGAATCTTCACGATAATAGCTCTAAGAAGCCATATGTATCACCAAATAGAAATTCCAGAGCTTCAAAGCCCAACTATCGTCCGGTTTCAGAGTGGGCAGTGAATTATTGGAAAACATTATGTGAAGAAAGAGAGAAGTGATCTCCAGAAGGAAGGTCTGGCTGCTTTGTTCAGTGCTTCTGATTCTGAGAGGCCCGAGGAGAGACCGGAGAAGCTACCAAGAAGAAATAAAGGAAACGGATTGATATTGGACAACTAGTGGTTGAACCTCCAAATGATTTCATTTCAGATTGAAATATTGACAGCATCCATCCTTGTCTATTATATATAGGGGAAACTTCATTTCCCTGGTTCTTTTTTGGAGGGAAATGTTGGGATCGGTTTGTATAGTAAATGGTAAACTGCTCCTAGGAATTTATATCCTTGCTTGTATTTTCCTTCATAAATAAAGTGTAGGTGCTAGAGTTGCAGACGCAGATGACGAAGATAACTACCAGGTTCTTCGTAAAGCTCTGTGAAGGGAGTATCGGACTACCATGAAGGAATATTTTCAGGCTGTATGTGGCTTTTTAGGTTTTAGTATTTTATTTGCATTTATTTGATCTATAAAACATGGAGAGTAGTTTCTCCTAGTTGCCTTAAAATTTCACACATTGAGTAAGGATATCAATTTTCTTTTGTTAGAGGCATTTGCTACGGAGGATCATGATCGAGCAAACAAAACTTCTAGAACAAGTAAAGGGAGGCTTACTGCAGGCTCATTTGCTTGTATACGAAATAAATGCTTCAAAATTTGAACAAGGGGCAGTTTCACTTCTTACAGATACCAAGCCGGAATTGATCATGAGGTGAAATGGTGCTTGACTTGCATGAACGCGGTGCCGAGCCGAGGAGGCAATACGTCTTTTGAAGTGTCAAATTTCTTCATTTTCTGGAATTTTCTTATGTTCCTAGTTATTCTTTGAACTTTGTTTTCTTCTTAATTGGAATTATTTGTTGTTGCCTTCTCGTCAGCAATCAAGTGTCTCGAGGTCATCATTGATACACAAGAGGAAGAGATCTCAAAAGGATCTCATGGACGAGAACATTGGTATGACTGGTTCATAATTACTTGTTGCATCTGTTCGAACAATGCTCTATACTTGGCATATCTTCTTTTTTTCTTTATAAATAAATTCACAACACATGCATCTCTCAAAAACAAAATCTAAAATATAAATTGATAAAAGTATTCTGCATCTTGAATTAGTAGAAGTTTCTCCATTGTTGAGAAGGCCGCTCTTGATAGCCCATTTCTACAAACACAACCAAATTTATATAATGAACCTACGGCTCAAAGAACCCATCTCTATTGTCTACCACGCACATATTTCAGCTAAACATGCAGATCACACTAACCTGCACTACAAGTGTGCATCTTGGATCAATTAACAGATTCCGTGTGTGGATGGCAAAATGGTGAAAATATACTTGTACACAAAATATGATAGCTTTATGTGATTAGCATTTTTTGCAACTCTTTTACTCTTTTTTAAATGTCAGCACTTCTATTACATTATTCCACAGTTCCTTCCAAGTTTTAATGGTTTCTGATCAATGTGGTGTTGACGCTCCCTTTTTTTATTGCCATCTCCAGAACCTCCTCCACTATCAGTACAGCACTAGCAGCTCATGAGCCAAATGCTTTCTATTAAAAAATAAATATAAAGGAAAGACATCTTTGAGATGCATAAATAGAATAGACCATGTGTTGCAAATTGCAATTCACTTGCGATAATAGCTCTCAGACCCGATCTCCATCATCCAAAGAAACATGTTTCACGCGCCTACCAATCTTGGGAATCGCGCGCCCTTCATCTTTACCACAACATGACTCTTTTTTAAAGAAGAGTCCACAAACCTTACATATTACATCGCAATTACTACCAACTTTTGCATTCTTTGGGACACTGACCATGTATGGGCAATTTGACCAATAATGTTCATCCACTTTCAAACAAAACTTACATTCACCTGTGTTCAATTTGTAAATCCCTTATTAAATACAACAATAAAAATAACTAGAACAAAATAAAAGAGATTGAATATATCATAAGAAAAGGAAAAAAAAGAATTTATGATCAAACATATGTAAATGGAGAAGAGAGAGGCAAGGGTTTGGGGAATGGAGAAGGGTATCAAATTTATTTATTTATTTATTTATTTTTGTTTCTCTTCAAAATCAAAAGCATACCAGGAGGAATAGGAGGGCCCCAGAGGAAAGAAGAAAAAGTTAGACATTCTTCATGCGTTAGTTTTCTAGTGTTTTGTGTGTGCGTGTTGGTGTTCTGTTTTTTTATTTGACAGAAGTGTTTGAAATTGAGTTCTGGGGGTGGTTTCAAATTGAGTTTTGGGGTTTACTGTTGTTGATAAGCATATATGATGATAATAGTGGCAGTATGATTCTTTTTAATGAGATTTAATTATTAACAAACAGGCTCGGGTTATGGTGCCAAACTCAAAATGTGAAGGTGGGTAGGATCACTTTGTTTGTTTGAGTGACTGGAGAATGACTAGGATATGAGGACGATGACATGGAATATGATGTGAAAATCAGATCTATTAAAATTAGCTTTATGTTATAAACCTTGGAACAATTCTCTGATTGTTCAGTATCTTGTTCTTCTCTTGGTCAATTCTTGTTGGTGCTTTCTTTTGTTAGGAGGGAAAGGTCGCTGATATATTAGAAGGTGCAGATCCATCTAGTTTGGCCAATAAAGTTGCTAGGGTTGCTGGGCCAGTTAAGCCTAGAGAACCAACTCCTCCTCCTGCTGTTGCTGCCAGCCTTGAGAATGTCCAACAGTTAGCAAAAGAAAATGGATCTTCCCAGGAGCAAGAGCAAATTCAAGTGAAAAATGGCATTGATGATGCCTTGAAAAGGCGGCTGCAACAGCTCTAATCAACTCATGCTTTTCATGAAAGGAAGCCCGGAGGAGCCCAAATGTAATGTTAGCCGAATGGCCGTTGACATTTTGAAGCAAAAAAAGGTCAAATTTGGAAGTTTCGATGTTCTTTTGGACAATGAAGTCATAGGGGATACAGAAGTATTCTAACTGGCCAATAATACCGCAGATTTACTACAAAGGGAAGCCTCGTGGTTGGAGTTAATGCGTCGTAGTGGTGAAATAGAGGAAGATTCCAGAGACCATGGAGTTGATACTACTGATTCTGCTGGGGCAAAGGTAACTAAAGCTGGAAGTGGAAAGGTCGGTATCTCAGCAACTACTGGATCTTCCCAGGAGCAACTTCAAGCGCAAAATTTTCATAAAAAAATAATGCAAGCCCAAAACGGCCTTGATTATGCCTTGAAGAGGCGGGTTACAGCAGCTGATTGACTCTAATCCAGTCATGCTTTTTATGAAAGGAACCCCTGAGGAGCCCAAATGTAAATTTAGCAAACTGGCAATTGACATGTTGAAGGAAAAGAAGATCAAATTTGGAAGTTTCGATGTTCTTGTGGACAATGAAGTCATGGAAAGGATACAGAAATATTCTAACTGGCCAGTATTGCCGCAGCTTTCGATGTTAGATTGTGGGACTACATATACGAATTAATTCACCTAATAAAAATAAACGGTTTATATTTTTCATCTAACAGTAATTTGGCCAGGAAACATTTGTTTGTCGCAATGGGCACTTTACCTCTCTAATTCTCAATCCCAAATTTTATTAGCCTTGAAGATGCAATTCATAAAAATCAGGCCCACTGTTTTAGGTGCCCTAATCCCAGTTGACACAACTATCAGGCCTAAAAGACTATAATACCCATAATGCCCAACTTTAATTCACCAATCAATATCGTGGGATTGGGATAGGACCCTCCATGATTCGCAGAAAGAAATCGACGGTGAGAGATGATATGCCCATCTATCGTAGACCCTCCATGATTCGTCAGCTGAAAGAATACGCCCACTCCGTCGTCTAGGTCTTTCTATGGCCATTCTCTGATATAATCTTCAAAAGGGTCTTTGCCTCTTTCTTTCACTGTTCTGGTTTGTGGGTTTCGAATTTAGAAGACTCCGTTATCGATGGGCGGCTCTGTGAAAGATGTGCAATCGAAGAAGGAGCTTGATAGCGCGGTTCACAGTGGTGCACCCGTTATTCTGCACTTCTGGGCCTCGTGGTGTGAGGCTTCGAAGCACATGGATGAGGTCTTTGCCCACCTCTCTACTGATTTCCCTCATGCCCATTTCTTAAGGGTACGTATTCTTCTCATCTCTAACTGGGTTTTTTTTTCTGGTGTTTTGTGTGTGTGTTGGTATTTTAATTTTAATCTCCAATTACTGATAAATATTGTAGGTTGAAGCTGAAGAACAGCCTGAGATATCTGAGGCTTATTCGGTTTCTGCTGTGCCCTACTTTGCCTTTGTGAAGGTATGCTTATTGGGTAGTCTATACATGTTTTTTTTATTTGATGCTGGCTGATTTTGAGTAATCATAGTTAGGTTGGATGATGTGAGGATATATTGTTTTCACCTTTTAAATGCAGTAACAAAGTTCTGCAATTAAATAATCAGGTTCTGTGGATGTGGGGTATTTAGTTTGCATCACACTTTCAGTATGTTGCTGTTATTGGCTAGTTATTTTCTGTGGCTGGTGGTTTCAAATTGAGTTTTGGGGTTTGCTGTTATTGTTAAGTATGTGATAATTTATAATGAGATTTAAGTATTAATAGGCTCAGATTATGATGCCAAACTCAAAATGTGAGAGTGGGTCGTAGATGTTCAATAGGATCATCTGTTTGTTTGAGTGACTGGAGAAGGACTAGGATCTGATGACAATGGACTACAGTGCGAGCATCCTATTGTTATAAACCTGTATCATTCGAATGACTATCCATGGACTATGGTGCGAACATCCTATTGTTCTGTATCTTTTTCTTCTCTTCATCCTTTTTTGTTTGTGCTTTTTCTTTTGTCAGGATGGAAAGGTCGCTTATACGTTAGAAGGTGCAGATCCATCTAGTTTGGCCAATAAGGTCGCAAGGATTGCTGGGTCCGTTAGGCCTGGAGAACCTGCTGCTCCTGCAAGCCTTGGGATGGCTGCTGGACCTACTATACTTGAAACAGTCCAAGCGTTGGCAAAAGAAAATGGATCTTCTGAGGTGCAGATTCAAGTACAAAATGGCCCTGCTGATGCCTTGAAAAGGCGGCTGCAACAGCTGATTGAGTCTAATCCGGTCATGCTTTTCATGAAAGGAAGCCCTGAGGAGCCCAAATGTGGATTTAGCCAAAAAGTTGTTGACATTTTGAAGGAGGAGAAGGTCAAATTTGGAAGTTTCGATATTCTTTTGGACAATGAAGTCAGAGAGGGGCTAAAGAAGTATTCTAACTGGCCAACATTTCCACAGCTTTACTGCAAAGGGGAGCTTCTTGGTGGGTGTGACATAGCAATTTCGATGCATGAGAGTGGTGAATTAGAGGAAGTTTTCAGAGACCATGGAATTGATACTACTGATTCTGCTGGGGCAAAAGTAACTGAAGCTGGAAGTGGAAAGGGCGGAATCTCAGCATCTACTGGTTTGAGTGAAACTCTAACCTCCCGACTCGAAATCCTGATTCATTCAAGCCCTGTTATGCTGTTTATGAAGGGAAAACCAGATGAACCCAAGTGTGGTTTTAGCCGGAAGGTGGTTGATATCCTTGTGCAAGAAAAGGTGGACTTTGAGAGTTTTGATATTCTCTCTGACGAAGAAGTCCGTCAAGGGCTCAAAGTTTTTTCAAACTGGTCCAGCTATCCTCAACTATACATTAAAGGTGAACTAATTGGTGGGTCAGATATTGTATTGGAGATGCAAAAGAGTGGGGAACTTAAGAAGGTTTTGGCAGAGAAAGGGATTGTTCCGAAAGATACTCTTGAAGATCATTTAAGGAAATTGATTACTTCTTCACCAGTGATGGTCTTCATCAAGGGTACACCAGATGCTCCCAGATGTGGTTTTAGTTCCAAAGTCATCAATGCCCTTAGAGAAGAGGGTGTGAGTTTTGGTTCCTTTGATATTTTAAGTGATGAGGATGTGAGGCAGGGGCTTAAAGTCTTCTCGAACTGGCCAACCTTTCCTCAGCTTTATTACAAAGGTGAGCTGATAGGAGGTTGCGATATCGTAATGGAGCTGAAAAACAATGGAGAGCTTAAATCTACCCTGACAGAGTGAAACATAGCCTAGTTTTATCAAATAATCCGAGACAAGAGTTGAATTTGTATTCTGATGTGAAGTGTCTGCTGGCATTATACACATTCCAAAGTTTGCTCTAGATGCCTTCTTGTTATAACTTTTCGTATGTTTTGTTGTGTAATCAATGATTGCAAGCTTGGGATTAGTTATCAATTCTAAGCGGGATCATGAAGTTTAGCAGTTCTTGCTTGGTTTTAGTATCTAATAGTCGTATGTTGCCATTAATCCATAGAGAAATGAAAGTTGCATGTCTCACATATTCCAATTGGAACTTGGAACTTAGAATGCATCAATTATATTCAGACAGCCATATTGCTACATAGTTCAATTGTCGTCTGATTGCACCAGCTTGAATGATATGCTTCGATATTACTATTTCTTTTCAACCAATAAAATAATCGAAATACTTTAATCTTATGAGGGTCAAATTGAAAGAGCAAGAAGAAATTGTGTTATCAAAACTAGTTTTCCCTCATGGCAAGGACTTTCTTTGTCTCTATGTCATCATCTTCTACTTTATCAGCTTTCATACGGTCCAAGACACTATTTACTTCTTTACCACCTCTTATATATGCCTTCAACAAGGCATGATACATCTGCTTGTTCACTGGGATTACATTCCTCAGTAACCCAACAAAAGCTTCCGCATCTTCAACACTGCCTTTATCACCAAGCCAACTCAATATGGTCGTGCTCACTCTAAGGTTAGGCTTCCATCCTTTCTCTGCAGACAGACAGAGAGCAGCCTTTATGCACTGAAAAGCTTTTTCCGTCTCGCCCTTATTCACATATCCGGCCGCCACTATTTCCCAACTTTTAGGGGTGGTTGCTTTCCCCTTCTCCATTAAGTCTCCAAGCATTGCTTCTGCTCTCTCATACAATCCCTTTGCTGTGTACCCTATAATAACAGTCTGTGGCACCCGAAAATCATAACAGTTTCCGGACAATTCCCACTCCTTCATTACCTTCTCAGCTTCATCGAGCTCCCCAAGCCCCACCAGAGATATCAACATGCCGATATAATCCCTGTTTATGCATCTCTTACAAGCACTCTTCTCAAGACCCCATAATCTCAAAACTTCATCCTTGTTCTCCATACGGGCATAGAGTGAAATCAAATGATTGTGGCCAAGCCCATCTTTGTTATCCAGCCTCTCTTCCGACTTCTTTAGGGCATTAATTGCCTTACGGGTTTGGCCTTCTTTTATATAGAAATTGGCTAAAACAGCATAAGTATTCCAGTCCATGACAATGTGAGGCTGGCTCTCCATCTCTTCCAAAACCTTTTCCATTCCTTCAAGATCAGACCTCACACCGTACGAATTGATGCAGATTCGATAACTGAAGTTGTCGGGCGGGACATTGTTCTCCTTCATCTCAGTGAGCACACCGGGAACCTTCTCGTGCTCGCCAACATTCGTATACAAACACATGATGTCATTGTAAGTCAGAGGCGAGGAAGCAAATCCCATCTCCTTCATTTTGCGCAAATGCGCGAGAGACTTGTCCGTTTGGAGCTGCCGGACATAGCAATTCAAAAGCGCACCATACGTCTTCAAGTTCTTATCTTCCTCCCTCAAATTGTTGAAATATTCTTCCGCGGAAACAAGCCCACGAACCTTGCCAATCAAATCCAGCTGCACAGCATGTTCAACCGGTGAGAAGATGCATATGCCCTTTTGCTTCATCCACTCAGAAATCTGCACCCTATAAAGTATTATTACAAAAGCACAAGAATTTCCAATTAATTGGACATACAAAAACACAATCATTTACCTCACTCTCTCTCTCTCTCTCTCTCTCTCTCTCTTTTAATAACTAAATTTAAGTTGACTTTCTCTCTCCCACACCACATTTTCTGAGCTACCAAACAGGGGATAATGCAAGGAAAGAGGAAAAAATGGAAACCTGGAGGGCTTGGGAGAAGCGCTTGCGCTTGCGAAGGTCGTGAACGATGCGCTGAAGCTCGGCGACACGGACCTTGTGGCCCTTGTACACCCAGTCGTCGAGTTCCGGAACCACGTTTAAGCTGGGATTTCCAAGCGGACTGATTTTGGTGTAGAGGGTCGGCTTCTTGGTCCTGCTCGTGTAGTAGGACCTGCTCGTCATCGCACTTCGGATTAGGGTTTTGGCGAAGAGCTTCGGGTCCATGAGTTGGGGTTTAGAGTTTGGAGCTGAGAGCTGGGAGAGAAGAAGAATCAGAGAGGAAACCGAAGGACCTTTTCGTAAACAAATAAAAATGAAGCGAGGAGGGCAAAATGTTTCAGAAATTGGGCTTTGGGTTGGGGCTAGTTAGGCCTGGGCTCGGTGAGAAGTTTTAGACTTGGGCTCAAGGAGCTGTTTTGTGGAGGGATGTGAGAGACGGGCAACCGGCCTAATGCATTGTTGATTGATCGGCCTCTCACATCCTACCAAACAGAATTCCGCTCATGAAGTCATTTGTTATAATAAAAAAATATTATTAGTGATAACAATTTATTACACTAATTTTGGACTCCAACTTATGTGAATAAATAAAGTTCGGAGTGGGTTCAGAATGAAAACAATGTTATGTCAACTGGTATTGGTGTCTCTAGCATTACTTGATGAATAATAGTTGTAGACAATCACAGGTAGAAAGTTCGAATAATTCGAGTTAAGAATTTGAACCAACTGCCTTGGTTTGTCAAGTATTTCCATTTGTTTTCCACCCATCCATCTTGGATGGAACCTAAAACCAATAATTGGTAGACCTACATGAAGAACGTGATTGACCTAATTACCAAAATTAAAGTTGTGTGTGGATTCTGATTAGCTTGATATGGTTATTTTCCTAAACCCTTTGATCTCAAAATTTCTGTATAATTCTGGACAAGCAGCAGCAGCAGCAATGATCAAATATGCTTGAATTCCTGGACCTTGATACAAACACTCGTACCAAAAATACCAAAATTAACTCCCATTTTTAATTTGTTTCATCAGCATCGAACTTTATTCTGATGATCTTCCATGTTCTGCGCTAGGCAATCCAACAGCTTCATTTCTAAGGCTTTAAACTGAGATATTTGCATCTGCAGCTCCAGTTTCTGTTTCCTGAGGTTCTTGTTCTCCTCCATTAACAGCAAGCGATTATTTTCCTCTGCTGCAGCCACAGCTGTACTGCTGCTACCACTCTCTTCTGAAGCCTTTAGATACACTGGAAATGCACTTGGCTCACATTTTTTCCTTGTGATCTCCACCAGCATATGCCTACAGCCTTTCTGGAACTTTTCATGCTTAAATTCCCATTGTTTTGGTGATGTTTTCTTGAACCCCTGCTTTTGGCTTCAAGGGTCAGATTCATAAATCAAAAAACCAACCAAACTCTCCAATTAATTATGCATGGATTGAGACCACAATTTTGTTTTTGGACTTTTAGCATCAGACAAACGTTGTTTCGAAGGTGCATAGAATTGTTTATTCCAAAACCAAATTTGACCATTGTTGCTAATGCTTCCTAATTAGACTGTCCTGTATTTAAAATACACACACGGATGCACATTGATAGGAACATAAATTATTGAAAATCATTAAGATATCAAGTACATTATTGTTAGGTAAAATACGCAGAAAAAGGAAAACAGTAAAAACAGGATATGGCAGAGAGAGGTGCACGCTTTTTTTATGTTACTGTTTATAGATGAAGGAGCTGTGATGCCGTATGATACTATAAATCAGTCTGCAGAGCGTGATTATTTTGACCAATTACAACTTTCACATGTTTTGACTTTCTCCACATTATTATATTTTCTGTTAACTTAGTTTGACTGCTGTGTACATGGTGAGGTACACACAAGAAAAGAAAGAAAACCCATCACTCAAAATATTATGATTTACATATGAAATACTGGGTTCTTGAGAAACTGATCAAAAATAACCAAAAAGCATTCTAAGTAATCAGAAATACTTGATCAAAGATTAGTAAAAGAAGGAGGGGCCTAGCGCAAATCTCATAGACGACAATTGTTGAATAACAAGGAAAAGACGATGACTTACGTAGGTATTAAGCTGGCGGATGAAGCTGGAGAAATTATTGTGCTTGAAATATTTAGGCAGCAGAAGCTCTGAGAACTCAGCAGGAGACCAAACTATAAATCCAGAGCCCTCTGCATTCCAAGACACTATCTTCTTTCTGCTATCTCCTTCCTCTGCTGCACCTTCTTCTAGCAAATCATATGTCTTGGACAAGAAAGGGGCAGGGCTTCTTGTCCTCGGAGATTGGCCTGAAGAAGTTGTAGCAGCCATAAATTGCTGGTTTTTGTTTTGTTTTGTTTTTTGAAAATGTATGCGTTTGCAAAGGGTTCCTCAATATTTTGCTACATGCTTTTATTTATATCACAACCGAACTGTATGAAGGTTATGGAAACTACTAGCTAATACCGTGGAAGGTGGGCCGCTATTTCTTTAAGTTTCCTTTGAATGCATGCAATGCAACTTTCCCAAATGCCCCAATCAGCAGCATACACATTTGTATATGGTAGATATTGTGATTGGAGGATGCATCAAAAGCAGACGGAGGCATAGAAATTGCATTATTTTCCCCATGGACAATGACACGTGTAGTTTTTAATTTCTGATGAATGGAAAAATACAAAAAAGTTCTATTATTTGACCAGACTAACAACATATTGTTTTTAAAACTAGTAGGCTATAGTTGAAAATGGGACTAGATAAGGGGCACAATGTTATTTTCCAATAAAAGCTCGGGTAGTGGGGTATTAGAAAAGGATCCTTCCTTGGTACAAATGTAGGGTTTGGGTGCATTGAATCATTGTTTTACTCACCAGTCATCCAAAAGGTACACCCCGACGACAACGGATTCAACAAATGAAAAGATTATCAAAAGGGCCGCGAACTCTGACTCAATTTTGGAAGGCTCTGGCAAAAGTTTCTTGTGTCTGCAAGACTGCATTAACATCTTCCGTGTGTTATTGTTTTGGCACACACTTTTATTTTTTGTTTTTAAATAAGTTTCATTCAAAAACGAAAAAGGTATCATAATAATCCAAAAACAGTCAAAAAATATATAAAAAAACCCTACCCTTCCAAAGTATGAGGCTTTGATTTGATCCACAAGTTTACTAGGAATGTTGGGACTTAATCCAAGTTCTAAAATATCAAAGAACTGAAAAAGAAAAATCTGACTTTGGGTTTGGTTATTTCAGTACCCACCAAAAAAATCTTTTTTTTTTTTTTTTTTTTTTTTTGTTCGTTCGACTTTGCTTAGGTTTGGGCTCCTTTGGTCGGCCCAAAATTTCAAACATAGGATCGGGATGGGCCATGACTATGTTGCCTATTTCTTGGGTTGGCCTTGATACTTGTAATGTATCAAGAATTAATTAAAACCATTTCATATTAGAATGAGGGCCTTGTCAAAAAAATAATTTAAAAAGAGTGAGGCCCATTCCTCATTGACTAACATATATAGACCATAAATGTGAATCTTCATATTAGCCACACAATTCATTTGAATAACTTAAGTTCAATTAAATAATCATATGACTAATATGAAGGTCCACATAAGAGGTCAATTCGCAAACGGAGTTTAAGCCCAATGAAAAATATTTTTAATTTGTAGACTAATGGTTTCATATTCAAACTCCTATAGTACCGTGAGAGTGTGCGTGAGAAACTCTCATCCCCTTGTAATTTACCCTATTATTTTTATTATTATTTTTATGAAAAAACACCAACTTTCTCCTCAAGTGCAATCAATTTCTATACCAAAAAGGTTTAAAGTTTTAATCACAAGCACTCCACTTCCACTATATTTATTTATTTATGTCGTTTAGAAATATATGTTATTTTATTTATCATCATTGAATGTTAAACGACATTAATAAGTGGACATAATAAGCACATATCTTTTTGGCACAAATAAATTTGATCAAAATAAATTGTGACTAAACACATGGCAGCTACCCCACAAATATAAAGTAAAAGATGACAACCCAAGTCAAAAAGCAAGGTCGACTTGTCGTTTTGATTGGATGTTTTTTGTTTGATGGTGCGTATAATTTTATACCGAGGGAAAGATTCATCACTGCCCGTTGAAGTTGGGTGGCCAAATTGATGACACATGCCACCAACAACATTATCTCCAACGCATTATTTAGGGTTGCCGATTGACGACGCACAGATCAGTGTGTCTCACCAATCACTTCATTTTCTTGGATCCCATGTTGGGTTGATTGAACAATTATTTACATTTTCAAAATTGTTGCCTTGTTACAATATCACAATTGTTTTCATGTAGACTTTTTCGTTAATAATGCAAAACCAAGGAAATTCAATAGTTTGGCCAACACCTTTTGATTAGGAATTGGGAATATTAAAAGTGTTGTTTTTGCTTGTACACTTGAATGAGAAGTTGGATTGGTAAGCATATAGGTGAACCAATTGTTCAAGACTTTTGTGACCACCTCTTGGCTCCTCCTACCAACTTGGTGCGGTTATATTGGAGGAAAGAAATCTCATTAGGATTCGATCCTGATATCACAGAGGGTGAAGGGAATACACCATCACTATGGCGGAACCCATTGGCTTTGACGGAATCACTTTATAGCCCATCATGAGGCATCCGTATTTTCCCCCATCTTTCCTGTTGAATTGTCCTTTCTGGCTCCACCCACCTGCCACTCTCTCCCAATTTTTTTTTCCCCAAAAAATATATAGATTTTTGCTATTTGGTAAGTTTAACAAGTGATATTGGGAAGGGAGTATTCGAGCACAGATTTCAAGTGCAAAAATAACAAAAAATCTTAACCACTTGAACAATAGGAGCCGTGCATCTAGCCCTCAAGTATTTAATTTAAACCATTAGTTGGGTAAACTATGGTTTCTGTTTTTATGTATTTTCGGTTAAAGCCTATGATAAGAGCTCATTTTTCCTGGCCTCTAGTTACAAGTGGGATAGGACTTGTAGCAGTGAGTGGAGTGAGCCCGCATGTGTCCCAGTTGGTTTAAAATAGACCCTCCGTTAAATGGTTGTCGGCTACATGGACCCCTCCCTTCCCGAAAGCAGTTAAAACCAGCTTTAGCCAGAACGAACTTCGACTTTGGCTTTTTCAGTAAATAAATAGGACCCAGTTTTATTTATAAATTTGTATTTTATTTTTTGCCTACTTCTTCTTTTCACCCTACCCTTACCTCCAGCTTTACCTAATTGTTGCAACGGTAGCTATTTTGGCAAAAAATATTATCTAATTTAAGAACATTTGTATCAAATTATACTCCTTTTTTTTTTTCTTTCTTTTTTTCCTTTTTCAGCAAATCAATCTTGGATAGGATTGAGGAGAGGGTTTAATTTAAGAAAAGTGAAAATGCGAGTGACTCTTAATAAAATCTCTAGCATTACCTCATACATTGCACATCTCATTTCATCTACTATATTTATGTTCACAAGCGTTCAAACCTTTTTATACAGTATACAAAATGGCAGAGGGAGAATGACCTAAACTATACCTTCAGAAAACAAGAAGGCACAAAAGCAAGCAACAAAAGAGGAAAATTGAAATTCTGTTTAGTGACTTGTCTGCCTGCATCTCCTGCCTTCTCAGCCTCGGACTGCTACTTCCTGTTAAGTGATACGAATTTGGGTATGCATATAAGCTCTCTGAGTTTCCAAACACCCTTGCATAGACCATTTCCCCAAACACCCCAACCGCGGGATGCTGGTGGATACCTGCCATTGTAGTACTTCCAAGGTTAAGCAGCGGTGCGGAAGAATGTTCCCCAAAACTACCGTATGGATGAGGAGGGCTATATTGTTGGTTCTGATAAGGATTACGATATGGAAGTTGCTGACCGGTAGGAGATGTGTTAGATATAATAGCTTGTGTATCACATGCTGATGGCCTGGGTGGTATTGCCATTCCCCTGTTGGGTGCCTTTACTTCAAGCTCAGTTTCAGGAGATGTTTGGCCCCGGCCATAAAGGGGGACCATGGTGGTGTGTGATATATCAGCCTTGCAAACAGGGCATTGAGGGCACTCGTCAGAGGCAAGGGAGGCACTCTGGACGTGAAGCCATTTGTAGATGCAAGGCCAGCAATATAGATGACCGCAGAAGGTGACCACTGGCTCATGTGCAAACTCTAAGCAGATGTTGCAGTCAAAGCCAGCTTTGGAATTTTCTGAATCTGTTGCTGTTCCCGGGATGGATTTACATTCATGTGCATAGTACTGTTGCAAGGCCATTTTTTCTGTTCTTCCAATTTCGTTCTTCCACCAGTACTGCAAAAGAAAACACAAATGAAAACCAGTTTAGCACCATGAGTTTCCTGAATCCTGTGGACCATCATAACTAAGTCATGGATTAATTTGTCAGTTCCAAATTCCAATCAAATATGGAACTCTGAACCTCAAAAATATAAATCAAATAGTTATTAGATTAAAATTTAAAAGAACAAGACATTCACAGGTAAAACAAAGTGGCTTAGGGGATTCTACAGTATATTGTAAAGTATTCATGCATATACATCAAACATAGTAAGACACAGCAGTATTACAGATAGCACCCACTCATAGCACCTAGGCGGTAGTTCCCTACCAATTTGGATTTTTGCTTCTTATTAATTAATTTCAATCAATTCATACAGGCAGGCATAAGAGATACCATTGAAGATTAAATCACAAATGGAACAAAAGTTTCACTTTAGAAATCCATGTGATCCAAAAATTCTGCACCAGGTAAATAATGCTAGAATGCTGTTCGACCTTATAGTATTTTGAAGGTAGATCTACATTGTAGTTCACTACATCCTTCTATGGTCACTGGTGACTTGGAACCAACAATAAAGTCTAAACCACAAAAGCAATCGCCATAGCATGGAATCAGATGAAGACAGCTTTACCCAACAACGGCTGTTTAATATGCAGCTCTCTCAACCAAATTCACACTCGCAATTCTTCTACCTAACACAGAGTTGCGTCTCTCTGGTTTGACATCCAACAAAACCATTGGCACCAACAATTCCTCCAATTCAAGGTAGCACAATGAAGGACATAGACCAATCTAAACTACCATTGAACAGGCAAAAGAAAAACCAATGCCTAATATAGAAGAACCAGTATGAAGGAGATCAACAGATAGGCGAACCCAAATCGGTTCTTATTCACTCTCCACCCCACAAAAGAGAAACTGAACTAAATCTCCATTAAGCACAAAATAAACAGTAACATATTTTGGCTTGTTCTTTAAACCCAGATCTGAAATGAGGGATTTCACTCTGCCTCTTTATAATACATACAACGGTTAGTAGGGTAGCCTCATCCGAGCCTATACATCTCACTACCATCTTCAAGTTGTGGGAAAACACTTCAACCATGATTCAGTATATAGACAAACACTAACATAACCCCAAAGAAAACGAAAATACATACCTACAAGTCCCTATACTGCTAAAAACTAAGCTTCACCAAGCTGAATATGCACTTAGAAATCATTTCTCAAGAAACGGTCATAAATTAAAAGGGGATTGATTCACAGAAACGCCCTATAACCTCACAACTTTTGACTTAGAATTTAGTGTTAAATGAATGTAAATCCTCTGCCACATTTCCACATCCCCACAAACACAAAATAAATGAACTAAAACGACAAAATTATCTGGGATGAAGGCAAATGCTTGAATTGTTTCCCAAAGAATCATACTTTCTGAACATTTCCCTTTCTCTTTCCCCAAAAGACTTCCCAAGCCCGAAATCGAAATAGTGATAAATCGCAAGCAGAAAGAAGCTAGATCTGTGGCTTACAAATCAAAGCACAAACATCTTCCAAAAAACCAAAACCCACAAATTCCACATGAATTTCAACGTCCCCCGCAAATTGTCTAAGCTAAACAAAGCAAAAGGGGTGAAATTCAAGAAGTCTACCAAGAAAGTATTGAAAATTTTTTATAGACATACCGTGAAGAAATATGTGGAAGATCGGCACAGCGATTGTCTCGAATCTTCGAGAACTTCCACGGAGCTTTTCTTTTCTCTTATTTTTTGGGAATCTGTGAGAACTTGCAACGAACTTTAATGGCGATTTTTAACAGAGAGACTGAGAGAGATGAGACGAATGGAGAGGAAGGAGAGCGAGCACTACACAGGAGGATGGGGTGGGAGTGCCCTTCATCCTGCATTTATAGACAAATCCAAGTATTTACACACCTTGTACCTCAAGTGGCAATTTCCACATCTTCATGCGCGCGTGAGCTTTGTTTTGGCACTCCTTTTTATTTCCTTTTTCTTTTTTCCGGCACCTTTTTCTGATAAATATAGATTCTTCTTGGATAATAATTTGGTAAATATAGATTAGGAGGAATATAAGATACTTTTTCATCTGGATATTTAATTTGGTAAATAGAGTACATGATCATCTAACCATATGTGACATCTAAATAAAAATATCTTATGTAGCGGTATACTAATTATTTGCAGACGCATTTTTTATTTTTTATTAATAATGTTTTTTTTCCAATTATTATTGGACAATATACACCAACAATTTATCATTAGTGACTTTTGAAAGTGATTTTATATTTCGTTGCTATCATGGTTAAATAAACGCTACTAAAAAATGTAATTTTTTGTTTGTAATTCACGTTTCTTAATTTCTAAAACCCAATGGTCATTCAATCAAATTCGCATTATAATTGCCAACGGAGTCTAGTCCGGTGGAAAAAGGTTTTGACTTGTAAACTAGTGGTCTCATATTCAAACCTCCATAGCACCTTGATAGTGTGTAGACTATCACTTGTATTTTAAAAAAACTCCACATCATAATTAAAGTATAAAATTATTAATAATTTTTGGGAAAGTTAATCACAATATAACAACTATTTGTAGATTTTTTTAAAATAAATAAATAAATAAAACTCTTCTTGTGGTCAACACAAATATTAGCACAACAAAACATAAGTTAAATATAATAAATAATTTTAAAAGTAAAAGGATATGTAGCTCAAGAGGTTAAAAGTAGTTATAATTGCATTTGAGGTTGCTTCATCCATAATATATCTTAAATGAGAAGAAAAATATTTGGGAAGTAGAGTAGAAATGGTCTTTTTTTATTTGACCAATCAAATCCCACATTCGTATCTGAAAGGTCCTCTCTATTAATTTCTTTAACAATACTAAACATAATATTAATAAAAGTAAAAATATAATTATGTCACATATCTAAAAGGGACTTTCATAAAGGAAAAATAAGAAGGCAAATTAAAGGTCTTTGCATTATGTGTAGTTCTATTAGTGTTCAAGTTCTATTGTCAATAATTCTAGTTGGTATGCGATCTGTTACCTATATAAATCTATATATGTAGCAGCTAGCAGTTGAGTGCTATGTATAAGTCATTTTGATTTGAGATTATAGATTTATTGTGGCGTTGATGGTGGAGTGAAACTAACCAATCTTCCCCTAAACTTTAAGAAAAACAAAAGTAAATTAAAGGAGCCGGTCCCCCCCTGTTTTCTTCTAGATTGTTACGTACAAAGGATGAAGGCCCGGCCCCTTCACATAAACGTCATGGGACCCACCAATTTATTCATTGAAAATCATTTAAAATTATAATTGGCCAATTGTTTAAACAATGACAAGTAAGCAACACGGACGATTTTTTAAACGAAATTAACTTTTTTCCTTGAAACGGCACCGGACACAAATAAAGTGTTGTCGTTGGGTAGAAAATGATAAATTAGTGTCTGATTCTCTGCTTACCCAAAAAAAGAGAAGAATTGAAAACGAAGATAATAGTTTTTAATTAACTCGAACAATTTGCGCTACTTGTATCAGTTATTCTGCTGTCTGCTCTGCCTCCGGTGCTGTTGTTCCAGAAGCCAGAAACCCTGTTTAAAATTTCAAACGTAACAAATAATTTTAAAGTGAGAAAATGAGAAAGAAAAAATAAACCATAGAATTGATCGACATCTCTCATGCATGTGAATGTGAAATCCATGTGTATCAGTAAGTCTCGACTCTATGACATTTGCCAATTAGTATATAACATCATTCGTAAGATGATGACATTCTATGGTTGAATAAACAGTGTGACTGAATTTTCAGCGTTTAATTTACGTTAAAGTAAAATGCTAATGATGATGCTAGACAAGCTCTCCTTGGACGAATCTATAGTATGACAAGTGAATGTGGTCATCATCCCACTAGCAATTTTTTGACAAGATGTTGGACCAAATGTCCCAAATAGTTTAGGACATGGTTGGTATGAGCGGAAATCCCCAAAGTTTTTTACACACGTTCTTTAAATGAAAATACATGGAACTCTTAAGTGTTATTATTTTGTTTAGTTTGTTGTGCTTCTTTCTTTTCACAGATAATTTCATTATTGGAATGTCTATGATTTTTTGTAATACCATTAGACTAGTGTGGCATTGCCAGCCACCTCTTCAATAGAGGTGAAATTTTCTATCATCGTGTCATTGCCCTTCTCTCTTTATAAGGAAAAGGAAAAAGATAGATAAACAAGAGCAATGAAACGGGAATAAGGAAGTTATTCTCGTCTCAAAGACGATAAAGCATGATAAAATTAGACAAAAGAACATAATTCTGAGAATGCAGGGGGTGCATGCATGGAATGAAAGCTCCCTCCGTCTCCTTCAAGAAGACGGGATTGAATTGAATTGGATAGGTACGCCTAACCTACTGAAAGCTCTCCTTCTTTGTAGTAAGTAAGGAGCAGTTGTGCTTGCTTGGCCACTGTTGAACCAAGTGACACAAATGCCGCAGGCCCGCAACCAAACAGTGTTGTCAAACTCAAGCCCGCCGCATAGAGGACGCATTAAATAATTAATTCATAAAATAAATAATGATAATAAAAACTTTTATTTAATGGCATTCGTCTTGTTGGCTATATATATATATTTTTTTGGTCAATGGCATGCATTTTGTTGATCTTGGTGTTGTGTTGTGCAGTATATACATATATATATATATATATATGCAGATAATTCTCATGCACATCACATCGGCACATGCCTCGCCTGCTGGGATTTGTCTTTTCACATGATTCATATTTTCCTGTTTTCTTTATTCACTATAATATTGTTTTTGGTTTTATAATTTAATTTATATATGGTCGGTCTTGGTCTCTCTCTATCTCTCTCCCTCACCCCCTTTCGTTTCTCGTGGGTTTTTTTTGGGTCTGATATTATATATGGAAAGATGAACCACTTTAATAAGACATAATTTTCTAGCAAAGTTTGAAACGCTAGAGAGTTGTTGAGTACATCTCCCATGTCTTGTCCAAATCTGCAAACAATGTGTGTATTTATCCGCCCATGTGATTAATATATGGTAGATTCTGTAAAATTTCAGAGAAATGGGCCAGCGGCCATTATTAAAATTCAATAAAAGAATTTAATCAACTGCACATCTCATGTATAATACAAGTTATTTTGAATTTAATAAGGAGTTAGGTGATCTAAAATCGTATATTTTTAATAATAAATTTGTTGATTAAAGTAAATTTAGAAAACCTTAAGTTTTCAAAGTAAGGTGAGAACGGGTAAATTGTCACATCGTAACCAACAACAAGATAGTGAGGCAAGGCATGATGGCATTGGCTGAGAAACCAGCCAAATAAATTGGGTGCATGTGTACATCAAAGATCAATTCGGAAGGAATAATTGTAGGGGTTCTTAACTGGCCATCTCACAATTGTGATAGTTACAATGAAACAAGAGAGAAGTATACGTACCGTACGTGTCGTGGCCAGCTGGAGCTGCTTCGATTAATTAACCTTCAAATTATTATTATTATTTTAAAATTGAAAGATAATTCATTAACATAAACAATGATTCCAAATGGCTTAAGGGGTCCAGGGCCAGTGAGTCTAGCTAGAGCGCAACTTAGATTTGTCCCACAATTTGACCAAATGCATCACAGCTGTCATTTTATATAATATCGAATTATTAAGGCAGAGATACTGTTGCTAAATTTAGGTCTGATTGAGAAACATGACTTTGGATTCCTCGTGTGTAAAAATAGATATGAAAAAGTCATGAAGTGTACGTTTTAATTTCAATACTCATACATTCAAACTGAAGGTAATGAAGATGAAATTTCACTTGCGTGCAAATAACGACATAGAGTTTCTAGAGGCATGCATTATGCATATGAGTCACATACGTCAAAAGATGGACCAACCTCAACGACTGTTTACTCTTATTGTGTGCTTGATTAAATTTCTAGTCTTTTCTTGGACTTCCTTCCTTCCTTCCTTCCTTCCTCCTATCCCTACAACGTTGATGAGGAACTAGAATTAGTTGACAATTTGGAAACGGATTCCTTTTTGCTTTTCACCTTTTCGAGATACATTGACTAAACAATTGACCATCGTTTATGTTGATGGAGGTCATCTTTCAACGCCCAACCCAACAAATGCATTAACTCTGTGATCATTGACTTGTGCGACATGGATGGATGGATGGATGGATGGATGGATGGATAGGTTAATGTTAATGTGCCACGTTTAAGTCTGCATATCCTCTCCCACTTCACTTCAACCATCACACCAGCCTCCTCACCTCCTATCTCCTCTGTTCCCCTTGCCCCCTCCACACATCAATTCCTTCGTCTCTCCCTCCCAAAATATCTAAAATCCTCCTCTCTCCTTATTATTTTTCTTTCTTGGTTGTCTACTGGCTTGCCTCGCTTGAGCATGATGACTGTCGGTGGGTACAGATCCCATTTGTTGGTTCCTCTGGACTTTCCTCTTTTGATGGCGGTGGCGGCAAATCTCGTGGAGTCAGCGGCCACTTGTTGTTTGTAGGATGTGATTCTAGGGTTTCTTTATTTTTTTGGGCTTGTATGTTTTTTGAGTTGTTTGTGACATGTTCATTCCTTTGACAAAAAAGTAAAAAAACAGTCTTCACCTACAAAATTGGGTTAAGCACCATTTTGGTATCTACGCTTAGCTCCAATTTTTGTTAGTGTTTACAGTCTAAATGATTTTAAATTAATATAATTTGTAGATAGGAGCATTTGAACTTGGATGCAAAGAAGTGGAGTCAATATTCTTCTCAAATGGCCTAATTCACGTCTACTAATTACTGATTTAAATTTGAACAATTTGGTCATGAGTTTTACCTCATGAGTGTTTGAGACTTTGTATGTCTTACGTGTGCATATTAACCTTCAAATTAGACGCAAATGACTAAAGTGATTAATACAATGAACCATAAGGACTAAATTGACCCGTTAAAAAACAAGGGCCAAATTGAAAATCCAATAAAAACATGTGAATCAAAAAATTATTCAACCCTTTTATCTTTTCTTTGGGTAAAGGATTCAACATTTTCATATCTCGTGTACATCTAAGTTTCAACTGGATTGCAGACATAAGCTTAGCCAAGTTGATTAAAGTGGATGTGCTCTCTACTCGAATCCCCCTCCTCATAGTTTAGATTAGATTAAAGTAGACCGACTCAATCTCCCCCTCCGTTTGTATAAATAAAAAATAAAAAGTTTCAGCTGGATTGATTGGGTTTGGCCCATTAACAGAAATTGGATCAAATAGCATTGAGTAAAAGCGGTCAGGCCCTCCTGGGCCTAAATAGCCCAATTTACTCTGCAACAAATAAATAATGGTATGTCCCATAAAGTTTATGAATAAATTAACCAAAAACTGAAAAAAGAAAGGAGCTTACGGATAACAGGGAGGAAAGAAAAAAGAAATTCAATATAATCAAAACAAATAAATATATTTTAACTTCTATCAGAGAGGAAAAAAAAAAGAAGGTTTTACTATTTTAAAGTCGGGTTTTTTTATTCATCGCGGTTATTTAAAAGCTTCTTCAATCTCTAAAGCCAATTTGAGCGCGCGCGAATCTCACTCTGCAACTCAAAAAGCTTCTTCAACCTCTAAACCAAAACCTCGACTTCCAACGAGTAACGACAATGTCGACCGCCAAAGCGAGTAACAAGAAGCGCAGGACCGAGCCTCAGCTCGCCAAATCGGATCACCTCGATCTCGATCTCGACCTCTCCAAGTTAGTTTTCCTGTAATTTCTTCTTCATCTTTTTTCATTTTTGCTCGTAGATTTGTGGACGAAGTTATGAGATTGAGATTATGGTTGAATTTTACAGTGATATCAAAGGAATTATGTCGGCACTGCACCAGATCCGAGAGAAAGCTCACAAGGACGGGCTTAAGAAGAACGAGGAGACCATATCAAGGTGAGCCGGTCTGGTCCAGTTTGATTATCGCGGAAATTCGAATATCGTTGACCATTTCTTTGCAAGATTAATTCGAATGTCCTTGTTCTATTGCTTAGTTTCCCATTTCGTTTACAAATTGCAATAAATAAATTGATAAAACTCTGAAAATTGAAGGTACAATTGCTTGCTTGCTTATTTGTGTTAGTTCTGATAGGATTTACAATATGAATCTGTAACGATAATTTAGTGAAACCTGATGAACGATCTTTTTTTTAGTTTTATATGAAATGTTCAAACAGCTACTAATTTAGGCATTTAATTTAATTTATTTAAATTTTTTATGTTTGAATATCTTTTGCTTTTATTCTGTAGTTATAGTTTCCTGAATTACCATTTATGTGTTTTTGCGACAGTGTGGCTGCTGAGGTCAGGTCTGTGATTGATGAACTGAAGTCTAAACTTGAGAAGGATAGGTAAATAAGAATGTTTGAATTCAAACCAGTTTAAGTTACTAAATCTTCTTATTCCTTTTCATCCATAGTTTTACTTGCTGAAGTGTACTCATTTGGATTTGATGCCTTCTGTATTCTTCAATTCTCAGACAAAGTTTCGCTAAATCTCTTTCGAAGAGCTCAAAAGAGGTCTGTGGAAGGAGAAGAAAAGAGCTAAAACCATAGATGATCCTGCGGAAAAATTTGAATTTATAGTTAATTTCTTTGATGCCCAAATTTTTTATTCTGATTAATAATTTGGTTGTATATAATATATGTCTGCAGTGTGAGAATTGCTTGAAGACTGAAACTGCCAAGTTCCAAGCACTCTATGAGAAGTTTTGCAAGGACCAAGCCAACCATCTACAGGCCTTGAAAGGTAGTTCCTTACAGTTTCCAAATCTTATAATTGCACCTGGTTTCTCTTCATACTATAAAGCGTTTCTGTGTAAGTGGATTGTAATTGTAATTAATAACATAAATTCAATTAGATAGGTATTCACCTAATCAGCAACTAGCTTATTTGTCTGCATCTAGTAATTTTGCAATTCTTTAACAGCAACTAGCTTTTTTGTCTGCATACTTTCGGTTTCGGATTTCTATGGATAGGAAGCCTGCTTTTTTATACTCTGCACACAGAACATGACATTGTCTACTGTCATCTTATGCATGTAGCTCCTTTAGTTTGGCTCCATTTTCCAGTAACAAGTAAAATTTAAGAGCATTATATCAAAACTGCAGAACAGGCCATGCAATTATTAGCTAATATAACCCATCGACTCTGTTAAGCATTGTTGTTCTATTTGACAGGCATCATTTCCAACTATGAAGAAGAGAAGGAAAGGCTCTGCACAAGATATGAACAACTGAGTAAGCAACAAAACTCCTTTACTCCTCCTTATAGTGAAATCGAATACAACAAAATTTTCTGATGGGTTGATGTCATGTCAGGAAAGAAAGAAAGGAGTCTGATATCTGAGCATGAGAAAGCTTGTACTGATCAAATTGCTAAACTAGAAGAGTCATTGAAAAAGAAGAAGCAGGTACCTCTCTCTCTCTTCCTTGAAAAATAAAAAGAAGAAGAAGCTTGTATTGATATCTCCATGTATATGCAAACATGTCTGAAAACCACATTTTCTGTTTATAAACTCAGGATGACAGAACTTTCAGCGTTCTGAGAAAGACTCTTGGCTCATTTCTGGAGAGTGACGAGGACATCCCGGCTGATGATTGAATGAACATTCAACTGTTTGAGCTCAAGTCTCCAGTTACCTTTTTTCCCCTAAAAGATGTTGCGTTTATTAATACTTGCAATATGATATGGTACATGGTTCTGCCATAGGTGTAAAGTTGAATTTCATATACAGTACCACATTATTACATGCTGCATGTGCAAAATGTTTAAAATTAGTCACAAATTTTCTCTTTACAATTTCTAGGCACGCCTCACTTAAGCCGTTTAATGAACAGGATTGGCAGGGGGAGAGGTGGTTGCCCCTGTTGAACAGACCATGGAGGGCGCTTGTTGTGTTCCTACAGATAAAAACATTTCACATCCAGTCAAACATATGAAACACAAGCAATTGCATTCTGATCTATTTACAACTACTATATATAATATACAAATTACAATACATGTTTCAAAAGTGTTTTCTTATTATTCTCCGTTATAATAATAACTATTACCAATGAAAGAACAACATGACGTCTATAAATTGACAGCATCTCTAATGTAAGGGCAAGGGGCAAGGGGCAAGGGGCTAGGGGCTATTTTAGCCCTCAAAATGGTACTATTCACAAAATCTTGCCTCACAAATTTTGTGGTTCTAGTGGTGGTGAGGGGCTAAGGGCTAAAACTCAAAACTTATTATTTTATTTATGATAAAAATCAAAGCATATGAAAAACAACACAAAAATTTATTTTTGAGCCATACTTTAGAACAACAATTTTGAGCAAAATGAAAAAAGACAAGCAAGCATAAATGTTTGGAGTAATTGAGAGATTTTTTAAGTGAGAAAGTGATGAAAAAGAGTCAGCTAGTTGGGAACTGGAAAAAAACAAAAACAAAAACAAAAAAGACCAACAACTATAGCCGTTAGGCCATTGCCATTGTCTACGCCATGTGGCAGCTCCTCAATGGTCATTGCAATTGGTAAAGTCAGCAATTAGGCAAAACCATCCCCTTATCTTGCCTTAGGCCAAATTAGACTGAGCCAAACACATGCATTAGAAAATGTGTTTTTTCATTTGAGGCTAGATCACTTCCATTAGACATGCTCTAAAGCGGGAGCCGCAAACATTACAAACAACCACCCCACCCTTGCCAAGAGTTGTGTTCATTGGCACATGATACTTATAAGGGCATAGTTGTGTAATATGCTCACCCACCTTTAAACAATACCTATATTCATTTGTCTGCAATTTATAGATTCATTGTTAAATACAACAAAAGCAATAAAAATAATAATTGTGAGGACATGACAATGAATGAATGAAGATAATAAAACCCAAAAATCAGTATTGTGAGCACACGACGTAGAATTACAACAAATACGATATTATATCATAAGAAGAGGCACCCTCGAAATTGCCTCACATTTTACAAGAAAAAGAATGGATTGAATGACCCCAATCAACTCAAAAGATCAGGTATTGTACATATTCTATATTTCATGTTAGTTTAGATCACACATTACATTGGGGTCATGCACTGCTTCTTTCTTTGAATGAAGTTCAATGCAACTGCAGTCTCTCTTTCTCCTTTTACATTGTTATCAAATTTTATGCTGGTATGGTAGCAAATTAGCAATGCATCATAACCCAGTCTTACTATCTGCCAATGCATCAAGTTGGAAAGACCCTTGTCGCACTTTAGATAGTATCATAGACGCTCCATCTAGTGTAAAAATCTAATCTCAAGTCAAGTAAGCATTTCTTATTGGGCTTATTTATTTGGGTGATTTTCTTTCATTTCTCTATTGTTTTAACATGCCTAGTAAGTTTTGTGAACTTTGAGATCAGCTCAAATAAATCATACTTTATGACAGAAAAAGTTAGAAACCATGAATTACACATTTGAACTCAATTCTAAATTCCTAATCAATTCCTTATCTAATTGATTTATGAATTTAAAGCAACCCCGGCACATTCATAGCCAGTTTCTCATGAGAGGGTGGGAAGCATCACTTGGCCCTCATATCATGATTCATATGCATACATGACACTGCCATATCACTTGGCTCCGCCTTCCCTTTTCTATGTGTACAATTTTATTTATAATTATAGATCATGTGCTGCAAATTGCAATTCATTTGCGATAAAAACAAAACACAATGTAGACATCAAATGATGATAGGATGTATGGCTAAACAAAAGCATGACATTAATAGCAAACGACATAAAAGACCACTCTTTTTTCTTTTTCTTTTACTGTATGCAGTCAATCTCATCCAACATAGGGATACGAAGATTACAATTATTTAAAAACATTTAAAATAAAAATTCTAATTATTTGTTAAATTGTAATTAACATTTAATCTTTGCTTTAACTTTTAGAGTACATAACTCTACATTCTCTACTACTATTTCAATGGAAAGAACAAGAACTAGCATAAGGGTCACAAGAAATATAAGTCAGGACTCCGCTCGTGGCTCGGACACATATAAGTCATGTGTTCACCATAATTCCCACAATGTAAACAATTCATGATAACTGCACATCCATTGCTTCCACCACAACTGGAACAACACGAGTCTTTAAAGTGGAAACCACAACAATTACAAAGTACCACACACCTCTCGCTAACAATCGCATTCTTTGGGACATGATGCCTGTAAGGGCATAGTATTGTAAAGTGATCACCCACCTTTAAACAATACTCACATTCATGACCTGCAATTTGTTGATCCATTGTTAAATACAATAAAAGCAATAAAAATAATCAGTTATTTTCTTATTATTATTTTTAAACAATGAATGAATGAAGATGATAAAACTCAAAATTAGTATTGTGAGCACATTACATAGAATAACAAGAAGTACATAGATGTTATGTAATAAGAGATTGAAAAAAAATGAATATATGTAAATAGGGAAGCTTTAGGCGCATTTTTTTTTTGGTCCCTAAAATCAAAAGCTTACCAATAAGATTTTCCGATTCATCAGTCTCCGATTCATCAATCTCCGATTCATCAGTCTCTGATTCATCAATCTCCGATTCATCAATCTCCGATTCATCATTCTCCGATTCATCATTCTTGCTCCCTGTTTCCATGCAATTACATTGTTAAATACACAACAAAAAAAGGTAATGATTCCAAAGAAGTTAGAAGGAGCGACATCTATGATCCCATCAACAAATAACGATATTATGCATCATGCACACACCAAAACAACTTGGCTGGAGAAAATCATCTTCAAAAACTGATACAAAATTTTGGCATGATACATCCTCTATAATTACACCAACAAAAATAATATAAAAACAACACTTTTTTTCTAAACCACATAATGAATAATGCATGGAGAAAATGTCATCTGCAACATGCTTCCACCTAACGACAACCATGATAAATCAATTATATCTAAATTTGATCAATTACCAAAGCCATGCCACCATCTCCAATTATTTCCCAAAAATAAAATAAAAACGTGCAACACAAATATTTTGTTGAGAAATACACTCTCAAAAATAATTTTCATCTAAAAGTAAACAAATAAAAGTAGGATATTGTACGGGACAACATTCTACTAGAACCAAAACGCAAGTAATCTCACAGGGAATTTATCGTACACAAAATCTGAGGCATAAAATTAAATTGCACATAATCTTCGTCACAAATCCTTAAATTAAACGAAAGAGGAAAAAAACATACTGATTGGCTTTGGCCGGTGGATTTGCAAAGGTGGAGACACAACGCCGCAGTCCTTGATTGTGTGTGAGCAAACGGGATTCAGCTTGCGGCTTGGACACATATAAGTCATGTGTTCACCTTTCTTCCCACAATTTAAACAATCCATGAGAACTGCACATCCATCGCTTCGGCCACAATTGGAACAACATGAGTCTCTAAAGTGGCAACCACAACGATTGCAAAGAACCACACACCTAGTGCTAACAATTGCGTTCTTTGGGACATAATACTTGTAAGGGCATAGTTGCGTAAAGTGATCACCCACCTTTAAACAATACTCACATTCATGACCTGTGTGCAATTTTTCGATCCATTGTTAAATACAATAAAAGAAATAAAAATAATCATTTATTATTATTTAAAAAAAAACAATGAATGAATGAAGATGATAAAACTCAAAAATCAGTATTGCGAGCACATTACATAGAATAACAATACATAGATGTTATGTAATAAGAGATTAAAAAAATATATATATAAGTAGGCGCATTTTTTTACTTCTCTTTTGTACCTAAAATCAAAAGCTTACCAATAAGTTTTCTAGGCTCCAATTCATCAACTTCTAATTCTACAGAATCATATTCAACAGCCTTGCTCCCTGTTTCCATGCCATTACATTGTTAGATACAAAAAGAAAAAGGTGATGATGTCAAAGAAGTTAGAATGAACGACATATATGATCCCATCAACAAATAACGATATTATTAAATATCCGCTATGCATCATGCACACACCAAAATAAATTGGCTAGGAAAAATCATCGTCAAAAATTGATTCAAAATTTTGGCATAATATAGATGTTATGTCATAAGAGACTTAAAAAAAATGAATATATGTAAATAGAGAAATCAAAAGCTTACCAATAAGTTCTTCAGCCTGTGATTCATTAGACAAAAATTCTTCATCCTCAGGTTCTTCAAGCTCTGATTCATCAGCCTTGCTCCCTGTTTCCATGCAATTACATTGTTAAATACAAAAAGAAAAAAGAAAAAAAAGGCGATGATGTCAAAAGAAGTTAAAAGGAATGACATACAAACACCAAAAAAACTTATTCAAACCAAAATATTGTCTATGCATAATGCACAAACCAAAATAACTTGGCTGGAAAAATCATCTTCAAAAACTGATTCAAAATTTTGGCGTAATATATATGCTCTATAATTACACCAACAAAAATAATATAAAAACAATACTTTGATTTTACCATAGCACACAATGAATAATACATGGAGAAAATGTTATCTGCAACATGCTTCCACCTAACGACAACCATGATAAATCAATTATATCTTAATTTGATCAATTAGCAAAGCCATGCCACCATCTTCAATATTTTGTTGCGAAATACACTCTCAAAAATAATTTTCCTCAAAAAGTAAACAAATAGAATTAGAATATTGTACGGGACGAAATTCTACTAGAACCAAAGCGTGAGTATTCTCATAGGGAATTTATCATACACAAAATCTGAGGCATATAATTAAATTGCATCTATGATCCCATAAAAAAATAACGATATTATTAAATATTGGCTATGCATCATGCACGCACTAAAATAAATTGGCTGAAAAAAATCATCTTCAAAAACTGATTCAAAATTTTGGCATAATATGGATGTTATGTCATAAGAGATTTAAAAAAAATGAATATATGTAAATAGAGAAGCTGTAGGCACATTTTTTTTTCTTTTTTTGCCCCTAAAATCAAAAGCTTACATGATTTACCACATTTTTATTTTTCCAAACCACACAAAGCCGAAGCAAATTTCATATAATCTTCCTCAAAAACCCTAAAAACAAAAATCAAGACCATACAAGAGCACTAAGACATAAGGTTAAAATATAATTTTTCATACACAAAAGTTGAGGCATAAAATTTAAAGCATACATACCAATTATTGGCGTATTGCAGTCGAGGGGGACCATAGTTGGTGAGAAAAGGTCCTTTTCCCCGCCGTCCTTATCGAGCGCCTCCGACTGGGAATCCAATTTCAAGCACTCCAAAGATGAGACGTGGTCCATGACTGTGTTATGTAGAGCTTGGGGTTTGGCTTTACGGTTGTGAGAGAAAAAACGACGGGTTTGGCTTTAGGGTGAATTGTGAGATAATGAAAGAAGGGCGATTCTTATTTACTTCTTATATTATTTTTTCCACTTCAGTCTTGATTGAATAATAAATTATCATTAAAAACTAATAGACCCCAAAGCATGCTTCTTTAATAAGCAAGACATTAATTTCTAGTTTTGATTTTCCGTTTGGGATTTTCGTTTTTTCAACTAGAGCATGAATATTCTTTGGTGATTTTGAGTCCCAAATAAAGGAAGTTAATTAACGTGGGTTTTCCTTTTCCTTTTCTTTTCAAGTTTGCGCTAGTTTTGACTGGTTTTGATTCCCGACTTTCGTATATATCAATACTTTGAGCAGAGGTCGTGGCCTGTCTCATCAAAGGATATCAATCATGTCAAGCAGATCAGAAATGCAAGCCGGAAAGTCAAGTTCGATGATGCTTTTACCCCCCTTGGGCTTCGGTGATATCTCCCTTCCCCTAAAGGGTTCCAAGTATATTTGACGGTTCGAATGCGTTGTATAGTTGTAAGATTAGAATGAACATGCTTCCGCATCAATTACTTTGCATGGTTGTTTACCAAGTCTTCTAATTAAAATAAAGAATACTAACCCCATAAGAGAAGAACAATGTTGAGATAAACCACATTTTACTTGAGACATTTTCTAAATAGATGGGCTCTCACATCTTCAAGGACAATAATATAATAAACCATGTGCTACAAATTGCAATTCATTTGCGATAATAACAAAACACCATGTAGACAGTCTTCAAACTTTTTCTTTAACTCTAGAGTCCTAGTACCATTTCAATGGACATTAGTTTGAAGAAAAAGAACCGTATCAGGGTCGCAAGTAAAAGCAGGAGGATTATGTTTCCCCTCATGTTTCAAGCAGATCAAAGGCAAGTGTTCACCTTGCTTCCCACATATTGGACAATCCTTGAGAATTGCACATCTTATGCTTAGGTCACAATCAACACAACATGAGTCTCTAAGGAGACAGCAACAAATAATACAAACAACCATACCACCCTCGCCAAGAGTTGCATTCTTTGGGGCATCGTACTTGTAAGGGCATAGTTGGCAAATATTACTAAGAGGGCCCTCGGACAGATAGAAAAAAGTATGAAGTTCTTCCTTCGTTAGTTCTGGTTCAATTTTTGGCTCTTCAACCTTGCTATATGTTGGCATGCAATTACTTTGTTAAATAAAAAAAATAAAAAAGGATAAGAATGGGTGATGATGTCAAAAAAGTTAGAAGAAATGACATTTGTAATCCCATCAAAGCCCAAGCAAATTTCATATAATCTTCCTCACAAACCCTAAAAACAAAAATCAAGAGCATACATGAGCATTACAACACAAGGTAAAACGATAATTTTTATACACAAAAGCTGAGGCATAAAATTTAAAGCCCACTGTAATTAAAATGCAAAGAGTCTTGATCACCCTCGAATTAAAAGAAAAAGGAGAAGCATATACACTTATTATTGGCATATCACAGTTGAGGGGGACTATAGCTTGAGAGAAAAGGTCCTTTCCGCTGTCCTTATCGAGCACCTCAGACTAGGAATCCAATTTTAGGTACTCCAAAGATGAGACATTGTCCATGGCTGTGTAGAGTTTGGTGTTTGGCTTTATGTTTGTGAGAGAAAAAACGACGGGCATATTTGCAGGCATGTGCTTAGCCAAGTTGGCTAGAGCGGATGTCCTCCCCCTACTCTGCACCGGAGTTCAAATCCCTCTTCCTATGGTATGGATTAGATTAAAGTACAAAATCTCTTGTATTAAAAATAAATAAATAAAAATAAAAAACAGACCTTATTAATCAATAGGGATATGATTTCCCCACTCCCCTTTTCTCTACTTACACTCCCTTTTGCTTTTTAATACTTTTTAATCAATTTTATTCTTTCTCTTTCCTATTCTACCCTTACCCTACATTAATTTCATTTTACTTCACTTTTATATTAGTTATTTTTTTTTTAATACTTAATTTTCCAACTTGCACTCCATTTTCAGTATTTTTTTTTCCTTTAATCGAGTAAGAAATTAAGTTTTTTTTTCCCCTTAATACTAAAAATGGAGTGTAAGTTGAAAAATTAAGTACAAAGAAAAAGAAATAATATAAAAGTGAAGTAAAAAAGAAACTAATGTAGGGTAAGGATAGAATAGGAAAGAGAAAGAATAAAATTGATTAAAAAGTATTAAAAAAAGCAAAAGGGAGTGTAAGTGGAGAAAAGGAGAGTGGGGAAATCAGCTCCCAATCAATATTATATTTTCCATTTCTTAAACAATAAATTATCTTTAAAAACTAGAGCATGAATTTTTTGGTGATTTTGTGTCCCAAATAAAGGAAGTTAATTAATGTGATTTTTCCTTTGTTTTACGTTTCCTTTGCTTTTCAAGTTTGCGCTATTTCATTGAGCCCCACTTCCGAAATTTGTGTGTCTTCTCTTCTTTGTGTGCTAATTTGTCTTTAACCGTCGGTTTTGCCTTTTCCTTTTTAGTAGAAGCAGTTTGATCATCCTTTCAAGTTTGCGCTATTTCTCTATTGCTTGAAGTGGCCTCAATGTTTTAACAGACCTCATAGGCTCTGTGAACTTGGAGATTGGCTCAGACGAAAGAAAAAGTTAGAAACCATGAATTACACACATTAAAAACAAATTGTGAATTCCTAATGTTAGCATCTCAATTGCTTATCTAATTGATTAATGAATTTTAAAATCCATGCACAGGTTTTGTCGAGGGTTGAGGCGTTTGGTTCCACAGATTTAAATCTGGTACGGAGAATATAATTACAACAGCAGCACATTATGGACTCAGTTTAAACATTTTTGTTGAACTGATCATCACAATGGAGATGATGATTGATAATGATAATTTCAATATAGAGATGTCAGTACATGTACTGTTGTACTGAGATTAGTTTTCTAAGTTCAGCAACCTAAACTGGCCATCTCCATGTGCGGCACGAATTTGGACCTTTCAGCTATACACACGATATGAACAACTGAGTAAGCAACAAAACTCCTTTACTCCTCCTTATAGTGAAATCGAATACACCAAAATTTTCTGATGGGTTGATGTCATGTCAGGAAATAAAGAAAGAAGTCTGATATCTGAGCACGAGAAAGCTTGAACTGATAAAATTGCTAAACTGGAAGTCATTGAAAAAGAAGAAGCAGGCACCTCTCTCTCTCAAAATAAAAAGAAGCTTGTACTGATATCTCAATGTGTATGTAAACATGTCTCAAAACCACATTTTCTGTTTATAAACTCAGGATGACAGAACTTTCAGCCTTCTGAGAAAGACTCTTGGTTCATTTCTGGAGAGTGACGAGGACATCCCGGCTGATGATTGAATGAACATTCAACTGTTTGAGCTCAAGTCTCCAGTTACTCTTTCCCCCTAAAAGATGTTACGTTTACTAATTCTTGGAATATGATATGGTACATGTTTCTGCCATAGGTGTAAAGTTGAATTTCATATACAGTACCACATTATCACATGCTGCATGTTCAAAATGTTTAAAATTAGTCACAAATTTTCCTCTACAATTTCTAGGCACGCCTCACATAAGCAGTTTAATGAACAGGATTGGCAGGGGGAGGTGGTTGCCCCTGTTGAACAGACCATGGAGGACGCTTGTTGTGTTCCTACAAATAAAAACATTTCATATCCAGTCATACATATGAAACACAAGCAATTGCATTCTGATCTATTTAGAACAACTAAATACAAATGACAATACATTTTGTTTTAAAAGTGCTTTATTATTATTCTCCCTTATAATAATAACTATTACCAATGAAAGAACATGACGTCTATAAATACGAAGCAAAAAACATAGAACTTTCATTATTGTACCCATGTGAAAGTCTACAAATCCCATAACCTCTTCTAATTTTTATTTCAAAGGAAATCTTTCTTCTTTTTTGGGGGGTGTGGGAGGGGAGTAAGAAATATCATCTCATCATCAGGCAGTTCAAAGAGAGCATCTCATCCCTGTCCTCGGTAATTTCTTGATAATCATGGAAACAAAGTTCTAGACTTTGCTAATAACTTCTTACAAAATTTCTGATTTCACATATGAACACTAGCCTATTGGCAGTGAGACTCACAAGTGTATTCCCATAACAGACACAAAATGGTTTCAACGTGTCCACAGCACAGAGGTATCTATTCTTTTGCATGTATATTGTTTACTTACTCCAATTTCTGTCACAAACTGGCAAGAGGAACACCTGACGGATGAAGCTCCATATTGATACATCAGCAACACTGCACAACTACCACATTTAACTTGTCCAACCTGATCAGCTGATAAAAGAAGAATGAGTTAAAAAATAGAACATGGTGCCATCATGACAGTAATTGCATAACGATGACTCGATTTTAAGTCCATTGGCACTTGTGGTTTAGTGCTGAACTATTGCACACTGCATAGGGGCCTTCAAAATTTCATAACAAATTTTACAAGAAAAAGAATTGATTGCGTCACCCTAATCAACTCAAAAGATCAGGTATTGCACAAATTCTATATTTAATGTTAGTTGGGGTCATGCACTGCTTCTTTGAATGAAGTTGCAACTGCAGTCTCTCTTTCTCCTTTTACATTGTTATCAAACTTTGGCAATACTTGCGCTAGGCGTACAATATCATCACAAGATAACATGAAGTAAGAAAACCTACAACAATTTTGGAAAAGGAAAAAGAGGAGAGAATGAGACTGAGAACGTTGCTTACTAGGTACACCAAGTATCTAAGTGAAAGAGGAAGAGAGAAGAACCTTCTAGCACAAAGTTGACCGTCTGACAGCATGAGCATTGAACATGTCTGGCTCCTCGTGAATATTTAAGCAGGCGACGGCAAGAACCACCAAACCATTTGAGCTATTTCTGCATCACAATTAGCTCAGCATCAGATAAAAAAAAAAAAAAAAAAAAAAAAAAATCACTATGTGTAAAAGCTGAGATGAAAGGCTTTATGGAACATTCTTCTGAGGAATCTAAAGATCAACATTTAGTAATTCAGCGGTTCCAATGAGGTAGCCATGGGATCTGATCTGATATTTTGGATCCAATAATTATTTATGCTGGTATGGTAGCAAATTAGCAATGCATCATAACCCAAATTATCCATGATTCATTCCTATTCCTGCTCAGCCCCTAATCTATAAATCGTTTGATGATAAAGTTGCCAACATAGAAAGTTGGAAAATTTTGAGACAAATAACAAAGCAAGACAAGTGAGTTGTCAAGTGGACAACCTTAAACAAAAAATAAAATTAACAACACAACGCCTATCCAAGTACCAAGTATAAGAGAAACCCCAAATAAAACGAAACACATAGCACTCGAGAATAAAACATAACAGAGTCTCTGATTGATATTAAAGTCGATGTTGTTTGTTATTATGCGGTCATACAATGGGAAGAGACTGACCGGAAGGGGAGGGTGGTGGTTGGGCAGCAGCGATGGATTGGTGCTCCGGGACTGGCCCTTTGTCTACTTCCACTGTGCTCTCCATCCTCCTCTCTGTCTCTGCCTCTTGCACGCACGGCGGGGGGTTGCAGACAACAACTTGACATGTCTCGAAACGCTGTCGTTATGTTGCAGGCCTCAGATTATTGGTAAGTTCTAATAGGCCTAAGGTGGGCCTGAAATGGTGAACCCAAATTGGACCAAATGTTGAACTGTAGACTGTATGGCTCGCTTGTTTGTAACTAAAACATGAAAATAAAAATAAGATATTAAATATCACCCCACAACACCACATGCAAGGCACCAAAACCAAAATTGAATTGAATATTAATTATCAACAAATTCTACGACTTATGGAGTAAATGCCCTAATTTAATTCATTTTCCTCTTCCCAACTCTCACGTTGCAACTCTTCTTTTTATTTATTTATTATGGTTTGAAACCTATGTTTTCCTTTTCCCAACTCTCAAGCTGCAAAACTATTCTAATATTCTTTTTTCTTTCAGTAAGTCTTTCTCACTCTCCTCCATCAAAATAAAGCCATTTCTCTTCAGTACCAGTGTACCACCCTCTTCCATCAAATTTTGGATTGTAAAAACCCAAGCTTTAGCCCTTTCCCCAAAATCACAGGTCTTTTCTCCCTCCCTTATTCACATGAGAATTCACCAAGCATTGAAATTGGAAAATCAATTTATTAGCTCTGTGATTTGGAAGGGTGACTAAAGATTTTTTTTTGGAAGCTTTTTCCGAATGTGTTCTTCTCATGTCAAAATTTTTGTTTCTATATGGATTTTTTTTTCCTACTTGTATATATAGGGCCTCGACATCCATATTTGCACAAGGCCTCTAAAATCAATGGACCGGCTCTACTAGTAGGTCCTTTGCTAAATTCAAGGATTTACTATGACTCGAACCCAGAACCTTGCCTGAGGGAATACATACTCTAAACAACTACATGAGTGGCTCCTTCACTAAATCCAAGAATTTATTAGATGAAGTTTTAAGTTAAAATTGGTTGTTCAAAGAATCAGAATTCATATATGCAAAGATTGATTTAGGCCAGAAAAGGAAGAAACAAATGATTATTTCAAATATACTACAACTAGTTATTTCAAACACATTCAATATTGATATTTTTTAGTTTGTACAAAATTTAACCTATTTGTTAAATCTCCATCCACATGAAAATATTATTGGAGGAACTTTTACAATATAGATCTGAATCTGACAATTCATAAGATCATTACACTTTTGTTTTACTAACCACCGAAACAGATAACAGAATTCCGCTTTGAAAACAACTTAGTAAAGCACATTACAACTAAAATGTTGCGTATAGATTTATCTATATTTGATAGTGTAATAGCTAAAATACAATCAATTACAGTTAAGTTATTACAAATCCCTCTCCTCCTCTTCACGTGAAATGAGAAGAAAACAAAACTACCTCACGGAAATACTACAGCTTAACCGATGCAAGACTTTGAGCCATATACTCAATCGAAATTAATAGGAACTGACCAATCTTCTGATTCGGTCTCCCACCCTTGGAGTAGCCTCCAGCATGTTTTTATTGTGGCACGATTTACAGACTCCAATCCTCAACTTCATGCTTTTTTTAAACGGAGTTGTTCTGACTTAGCTGCAGCGTACCAAAACTTCAGAAAATGGAGTTTTTTTTGCCATCAATCATATGCATATATATATTATATCAGGCTCCTTTCTTCTTTTGGTCTTTGGCGGGCTTGATGTCCTTTGTGAGCATTCTTGGTGCTATAGCCATGGACATAAGCTCTTGGAAGAGCAGCTTGCAAGCATAGGGAATGTATACCTACATATACATAATGTAAAAGTGGGTTAGCATTAACCTCTCCGCGAGAGAGAGAGAGAGAGAGAGAGAGAGAGAGAGAGGTCTGGAATACAACAGAGAAGTAGAAATATTCACCTGAACAATGTCAGTTTTATTCTTGCAACCTCTGCACTCAAATGAATTCTTCTTGAGATTTGCAATAGCTATTAACCCACAGCGCTCACAGACATGAACCCTATATGCATCACTCTGGTCGAACAATCTCTCTTTCAGAAAGTGAGCAGCGCCATGGGCAATCATGCAATCTCGCTCCATTTCTCCAAATCGCAAACCACCATCACGAGATCGTCCCTCAGCAGGCTGCCTTGTGAGGATCTGTACTGGACCCCGCCCACGGGAATGGATCTTGTCATCAACCATATGCTTCAGCCTCTGGTAATATGTGGGGCCAAGGAATATCATAGCACTAAGCCGCCTGCCTGTGTGGCCGTTATACATGGTCTCAAACCCACGCATTTGATACCCACAGCTGTGAAGAGCTCTGCTAATATTGTCCACCTAACAAAAAAATCGTAATATATGAGAATCTCCAAAATCCCACAACAAAGAATTGGCTGCAATTTGTTACGACAGGTACAAGTAAGAAATTCTATAAGAAATTTAGAGGCAAGTTTCAAGAGAAAGTGCAACTCACAGTCACATCTGTAAAGGGAGTTGCATCTCCTTCCTTCCCCATGTGAGCTGCAACCTTCCCCATGATACACTCAATAAGCTGACCAATGGTCATTCGAGAAGGAATAGCATGTGGGTTCACAATAATATCGGGCGTGACCCCTTCCACAGTCCATGGCATGTCTTCTTGTGTATAAGTCATACCCACTGTCCCCTTCTGTCCATGTCTACTGCTAAATTTATCACCAATCTGTGGTATCCGGACAGATCTCACCCTTACTTTCACAAACCTCAACCCATCAGCATTAGTCGTCAGTAGAACCTATTATATGGCACAGAGCAGGTTCAGCTTTGTAAGAAAGCACAACAGAATCTGTTTCATAAATAAATAAATAAATAAAAGAAGAGAAGTCATTTCACACAAAGCTAACCTGATCGACAATCCCTGTTTCACTGTGGCGTAAGCTTATGCTATGGTCACGCCGTGTGTATCGTGAAGCAGCTTGCCCTTGCGCCTCATCCTGAGCCATGGGAGTGGTCTTTCCTATGATAACATCTTCACCTGAAACCCTAGTTCCCTAAGATCATATCAATGAGAACTTGATTAGATAAAATTTGTTTCACAGGATAGGTGGACAGAAAATCATTGAAAAACAAATTTACATATACTTACAGGAGGTGCAAGACCATCATCATCCAACTTGTCGTAAGAACCATGCCGCATGCCCTGTAAAATCAAATCTTAGTACGGCGTCCAACACTTACACCGGCAGCAGCATCAGACACATAACTAAAAAATAAAACTCTCACCATCGTATTTGCTCTGTCTGGACGCCCGAAATCCTCTTTGACAAGGGTCCCCATCTTTTTCTCCTCGTCCCTGCGACAGGAAGTTAATACATTGTAGAAAAATATAATTACATGTACTCAGAATACCAGTTAGAGAAAAACTGACCTATAAGAGCGGAAAAATATTGACCGGAAGAATCCACGGTCTATAGAGGATTGATTCATAATGACAGAATCTTCCTGGTTATAACCAGAATAGCAAGAAATGGCAACAATAGCATTCTGATGCAGAATGGAACAAAGAAAAGGAATCATTAGCAGACTAAATTAGAAAACTTAAACTGCCAAATTGCCCCCAGAACTATCACCAAATTTTCGATTTCCCCACTGAACTTTTTCTTAGTCAGTTAAGGATACAAACTAATTTTTTTCGCCAATGTCATCTACATTTCATCCAATTTACCGTTAAATATGCGGGCAAATTGGTAATTTCCCACTTTAAATGGGTTGGAGGTGGCTGGTGTTGGAGGAGGTGGCTGGTTGGAGAGGGGCTACTGGTTTTTAAAAATAAAAAAAATTATGCAGACCCTTTTTTTTTGTTTTCTGCTTTAATTTAGAGAAGGGGACAAGGGGGCTGGTGGCTTGAAATGCAGTTATGTACTGATTCTGGAGGCAGGGGCTGGGAAAAAAATTGCGGTTGAATCTGACTCCCAGATTTGCACGTACATGGTGATTGGAAGAGAAAAAAAACAAAGAAATTGAAAATATAGTGGGTGTGTAGAGTAGATTTTTGGGGTGGGATAATTTTTTTTGGTTGGGAGTGTGTATGTGTGTGAGATAGTGAGAGAGAGAGGTGATGCGTGAATGATGGCGGATGGGAGAGGGTGGCAGGCTGCGGGTGGCCGTGGGTGAGAAGAGTTAATCTTAGTTTTAAATTATTTTTTGTGTTTTGTGTTTTATGTTTTATATTATAGTTTTTTTATGTTTTTAATTATTTTTTAACTGAAATTTGGATTAAATGTCAATGATTTAGGCGGTAGGGGGGGCATTGGCAAAAAAAATTAGCTCATATCCTTAATTGACTTAAAAAATGTTCAGGGGGGAAATTGAACATTTGGTGATGCCAGCTGGTGGCTGCCTGAAATGAAGAAAAAAAGAGAAACATGTAAAACAAGGTTAAATATTTACGATGCCAGCTGGAAGCTGCCTGAAATGAAGATGCTCCATGGCTCGTGTAGTGACAAGGGGCTTCTGAGGGTAGTACAGAACATACGCCAGTGTATCCTGAGTGAAGCAACAAGAAGTAACTTACCATAGTTTATAATCAACTGTAACATTCACGAAAAGAAAATAGAGAATACATAATTACAATAGTGGGAACCTAATCATACCATTCGGAACTGATAATTGGTGACATAAATTCCCATAGCTTGCTTGCCCATAGCAGATTGATACGTATTACGTGGAGACTGATCACAACAAACAAATAAGTAGATGGAATAACAAATGAATAAGATATCAAACACATAAATTCACTTGCATGACAAATTTACCTGATTATGATCGGGAAATGGTATAATTGAAGCACAAACACCCAAAATAAGCGATGGATGAATTTCACAATGAGTGTAAGTGTCAGAATATGCCTCTTCAGGATTGAGCCTTGCTTGTACAAGATCCTGGGTACAAGTTTTTAGAAATTGAGATCATCAATGCCCTATGGGTTCTACAGGTCTGTTTTTAATCCAGAATAAAATCATGATGCATTTTTTCCAACGAGAACTACTCACATTAATTGTCATGGAAATCATTGTAGTCTCCTCTTCTTCCGTATCA